ATCGATCCTCTTCCATAGGTTCAAATGGTGGATCGATCGATGTATCGCAAAGCACGCGGCGCCACCGGTTTCATTGTGGGGAGCGGGCGCGCAACATCAACATCTGCTCGTTTCTGGGCTACTCCACAGAATCACGGTGATGTTGCGGCGAAGTGGAGACGGTCATTCCGTCATCCGAGTTGAATTATTTATTGGTTCCGATGAGGATTAATGTATCGATGCATCTGGAGCATCGCGAGTCGCTCGTAAGTCGTAAAAGACAGCCGATCATTGAGAACCGCCGCACACTGGACCGAGTCGATAGGAGAAGTTGAACAAAGTCTGGAAACTTTGGTAGCTTATTTTTTCGAAAATGCGAAACGCAAAAGTTTAAGAGTGGTCTCATTGGTTTTTTCGCAACATTCCCCTCCTGAAACGCCCTTTTGAATTGAATTTGTGACAAATTAAACATAAAAGTTTGAAGTTGTAGCCAAAATGGAGATGTTGCATGTGTGTGGAATTTGCGATTTGACTATTGATTCTTACGTAAAAGTTCGCGAGAAACACGATGGTGCCACTGGTTTTCTCTGAAATCAACTCCCAAGCTCAAAAAAAGCTCTCAAGTTGAGGCCAAAATGGAGGGGATATCCCACGCTATCCTGAGAGTCCACCTGTACATCAAGACAAACTCGCCATGCAAAGATAGGGATCAAGTACATTAGCAGGGTTGCCGTGTTTTCAGTTTTAGAGTCCCCAAATAAGATGCAGCCCTGTTAATGTATTTGCTCCCTATCTTTGCATGGAGAGTTTGTTTTGATGTAGAGGTGGACTCTCAGGATAGCGTGGGATCCCCTACATTTTGGCCTCATCTTGAGAGCTTTTTTTGAGCTTGGGAGTTGATTTCAGAGAAAACCAATAGCACCATCGTGTTTCTCGCGAACTTTTACGTAAGAATCAACAGTCAAATCGCAAATTCCTCACACATGCAACATCTCCACCGTCTTGTCCGACCTGTTGTGTCAGTTCGTTCCACTGTGCGCTGTCGCCTAGTCGCTATAGTTATTCTGCTCCCTCAATGATTTTCCCCGAAAGAGAAATCCCTCATACGTCGGAACCAATGATGTCTGTAATGAAAATTACAGGTAAACCGAAACTACAGGTTCGGTAAAGGGTGAAGAGGAAACCAAAAATTATGATATGGAGCACCAAGAAATCTCCCAGAAACGTCAAGATGCTTTCCGGTCAGAATGTCTCCCAACTGTGACATCTGCGCGGAGAATTGCTTATAAGCTGATGGCTCACGATCAAGCCGTGCCACCCATATATCAAGGTTAGGTGTTGTGATTGGCTTATTCAATGACTTGGGCCAATCACAGCATTTGGCCTTGTTGTATGTAGATTGTTTCTCGCGTGGATTGGAAAAGGATTTTCTTTCAAGTTGAAAGTTATACCTCCTTACATGTTTTTTATTGAACTATCGCGTTTTATTTATGAATTGAATTCCTTTTAAGAATGTGAAGATACCTCTTGAAGAATTTCTCTCACTCAAATTCGTTTTACTCGTGAAAAAGAAATCTGAAAGCTCAGAACGAAAAAAATCTCCTCCTCCGTACTGTTTCACTCGCTCCTTTATCCCCTAGTCTAGCCTCGTAGTCAGGGGCGGATCCAGCAATTTGGCAACAACGGATTTCCTCCATTTAAACCTATGTTAAATAATCGATTCTTGTCGGAGCACCTGGCCATTTTAAGAATCGATACATTTCCATAGGTTTAAATGGAGAAAAACAGTGTTGCTCATTTGCTGGATCCGCCAATGCTCGTAGTCATTAATTATTATGTTATAGTATACGTTGCTTACAGCTTCTCATGTTTGTGGTCCTTATTCTCATCAATTCTATGTTTGTTTACCATTTTTCTTTCGTGTTTTTCTGTGTCACGTTATTCTTATGTTTGTTATTGTAGTGTTATGTCCAAGTTCTCACTATGTCTGCATCCACCCTCACTTTATGTTTTTTCGAATTTATTGAAACCACTGACGGTGGCGTCGTTAGGAATTTGAAACCCTTGGATTCACCTCGAAGCCATCATTTTTTTCCCTTTCATTTTCCCGAAAAACAAAGTAAAGTAAAATAATACTTAATCATCTTATTATTTTAATCGGCATACAATACATGTAGTTTTAATCAATTAGCGTCAAGTCGATCCCAACTGCTGCATTTTCATTGGCCAGTAAATAAAAAGGTCCTAACTTCTGTATTTTCTTTTTTCATTTTTTTTTTTTTTTTATCAACAAACAATCTTATTGAATTGATTATTTAAAAAAAGCTTCATTATATGCATCAAACCGTCAATCGATCCTGTCACAACATCTAATGGTCAAATTTCAAAATAAAATACTTCATTATTCAAAATCCAGCAAATATAAGTATAAGTATATATGTATTTTTCATATCCTTCAAAATATAGCAGATTCTGTTCGAACGTGTTATATAACTCCAATCAAATCAGCACCAACCGAAAATATTTCGTAAAAGCTCATAATATTACAGACGGAAAATCCTGTACCATACGTTTAGCTTCAGCAGGGAGACACCCGTATAGTCCATACTCCTTCTAAAGAAGCTTTGAAAAATTCATTCAAACATGTCTCCAAAAGTTTTACCATAAAACGAGATCGCAATTGTGTTTAAAATGTGAAGAAAATCCCGAAAAACCTGTGCACAGAAATAGTTGAAAATTGCTCGTTCCCCACCAAATCGCTGCCCTTAGCCTTCTTAGTAGGTCAAGACCCCCCCCCCTTCCCTCCCTCCTCACGGCGCCACTGATTACTGCCGTGCTAAGGAAAAACGCCGTATGAACATTCGAGAGTTGCCAAAATTTCCTTCGATAAAAGAGTTATTTTGGAAGGAAGTTATTGCATATTTGTACTAGAAATTTTTAGATATTTTAGATAAAACTACGAACAATGTTGCCTGAAAAACTGGAAGAAAAATATTCATAACTTCTCCAGTAAATTCATATTTTATCAAAAGCAACTTGGCAACACCTGAAGGCTCGTGCGGCGTTCTTCCTTAGCTCGGCAGATTACTCCTGCGTGTTTTCGCTTGTGAGTTTTGTATCACCGTCTACCAGTGGCGTGGCGTGCTTTGCGATGTATCGATTGTTATGCCATTTAAACCTATGGAAAAGTATCGATGAACAGGGTGTTGGCAGCGAACACCTTAATAATCGATTCTTTACCATAGGTTTAAATGGAATAACATTCGATACATCGCAATTCACGCCACGCCACTGCCGTCTACCTTTCGTAATAATCCTAATAACAGATATGTTCCACTCATTAGCACGCGCTCAATTTCACAGAACGATCGGAGGGCCGCTTCTGTCACCTCCGGTCAATATCTGTCAGAATCCATGACACCGTAATTATACCCCAGAGAAGCGGCCCTCGCTCCTTGCTCCCTATGTATAAGTTCACCAACGCGAGCGAAAAATATAGAGTATGGGGAGGGGGGGAGGATAAAACAAATTTGCGAAAGTTTATAATAATTAACATTATCTTTCTAAAGCGAGCGGAAAAGAAATTTAGTCAAAGGATTATGGTGCGCAAACGCCGCAGGTAGAAGAACTTATGTCTAAATTGCTTTGTTCAAAATCTGCCGAACATATTCAAGGTGATTCGCCCCGGGTCCTTGGCGGGTCGAAATGGCGGCCAAATATCGCATCGATTTAAAGAACAAAATCGCGGCAGATTTTGAATTTATAAAGCCAAGAGACTGACCGCCCCCCTTACAAATGAATCTGAAGAATGGCCACTAGACGAAGTGCGAATTTGAGCATTCTGATACATATTTCTTGATCAAAATTTCGCATAGATCACGATCCGCCCAACAAAATGATTGAATAATTCGATTACTTTAATTCTTCGGGGTCCTTTTGCACCTATCTGAAAATCCCATGTTATTCCCGAAAAATTTGATTCAATAATCTTTGCAGTTAATAGCGTCTTTTTCTGCACCCAAAAGTTATTATTTATGTAGTGAAGGTGTGGACATTGTTTTATTGAAGCAGCTTTATAGCTGTTGCGACTACTTTTGGGGAAAATTTGAGATCGTTGAAAGCTCGGGAAAAATACAGATAAACTTTTCGGTCGCACTCATATTTTCCGAGAGCGGATATAAAAATCAAAGGTAATTTTTGAATGAGCCACTTGACAGGGTCTGAATTTAAGCAATGCGATGTGGATCTTCATCTCAAGCGAGTCTAATAATTGCCCTCTCATTGTCAGAATGAAGCCATACGTTTGCTAAATTCCTTAATTCTGTTTTTACTAAACTTTCATGCTCCTCATGATGCAAATTTATAACTTAAAATGTGCAAAACGAGAAAAAAGGCATACTTACTTTACCTCGATTGTTAAATGGACTTAGTTTATCAGAAAGGAACCAACCCATATTCTCGAAAAAATTAAGTTAAGAATGATTTTGAGTTCCACTAGCCGTATATCTTCTCCTGCCAAAAACTGAAAGTCGAGAAACAGAAATTAGTTTGTGAAAAGAGGAGATAAAGTTTATTTTCCACATTATGCAGGAATAAAACTTCAAACCTCTTTTTCTCAGTTTCAACACAATGTGGGTTGTTTCCTTTTTGATGAACTCGGTCCAAATAGGTATGCTGTAGTCTACCTGATTCGACGGGAGAAGGTTTTTCGTTTTCGATGAGCAGGACGGTTGAATTCACAAACTCAATAAACATAAATAACGTGTTCAGAAGTTATTTCCTTAGACCTGCACTTAGAGACCGTTTGACACGCAGAACTGTAATTAGTATCATCATCATGTGACTCAATTCTCAAGTTCAGACCCGATCCAGTCGCCCGTTGAACTTGGGGGTGCCTCATATGCCCCTTAGTGATAGACGTGGATGAATGTGGGGATGTTTTTTTTTTCCTTCCAAAAGTATGATATTGGAAGTCCTGCTTGTTGTAAAACGATTCTGACGATTGACATGATTTCCCATAGGTTCAGTCATTGTGTGAACAACGCTGCTGACCCGTCTGCGACACCTGAACAGACGCCTTGGTGAGTCTCCATTCGAAACTTTTGGGCTACTAAATGGTGTTCACGGTTGCAGGCTCTCTTCTCATCAATCCACTCTCGCCTCCCCTCGCCCCCGTCCGTAGCATGTGCCTCCTAGAAAAACATACCCCCCGATTCAACCTTCCCCAAATTCCAGCCTTGAGAAGATCAATTACTTCGTCTGACCCCTTTTATCCAGAGTTGAATCAGAACAACTGAAAAGTACAATGTTCCAACTGTCGCCCCCATGAGAGTAACGGATCTCCGTTTGTTATGATAAAATGGGCAATATTTATTTATTTATCTATTTATTTATTTATTTTCAATATTTTAAAGTAGTTGCTTTCCGAGCGTAGCCGCTCGCAGTAGAATAAATTGCCCCGCCTATTTATCCCCTTTTTGTAGTTAACTGTCAATGAGAATTGTTAGATTCTAGGACTTGTTTTCCCCCAGTAATTTGGATTTCCATTAGTGTACCTCCTAAAACTCATTATTTCTGAGTCGTCCAAAGTCACTTATATTTTTTCAACTCAAAACATTTCTAGATGGACTTTTTTGAGGCATTTGTGATTGTGTAGCTTTGTTTGCCCGTCGGGTATAAATATACCGCCTGTGCACGCATCTTGATATAGTCTTCTTTCCCCTCGGTTGAAGTCAGCATGCCAAGAATTTCACAAACACCCCACCTCCTATCCCGGGGTGGAACTCAATTTTGATAACCTGTCAAATTAATTTGAACGATTTTTGGAAACCTGTCCTGATTAATTGCCTGTTTCTTACGCGGGATGTTCTTGTCTGATCTTTGTATGAAAATAACTTTTGGAGGTTTATTTTTCAAAGCGCCTTCTGATTCAAATGCATGATGGTGGTGGTAGTGTCGTGTGTGGTGATGGTATGTAGCAATGTAGCAATGTAGCGCATATATTGTTCCTAATGGAAACTTGGGTCTGGAATGACACTTTGATCACAGGATTGTTTTCCCAGTAAACTCTAACCCTGTTTAAGGAAATGAGGTTGTCAAGCCGAGAATTCCTAGCTTTGAAAATCGAGAATCTTTATCTCTCAAAAGCAAAGCGCAGCATTTTCTTTCAAGAGAATTTGAATTCAGGATAATAAAACTGTACTTGGTTCGTAGTTGGATACCTCAAATTTTAAGCATGCTTTGTCTTTTATGTTTTTAGGAATCGTACTGTATGATTTTGCCGCTTCCTCGTAATGCATATACCTAGAAAGACCATTGTCGTTGTTGTTTTTCTTACCTATTATTTTCATTAGCAGTGAAATTGACGCGAAAGTTTTCTTTTATATTATCTACATTCCATGTTCTGATATAATGCTCTAAATATGAAAATCACGATTCCTACACGGTCCGACCGATCAAACAAAAAAAACCCGTATGTATGCTTATTGCTTAGTACTAAAATGGTATGAATTCTAAGTCACTCCCCCTCCTCCCTACGTCTCTCAAAGTAGAGATAAGCATTAAGTCAATGAAAGCATGACTTAAACATGTTCCTCGCTTAAATGCATTGGAACCATCGTTTTGAATCCAGTCGCGTTACATTTACTTTTTATAGGGAAGAAACAAATATTTCATAATATTAATCAATATGAGTTGTCGATTTTTCGCGGGTTTTCCCTCTTTATATTCCTTTTCAATGGCCCTCCTTATCAATTTCGTGTAGAAACATGTAACGATTGTTCCTCGCATCAAAAAGTATAGGTATTAGAGAAAGTTCCAAAAACACCACGAGAAAGCAGTATAGGTCTCTCTGTCTTATACGGAGTTTGTCATGAAATAAGTGAGGAATCTTAAATCCACTGAATTTTCTTTTAAGGAAGAAGATGAGGAAAAATGTTTATCAGAACTTGATTATAGGCAAGCCTAAATGTTTTGTCACGATATGTAATACGAAGACCTGCCGTTCTATGATTGTCAAAGCGAGAATAAGGAGGAAGCAACAAGGCATAAGAATTGAAAACATATTTCAACTTACATGGAATGAAGTTCGTTACTATCTAGCCGGACGGCTCAGTATGATGGAAGTTGAAAATCCATTCTCGAATTCGATCAAATTGCAAGAGAACTAACTCGACTCTTATTTTGAATCGAAAATACTGTCAATAGCAACTATTATAGTTGTATCCTCTCATGTGAGAGAAAGAATGACAATGGAACTTTTAGCATTTATTTATGTTTTTTGGGTCAACCCCCCCCCAAAAAAAAAGAAATGGGCCCGCCCTAATCTTTATCAGGTGATTTTTTTATTATGTAAATCTTGACTTCTCTAAAGTTTTGAAACGTACCGTTGCACTAGATTTTAACACTCGAGAGAGAGGAGGGAAGTTTTGAGGAGTCGAGCACTGAGCCAGGGGACGCATAGAACTTTCACACAAAAAGCGCATGAAGTTGTTTTAGAAACCTTCGATTTTTTATGGCAAAATGAGGATGGGGCGAATTTTGAAGGAAGCGTCACTTTTATGGACTGCACCCGAACTTAATACATACCTTTCACATTTTTAGCATTCTCCCCCCTTCCCCCCCAATTTAAACCATGTGCTCAGCGAGCGTTCTACTATAGCCGCCTCAGTTTATTTTCGATAAATAGCTCCCGGGAAAAATGTTTTTTCTCGCGCGCTTTGGTAGTAAATTCTGCTTTGGTGCGCAGTGGCGAGGCGTGAATGGTCGATTATCGATTTTTCCCCTTTGAAGCTATGGTAGAGAATCGATCATCAAGGTGTTCGTCGCGAACTTCCTGTTTATCGATCATTTTCCATAGATCTTAATGGCAGACCAATCGATATATCGCAAAGCACGCCACGCCACTGCTTTGGTGTACAGCCGGCTTTAATCACAGCTCTTCTCGGGAACATCTTTTCCGATTCAAATACCGCACAAAAGTAAGCTTTTGAAGGCTTGAATGTATTTCTACTCAATGAAGAAGCGGAAGCTCTGTAACTTGCCTTAGCATTAGTGCGTAGTCTTAATTTTTCTTTTTTTTTCATGAATGATTTGATTGAAGCATATCGACTTCGCGTCTGTTTCAGGTTAACGCATCCAAACATCGTGCAGCTGTTGGAAACCTTTGAAGACAAACACAAAGTATATCTAATTATGGAATTGTAAGTATAATTTTTCGAAATTTCGTTTTTTCCCCCTTTAAATCCAACAATCTTAAAGTTGCTGTAGGTCTTGAATGATGCGCCCAACACAGAATTGTATTTCGGTAGTTGAATCCTGTTGCTCGACCAATAATTATCAGAGCCCTTCAAACGCCGCATCGTATTTCTGTGCTCACAATTTAACTGACAGGGACCAGGGCCGTATGAAGGGGGTGGCCAATTTTGCAATTTTTTTAAATGTAGGTATAAAAAAAATTCGGATTTAGAAAGAAAAATTATAAGCGAGAAAAGGCGACAAAATCTCTAATTTTCTGAGGGTATAGTAATTTCTACTTTTGTCGTCTTTCAGTGACACAAGAGACAAAACCTTTAATTAGTCGAGTTAAGAGAGGAACCAAACACGCAATTTGGTATGGAACGGCGCGACTTATCTAGAGAGAAATGATGACGAGGACTTGAGATGAAAAGGAGGAGCCCTCGGCGCGGCGATCGGCATGTAACACATATTAGCGCCTACAAGACTGCACGAATACTTCACGCATTGCATCAAACACAGTGCGGTCATCGCGGACAGCGTGAAACGGATAGCGCCTACAAGAGTGCATGAATACCTCACGCATTGCAGCAAACGCAGTGCGATCAGCGTGAGACACATAGCGCCTACAAGACTGCGTGAAGACTTCACGCATTGCGTAAAACACAGTGCGATCTTCGAGGCGCGGCGGCGGAAGTTAAAATCAATAATCCACATTTGTGTTTGTTCTTCTATAATTTTTTCGTTCATTTCTTATGAATGGAAGGCCTTGTCCACACAGAGATAGGTTTACGAAACTTAACTTTCGCGCAAAGTTCCGTGAACTTTTGCCAGTAGTGTTGACAGAGCTTTTTCCAAAAAATGTGTTCAACACCAGTAAATGCGTCTTATATGCACCTTTCCCCTGCTGGCACGTTCATTTGATGGTTTTCATTGATGTTTTGACGAGAGCCACATTGCCGTGCTAAGGAAGAACGCCGTATGGACATTCGAGAATTGCCTAATTTCCTTCGATAAAATGCTTATTTTTGAGGAAAATTATGACTATTTTTCTTTGAAATTTTAACAAGTTGTAGATCAAATCACAAACAAAATTATCCGAGAAATCGGTAGGAAAATATTAAAAAATGTACCTGAATATTAGTTCTTTGCCAGGGGAAATTTGGCAACGCCTAAAGGCCCATACGGCGTTTTTCTCTAGTACAGCAGCACAGGTCCCCGGTACGGAGGGACATGCGCGCGAAACGAGACGGAGGTAGGTACCCAGTAGACGGCAGTTACAGGAGTCGGTCGGTGGGAGGTCCTCAGCCCAAGCCGTAAGCTCCACGTTTGCGGGGGGGGGGAGACTAGGCGAGGTGGGAGGGGAGGGGGGCAAGCGGTGTGGATGCTCAGAGGTTGAGGTTAATCGATTGATTTTGTCGTGTCGTGCGCGGATCCACTCCGGCATCCAGTCTGATCCAATGCGGAGCCAATCTGATTGTAATTAAATTACACGAGTTGTTCAGAGCCCTGATTTGCCCCAAAGCCCCCCGGCCCCCCACAAAGCTGCAACCGCTCGCCAGTCCCTGTTGCCGCTTCTGGGGGCTCGCGCAGTCGTCCGAGCGTCCGGCGGAGCGACCACTACCGCACGCACCGGGGCTCCAGCTCACGCTGAGAATCCTCGGCCGCCTGTGAACGTAAATGGCAGTTACTGCCAGTCATGTCAGTAGATCAATTGAATCACATCTTCCAGTGAAGAGCCCGTATTTCCGACTGATCCATGAAACCGCCTGTCAGCATAGACCATACACGGAGAAAAAAACCTCGTGCGTGGGACCCGAAGTTTAGGTCGTATGGATCTCTGAAGTTTTCGGATTGAGCATCTGAGCACTTTAGGTCTAGCTGTCGAGGTTCGGATCACACATCTGAAACTTCAGTTCTTACATCTGAAGTATACTTCAGATGTGAGAACCGAAGTTTTTCGGATGTGGAAACCGAAGTACTTCAGATGTAAGAACTGAAGTTTCAGATGTGTGATCCAAACCTCAGCAGCTGGACCTAAAGTGTTCAGATGCTCAGTCCGAAAACTTCAGAGATCCGTATGACCTTAACTTCGGGTTCCACGCACGTAGTTTTTTTCTCCGTGTAGACGGATCTAGACACTTCGAACGGGGGAGGGCGGGAGGTGGTGGTGGTGGTTGATTCCGGGGGTTCCTCGGAAAAGTTTCGAAATTTTAAACCATCTCATGTAGCTTAAATCAATTTCGTCATGAATAATTACCAAATATCAGCGTCCTTCCCTCCGTTTCCCTCCGTTTTCCTCCGTTCCTTCCATCTTTCTTTCTTTTCTTTTTCTTTTTCCTTTTTTTCGAGCGTACGCCCCTACTCCCCTTCCCTCCTGTTTCTTTTGTAAAATTTCTCGAGGTACACGACGGTGCCCTTTGGTTTGGATTTTAATGCTCAAAAAAGCTCTCGAAGTCCAGGCTCTTGTGGAGGGGATCCCCAAAGAGGTGCCGAAAGTCCACCTCTACATCTAGTCAATCTCTCCATGAACAGACAATATTTTAGCAGTTTCCAGCCTTGAGGTCATCGAGCAAAGCAACCTTGCTAATGTATTTGCTCCCTATCCTTGCATGGAGAGTTTGAGTGGATATAGAGGTGGACTCTAAGTGTAAAGTGGGGAAACCTTTCTATTACGATCTCAACATTAAGAGCTTTTTTGAGGTACAATTTGCTTCCAGAGAACACCTGGAGCGACATAGCGTTCCTTGAAAAATTTTATCAAGAAATGTTGCAAGAGTCGCAAATCTCTGACGCATGCAAGAGCTCTTTAAGAATGTTTACAGCAGTGGCCCGCTCTCGAACCTGTTCGCCTTCAAAACTCGAGCAGGCAATTCGAGCGGCTCGGGAGCAGTAATAGTTGCTTGCTGACGGTATGGCGAAATTAGTATTAATTAATGTATTAATGGTGGAACACGCAGCCATGATGATTATCATACGACACATATTCTTCAAATCTTCTACTTGACCGAATAGGCACCTAGATGAAACGAGAACCATTCAGATGAGCTGGATAAATAGCCCATCAATAAGTAAGTTTAGTTTGCGTACAGGCGTTGATAGTAGATACATTGTTAAGAGTCTATCAACTGCGAAGGAATAGCGGTGAATGTATGAGAAAAGGTCGCAAGCTCATTATCTGAGACTTTTTTTCATACTTTCTACTTTCGTAAAAATTAATGCGTTTCCACGGAAAAATGGGCGGAAATATACGTTATTTTAAGGAATGTCACACAACAAGGGAATGCAATAATTTCGTCAGTATTTTTTTTAAAGAGTGCAAGTCCATGTGCCAAAAAGTGGAGGTCAAAATTAAAATCGACCAACTGAATAAAAAAGAGGTGCTAAAATTTAACACGAATTTTCCTCCCTACATACTTCTAGGATTTCCTTTTTGCAATCCTCGATGTCATCAGTTCATTTTACGTACCTTATGAAAGTATATCTATACCTGGTAAGTCTCATGGACCCCCCCCCCCTTCTTTTGGTTTGGAACTTGCTTTTCGGATCAGTGCCCTCTTCGCTTATGGCGCTTCCCGATCAATATACTTTCAAACTTTAGAAAAAAGTTCCCGATGGCGTTTAAGAGCACACGTTTAAAAATTAATCAAATATTTAAGAATTAATCATGTATTACGGAACGCACTATTTACGCCCTTTTAACCTTGGTCCATCCCTCATAAGTAAGCAACAAATACCAACTTATCCAGGATCGGATTTACCTACTTGCCGCCCATGGGCCGCCTGTATTTTGCCGCCCCTTCTCATTTGTTTTGAAACATCGATACAAACCATCAAGTATACGTGCCGGAGGAGGAGGGGTGTATAACACGCGTTTATACTCGTATTGGGCACATTATTCGTGAAAGTGCTGTCAACACTAGCAAAAGTTCACGAACTTTGCGCAAAAATTAAGTTCCGTAAACCTTTTTTTGTGTGGACGAGGCCTTTCATTTGTATGAAAAGAAGGAAAAAATTATGAAAGAATAAACATGAATGTGATTTAATGATTTTAATTTCCGCCACCGCGCCAATTGCACTGTGTGTGGCGCAATGCGTGAAGTTAGTATTCCTTCAGTCTTGTATGCGCTATGCGTTTCACGCCGACCGCTGCTGACCACACTGTTTTTTACGCAATGCGTGAAGTTTTTATGCAGTCTTGTAGGCACTATGAGTTTCACGCCAACCGCTGCTGACCACACTACGTTTGACGCAATGCGTGAAGTATTCATGGAGTCTTGTAGGCGCTAATATGCGATTTCATGCTAGAACCGGCGCGGCGCGCCGAGGGCTTCTCCTTTTCATCTCAAGTCCTCATCATGGCGCTCTGCGCCGCGCCGCTCCAGACCAAATTGCGTGTTTGGTTTCTCTTCCAACTAGACTAACAAAAGGCGCTGTCTCCTGTATCACCGAAAGACGAACAAATTGAAAATTACTTTACCTTCACTCTCAGGAAATGAGAGAGATTTGGTCGCCTTTTCTCGGTTGTAATTTTTTTTTTTCTGAATCCGATTTTTTTTTTAATACCTACCTTTGAAAAAATTGCAACATTTGCCGCCCCTAAATTAGCCGCTATGGGCCGCGGCCCATGTGGCCACCCCCTAAATCCGGCCCTAAATGTATCATCGAGTTGAATCTCGTCTTATCCACTATCCACCCATTTTTACACTAAATTGAACCAAGAAAACTTTTTTTTCCCCCCCGCCCCAAAAAAAAGTCATTTTTTACGCATGCCATTTTCTAACGCTTCCCCACGCAATGGAATCTGCCAAAAACTCTCAACTCTCCTTTTCGTATTGCGTCACGCAATACCTAAAGACTACTTAGCATTCCCCTGCTTTTTTTCTCCTACTTTTCGCTGAAAGAAGATGTAGTCCGCACCCCTTTGGCATCGCAAAAAAAAGTAAAACCTATGTTTATTCTTGTTTTTCAGAGTAACGGGAGGTGAGCTCTTCGATCGGATAGTGGAAAAAGGGAGCTATACGGAAAAAGACGCCTCAGACCTCATACGACAGGTTTTGGAAGCGGTCGATTATATGCACGAACAAGGCGTTGTACATAGAGATCTCAAGGTAAAGTATTTCAACGTGTTCCTATTTTCTCGACGATCTCCATCGCATTACACTGCCGTGCTAAGGAAAAACACCGTATGAGCCTTTAGGCGTTGCCAAATTTTCTTTAATAAATCACGAATTTCTGGATAAATTTGTAAACATTTTTCCTCCAATTTTTCAGATCATTTTGTTCGCAATTTCACCTAAATTTCCTGAAAATTCCAAGGAAAAATATTCATAGCTTTCCGCAAAAATAAACATTCTATCGACGGAAATTTGGCAACTCTCGAAAGTTCATACGGCGTTCTTCCTTAACACGGCAGCATACGCCCGACCAGTGGCGTGGCGTGCTTTGCGATGTATCGATTGATCTGTCATTTAAACCTATGGAAAAGGATCGATAAACATGGTGTTCGCTACGAACACCTTCATAATCGATTCTTTACCATCAAGGATGCAGTTTTACATCTATTTTATGATACCCATATGTTTAATTTTGTACCGATTGAGCCCCATATGTCTCGAAAAATTATTCTAACACTAATATTCCACTGAATGATCCTTTACTTTTTCAAGCTTGTTTTGCTCTTATTCCCACATTGAAAGCTTAATTTCGTTGCTGTAGATTGATGTAGAATTGTTAACTCCGATGCAATTAAACTGATACTTCTTGCAGGGACGTTTTGGATAGCTCTTCAAAAAAGAGGAGTCAAAGAAAGGAAGGAGAGATCAAAGCTTATTAGCAGATCTGCATTTTCACCTCTGTACTGGAATTTAAATGTATAATATAGGAGTAAAATTTCATTTCATGTAGCCTCCTGAAACCCAATGACAAGAATCTAATCACCCAATTATTTTTTTTTCCACAGCCTGAAAACTTATTGTATTATAGTCCAGCTGAAGATAGTAAAATTATGATTAGTGATTTTGGCTTATCTAAAATGGAGGATTCTGGAATTATGGCCACAGCCTGTGGTACCCCTGGATATGTTGGTAAGAAGTAACGTAAATAAAATGTATTAGATGGTAGCCAATCGCAATTGGGAATCATTTCGGGCATCTTTCGACGATACCTCCTGTCAAGTAAATTTCAAACTTCCGAAAAAGTTGTACGTGTAAAGTTGACTGATATTTGAGTCCACAAGGCGAGGTATGATGCTTGATGACAGGAAAACATAAAAGAAACTTGCTGGACATAACTTATTTGATAATTTTCCATGTAACCAGGTTCAGTTCAGCTTCCAGTTTTGTTAATTCATAGTTAAACTTTTTTAAAGGCCTTAAATGTCCGTCTAGCAACCACCAAGTAATAAATAGTGCTTCGTTCACACTCTATGCTTAAATTGTTGTAACTGAATTCTTGGAGGAAGTGGTCCATAGGAACAGTCCATACTTACCACTACCAAGTTGTATGTTGAGGTATAGTCAAGTCAAAATTGTAAGCTGAACGCTTGCAGAAAACTTTTTGCCCTGAAATTTTATCCCTAGTGTCTGAGTCTGAATAGTTTGAATGTGTCTTTTTAGCCTGAAAGTGTGTCCTGTAAAATACACAAAATTATTTTGGTTGTATTTGTTTGTGCCCTTTCAATATCCCTGAGGAGGTAACCATGCATTCTTAGTTATAACTCCATCCACCCCTCGTCCCTGCTCTTTGGCCAGTCTCGGGCAACCATTGTTTGAGACCATCAAACTGGGGTTGTCTGGCGTCTGGCCGGGAATCAAATCCGGGACCTTCCAATGATAGAGCCAGCGCCACAAGCCTTACACCATAGCAAGCCGATTTATAGCAATGCACAGTAAGTGAAAGTGCTTACAATTTTAGGAATCTTCTGTAATCATTCCACAAATAGACCGTTAGCTGATTCCAATATCCAAGTATCCTTACCCAGTAATTGATTAATAATTGTATTTTTCATTTTTGCAGCACCGGAAGTGTTAGCTCAAAAACCTTATGGCAAAGCTGTAGATGTATGGAGCATTGGTGTTATTTCCTATATTTTACTGTGTGGCTACCCCCCTTTTTATGATGAAAACGATGCCAATTTGTTCGCTCAAATTTTGAAGGGTATGTCCATCAAATATCTCTGTGATTTGATGATCTTGATCATCTTTGTTGATTTTTCATTTTTCTTGGTATTTCATAATAAATTATATAGGATTATGCATTTTAGCTGCTCTAAGTTCTGGCCAACAATGATTGACTCAAAAATATTAAATGATCAAAGTCACACAAATGCTTAGATTGCAAATAACCAGTGTGCCACTCGGTGAAAAATAATAGAGGTAAATCTGCCCTGCCACAGGAAACTTTTAAAATATTTTCAATCAAATTAAAAAATTTGTGGCTTATCAATGAGGGAAATTGTTTGACAATGGCTCAACTTGGTGTTGTACAATATTCCCAAAGGTTGTACACCCTTTGGAAATATTTTTTTTTTTTCATTTATATTTCTCAGTTTCTTAAGGGTTCATAAAATGATGTGGTCAGTTGCAGCTTTGCAAGATATCTTAATATCCATCGAGAGCCCTATATTTTCATCCTTTCCTGAGATTATGTTGGATTCGTTTTATATTTTTCTTTTGTCTTTTGCAGGAGAATTTGAGTTTGACTCTCCATATTGGGATGAAATAAGCGATTCTGCTAAAGATTTCATTCGGAATTTAATGTGTGTAGATGTAGAAAAGCGATACACTTGCAAGCAAGCCCTCGGGCATCCATGGTAAGTTGAAATTACTGTTTTTTTTCTTATTTTTAACCTTTTAATCTGAATTATAATCTTTTGAAGTCTTAGCACCTCTCTTCCATCTAAATTTATTTCAGTAAATTTTTGAAAAATGTTAAAAACTTGTAAAATTTTGTTAAACACCTTGCTTTTTTGAGTCATTATGTTTTCTGTTGATGATAAACTCTGTAACTGCATAGGTCGGTTTGCAATATTGTAGACTTCCAATTTTTAATCAGAAAACTAAACCGTGTAATTTTTTGAACATTTCTATTTATTGTCCTCTATTTGATGAATATTTGGTGTAATAATAAAACAATAGTAATAAAGCAATTAAATTTGCCTATTTTTACCTCTAAAATAAAATATGAGCAATAATTTTCCAACACTGCAGTGATTGAGCTATGCAGTTTCTAAGTTTGGCCATTTTCTAGTTATTTTAAGCAATTTTTAAGGTTTAGAAAGTTTTGAGGATTCATCATAATTTTGGTGCCAACTTTTTTTTGCAGTTCAGGAGTATTTTAATCAATATTGAGGTTTGTCTCCATTTTTTTGGTTTTGCTTTTTCTCACCCTCCTTCTGTTTGATCTCCTTAGGATCTGCGGTAATGCTGCTAGTAACAAGAATATTCATGGAACTGTATCAGAACAACTTAAGAAAAATTTTGCTAAATCTCGTTGGAAGGTAAGATAAATTTCAAGCATTCATTACCTAGAATGAAGGTTTGCCATTGAAATTGTAGTCTTTGCACTTTGTTCAAAGAGGGACGTAACTTTTCAAGCAATCAACAGTATCTCAAAAGTTTGCTTTTTTGAGCAATCTTTATCGGCCATTTTGTAAAGATGATTAGAGCAAGGTCTGAAATATTTTTTTAGTTTTGTTCATGGCTCAAAAAATTTTAAAGACTGTTGAGTGTTCTATCAGCACGATTTATCATTCAATACTCAAGACTATTTTTGGTGTGTAGACACTTCTAACTGAGTAGATTTGGTTGTGCAACTTCTCGTCTGAGTATAATTAGTATAAATCTGAATGTAACACAGTGTTTGTTTTTCAGTCACATTTAATTATGCAGATTCTCTGCTTGATTGACTGAAGAAATAACTTGGGAATTAATTGAAATATAAGGAGAACTTATACCTTTCACTCATGAAGGCTTAACTTTCATTTATGTTTTAAAAACCTCAACATTTCTACTGTTATTCCTGTTCCGAGTATATCTCCTGGAAATGCCATTTTTTCAGCTTTATATTTTCTAAGGCAATCTATAAATCAACTGGAACTCTGCCTCTTGAAGGTGTGTGATTAAGTCATGAACGAATGAGGTTATGCAGGGAAAAGACCCGCATAGAGTTTGAAACATTTGACTCTAAATCTCCCGTGCTCTTCTGCTGATCTAATTTTTTCTTGGAAACGGACTGAAATTTGAGAACTTTCTATCATTTCACTGAAAAAGAAGTCGGCTCAAATGAGATTACCACTGAGATACTTATTTTGTGAAAGTGAAAAAATGAAAATCATCAAATAGCTTTACTGTGATACTTTTGGTGACCCATCTTGCACTATGCATCAAGTTTTGACAAAAGTATCGAAAAATATTCACCTAATATCATATAATATACATATAGTATACATTAGTATACATTCACCTAGTATCATATTGGGTGTCATTCCTAGCTTTCTTTGTTGAACAAGATTATGACACTGAGGGATAAACAATTCTTCAGCAGGAAGTAAAACACATGGATATCAACTGATGAACATGAAACACATTTTGAAGATTCAGGAAATGCATCACACTGGAAAACATTTCTTTTTCAAGAATAAATTAAATTCATAACCGGTGATAATTACATAGGCTTTTGTATAAATTCTCACATGGACTCATATCTTGCAAATCTTCATCATTAAAGTTACTGTGAAAAAAGTGTTACAATTCGATCATTTTTAGAAGATAATTTCTCAACGGATTAAAATGCTATCGCCCATATCCATTGATGAGTAATCGGGGTTTGTAGGTTTAGAAAAGAGAACTGATGTATTTATCGGGAAGAATGGAAACAAAGCCCAATAAAGTGGCTCAAGAGCATTGTGCTTAATGGAATATAATGAGGTGAAGTGATCCAAGTATGACTCAGTGTATCCGCCTGAAACAGATGTCTTTTCCACCGACGTGGCTTAGGAGCATAGCATCTTCTCCCAATGGATGAAGGTTTTTTTTTTATTCAGTCTCAGAGTGAGCAGTGTGCTGCTCCATATAGGCTGCACTTGGACGATAGCAAATTTGAAAATGTCTCAGTTTTTAGATACTTTTCAATAAAAAATCCAAACCGCTCATTGTGAATGAACGGAGTTCAAGGATATCATGAATTTTCAATTCTGATGAATATGAGAGAAAACTTGATGAGATTAGAAATTCTGCTATCCTTTTGTGTAAACCACCAGACAACACGATGCTTTGTTGAACAGATTCTCTCTTTTTTCCTCTATAATCTTAAGTATGTTAGAACACAAAGAAATCAGCCCTAATAATACTTGCTTTGAGACGATAAAATATTCCTGTGCGCATTCCTCATTTGATGGAATATGATGAGCATAATGTGTTGGTGACTAGTTTCTGTTGAATGATACCAATGTGAATATTGACTATTTACTTTGAGTTTTACAATCTCTAGCCTCTATTAGAATTTGAGGTTGACTTTGAAATGTGCTGCGTGTTTTTTAGGAGAGGGGGGTGTTGCATCAAGATATGTATAGTGTGTTGATCTGTGTTGTCCTTGTTTGCGTAGCAAATAATGAATGCAGTTACGATAGTGCACAAAATGCAGAGATTAGCTCTGGTTAGTTGTGGGCCAGCGGACAGCGCTCACTTATGTCCCCCAATAGAAGAAGAAGTAGAGGCCAAAGAAGATAAAGATAGATCTCGAAAAGATGAGCTCTTATTAGAGAAGCCGCTTGAAAGTGTCCAAGGAGGTATCTTGTCCTCTTCATTTTATTGTTTAACTGTTTTTTGCTCGTTTTATATCTTTGATACGTATTCCTCCTACCCTTCCCACTGCACCAAAAATTTCCACTTGCTCACATGTTGATCGTATTCTCCTTGGATTTGGAAAGTCATTGAAGTCTCACTACCCTCGTTGTCATGGACAAGAATTGGTTGAAGCAGAGGAAATCAACAATGTTAAAAGAAATTTCGGTTAAATTAGCATAGTCATCGTAAAAATTGTGCAAGTATGTGCCATTGTGCTAGCTCTCAAAAAATTTGTCTTTTTTCAGCTAGTTTTTACCAATTTTTTTCCCTTCACGCTCTAATTGTGGCTGTTAACTTTAGATCCCATTATGTTAATCTGTTAAGAAAGCAGAAGTTCGAATAGAACTCAAGATATTGTATGAAAATTACCCCATTCCGTAGACGCACCCAGTTTGTTATGAATTTTATCGACTCTTAATCCTCGTATTTTGTATTTTCTTTTTTTTTTTAAAAAAAAAGTCACCATTCTTGTAAGTCTGTAGTTTATTCTCATGCTGATACTTCTCAATAAGTGGAACAAAATTCTAAGTTAGCATTTAATTGTTAGTTAAATTTATTTGTAATGTATTTTAAATGCCTCATTCAAAAAAGTAAAATAATTCAACTTCAATTGCCCGTACATTGAAGGCCTCAAATATGTCCTCCAAGATGTTGTTTATCAGGAAATTTCTTCTGCAGTGAGTTCAACAAGGTTTTATCAAATGATGAGTGAATGAAACAATCAAAGTGTCCTTCAGCTTTTTATTTCATTTTCAAAAAAAGCTAATGACCCTCTCCCTACATATTGTTTTAAATTTAAACTTACTACATTAGGCTGAGTACGCTCCTCCACCTCTCACATATTTCTGTATTCTTGACATTCCATGTACATGTTCTTCACGTAATACATATAATGATAGTGGTCGAGAGAAAGAAGGTTGAGTCGTTTGTAAAAGATGCCCTTCTCATTAGAAAGTAGGAGATCTATGGCCCATAAATTACAATTCCACTAGCAATTCTGAAAATATTTTCTTTACTGACTTGAAATTAAAATTATGGGTCTCAGGTATTCTCGCTTGTGACTGTAGAATACATTTTTATCTTTGTTTAAAATTAATATCTCTCGTTTATTAGCATAGTTGCCAAATCAATGCACTGAGCTTTATCAGTATTTTTCGGTTGTTGGCTTTGAGGAAAATTTTGAGCATGATTTACAGAGCAATGAAAAAAGTATTGTTGAATTGACACCGATCCATCGACATCTATTTTTGTTCTTTCTCAGTCATGCACCAATTAATTGTATGTTCACACATTTTCATCCAAATTTATATCATTTTTCCCATTTTCAATTTTGATTGCAATTATTTTTAGGTGTTGGGTATTGCTATCGCAGCTCTGATTTTTTGGTTTTTTCATCACGTCTTGGGTTCTCAAATCCTAAAAAAAGTATTAATCCAAAATTATGAGTGGGACAAATAATTGTTAAATAGAGTACATAAAATTGCAGTATGTAGCATACCTTTCATGCTTTTCGAGAGAATCACTTGAATAGAGTAGACTCCAATATTTCTCTTGAGAAGAAACTATTTAAGCTATGATCATGATTCCTTTCTAATCATAGAAGTGGCTTTATCACTGATAGCATCAACATATTCAGTGCAGTCATAAAGTAAATTTTCTTTTTATTCTTTGAGAGCTCTCGTGAGCCTCCTCATATTAAATCATCACAGTTTAAAATCAGTTTTCAAACATCAACCATGACGGATCAAAAGCCATGGGAGGCTGTTTTGGGTTAAAAATGTTGGCATTCTAATAGCCTAGAATTTTATGCGTTGAAAATAGTCCTTAAAAAGCAGCTTTTGCTTCAATTTCATCGATGTGCTTCGTTTGATGATTTGCAAGAAAAATCGAGGAAGAAAAGTTTATTTATTTGAGGATCGGATTAATCTTTCTTTTTATGGTTGGTTTGGAAAGTCCAAACTAAATTTTGTGTAAAGTCCTTAGTCAATCTATGGACCACAGAAAGTGAAATAGAAAATTTCATCTTCTTAATCCTAATTTCTTCTTCATGGTCAATTATCCATGTGTGAGTTCATCATTTGCCCTTTATATCCTTAATTCAACCGTAAAACCTATTTTGTTTGCTTGTTTGTTGAATAGTTTGTTTGTTCGCTCAACTATTATTTTTTTTCTTCTTTTTTTGTTGGCTCATCTGCACAGTTGTTCAAATATGTTTGCATTTTCTGCCTTTTAATCTGGATTCATGCATGACGGACAGAGCTAAGAGAGCGATATGCTTGATACGTAACTACTTTTATCAGGCCAAGCTATGACCAACAACACAAATTTCACAATTTAGTAAACATAGAAAGAGAATTAAGTTTCAGACCCTCTCTGATAGTTGTAATTAGCTCTCAGAAAATGGTTTAGTTCAACTTACGATTTGAGATTATCAGTCATTTTAATGATTGGCCTGTTGTCCAAGTTTACGAACAATTGCATTTTATGGAGCTCTGTCCGGTCATTTTCCAGCATTCTGATGCTTCTGCGAAATTCCAATCCTCAAGATTAAAAATCTCTATCATGAATTGTCCAGCAGTGAACTTCCATCGGCTGTGAAATTCAGTCAACACTCTTTTGCAACATTGCAAATGTTCTTGCACATTTTATTCTTATGAGTAAGACTGATTTTTTTTTTTTTCATTTTCCCTTAAAAAAACATCCGGTGTGATTTTCCTAAGCTGTGTTAAAATATGTGTCATTTTTTAATATTTACCACGATGTTAAAAAAAATGAGATTATTGTGGCGATTGTAATTTCGGTTTTTTCCTCTTCTCCACTTCGTCTTTCTCTGTTGTTTAAACTGTAAGTAATTTCATAGTTACTCATGTGATTCTTGTTGTTACGTTTGTTGCAGCAAGCCTATCATGCTGCAGCAGTTATCCGTCAAATGCAGCGGATGGCGCTGAGCGGCACACAAACTGCAGCCGGCTCCAATAACCCGTCTCCTCTTGCTGACTTCAACGGCTCTCAGCCAAATGCCTAAAATTAGGCTCCTGCTGTGATCATTGTCAAATTTTACCTTGGAAATGCTTCTATTGGAATCTTTTTAAATTATTTTATACTCTTATCTCAAAAATTTACTTCATTGGGGAAAACTCAAAGCTACACATACTCAAATCATTGCTGCAAACATTTAATTTGAACAACACTCACTGAAAGTACAGAAGTTTGGGAATGATATTCAGAGATGAAGAGTAATCGGCAGGATGTGATACAGTGACCTAGCTTTATATTGAAACTGCATGATTATTATATTAGTGAACAATAATGAAATAATAACAATTTCAGGCTACAATTTTGGCTTTGTTGGATTAGATACTCAACTCTACGCATTGATATTATCTTTAATGTTATTTTTTATTATTCTGGTCCTTCTTTATTATCCTCTCCCGTTTCTAATGGAGAAGAAGGATACATTTGAATCACTCACCTCCTTTTTCCCTTCATCATCTATGAACAATATCTCAACAGGAATTTTACGAGCTCTTTAGAATCATGTATTTATACATAGGTAATGGGCAATATCTAGGACGCAAGTATCGCCAAAAAGCCCAAAGAGCGCTTAAGATAACCAGGCAAAGTGCAGGATCAAGAGGTAATTTCAACTACGCCCAAAGACTCTCGGACAACTGCGTTCAGTGCAGTTTATTGGTAAGAAAATGTACGAATACCTACCCATGCCCAAACTTACACTGTCTGTGCCTGCTCATTGAGGTCCAAGTGGTATTTCGTCACATAATTCCCAAACTGGTTGGGTAACTTCGACAATGCCCGTCCAGGCACAGTCAGTCTATGCCCGAGTCCTAGATGTTGCCTGTAACATGTGTATATATTACACTATAATAGTATATTATTATGGCTTTTAACAATAACAAATATCTTAAGATTTGGTACTGGATTCATTAAGATCGGAAATGACGAATTTTAGCAGTAATAAGAATGAGTTAAAAATGTCAGGGCCTCCTCACAACGCTTGATAATTTTCGAGGGTTTAGCAGCCCAGACAGTTGCCTGGATTGCCTAGCCCTTGCAGCAAGCCTGTTGCAATGGAAAATTAGTCTTCAATTACAAATGTATGATTAGTGCCCATTTACTCCCACTGAATGTGGTACCCTTCTCAAACGTTGTATGAAAACAGTATGAGAATCTTCTCAAACGACCACCAAGTTTCCTCTGATAATTGAAGGAGGCAAACATTTGGCATTGACTTATCAAGAAAGGCAAACTCTTCATTTCATTTTTCTAAATCCCTCGGAATATCTTGATTTTCCTCAGTCGTGAAATGAGAAAGTGATACATACTTTTGAGTCTCTCCCCATAAAAAGATTTTTTAACTTCTAATAGACTTTTTAAGTGCTTACTTCATAACCAAGCGCTATGGTTCTAAACAATTTCTTCTATCCTATACGCACTTTTGAACCACCCATTAGAGCAAGAAGCTCTGAAATTTGGACGGTTTTTTCTTGTTTTTTCGACTTTAAGGTAATGAACCAGAATAAGAGTGACAAAAATGGCTTCAGAACCATTTTAAAGCTAAGACGAGTCCAAGACACTTTCTTTAAATCTTCGTTTCCTCATTTTACTTTCTCAGTGAAAATCTCTAAAAAATACCGATTTATCAACTCATTTTTCCACAATAATGTCACACTGTTCTCCTATAGGATTTCCTAAACAACAGAAATTGTGGAAAGACACGGGAACATCCTGAGAGATTCAGTGAAGCTTGTTGAAGAGTCATGAGTGATTTGAATGCAAGGCACTTTGAAAGCAGAAGCGTTCTTTGATTGTTTGCTTTCGAAAGAACCTTGCAATTTTTAAGAAATTATTTTCAGATTTTACACCCCTTCAATACTGAAAATAGATAATCTTGGATACCTTGATTCAAGAGCAAATTTCAGAATATCCAAAAAATAACAATAGACCCTTACATACAGGTGAGTCTATGTACACGCTTACAATGTTTATCGAATCTAAATTAGATAATCTACATAAGGGGACTCCTTTGTGGCACTAAACATAACATTCTGGTGTTAGTAAATTGACTCATGTAAAAATTAAGCTTAAACTTTAAATAGCACAGAAGCAAGAGCAAAAATTCATGAAAATCATTGAAGGAGATCATAAAACGACGACAGAAAACAAGTAAAAACAGGTATAATTAGTATTTTCACTAGAAAATTAATATGAGAAAACCAGAATTTAAAGATACTATCTTGGACTTATCTCATGCTTAAAACGTTTCTGAAGCCATTTTTGTTCCTCTTTTTCTGGTTCATGGCTGTTTTAATGCCGCAGAAATCGCCAAATTTCGGGACTTAGCGCTCCCATAAGCAGACTATAAGTGCGTAAAGGATAGAAACAGTTGTTTGGAGTCTAGCTCTTGTCGGAGCAGCTAGTGCTGATCAAGATGTAACATTAAACAAGTCTATTACGTTAGTCAGTTTTGTTGTTCAAAGACTATGCAAATACTACATATGCATGACCTACACAACTGTGACATGTTTCTAAGTTCTAAAGTTTTAAATATTAACTTAACATTTTTGAGAGTACCTACTTACATTGTTTATTGTTTTTTGTTGATATAATATGTACCTATCCTCATGAGAATTATAAATATTTTAAAGATATTTTATTATTAACAGGTTTAAACAATCTAGTACAGTTTTGAACATTCCTTCACCTAGCATCGTTTTAAATGGCTTATAAAGCTTACTCCAAGAAAAAAAAAATATTCCTCTGCTAGTCTTTTTCAAAATGTATCAGCAAGATTATAAGAAAACTATTTTGTTTCAGAATAAATCAACGAATGTAACTTTGTTCTAAACAATCATTGTGTTTATTTTCTCATTTTTCATGAAATGCTGTTTTTTCTTCCATAATTTTTATGTTTTCATCTCTTGTTGTTTCCAACTAAAATAGTCTATGGCTCAAGAGGTAACCTAAATATTAAAAAAAGTGATCTAAACAATTACATCCTCATTTTGAACATTCCATCTACACTCTGAAAACACAATTTCTCATGTTCTCTTTTTTTAATAAGTAGTCTCTTTTTAGAATTATATGATCTACTTTCCCCGAAATTTGGGAAAATAATTTTTTTAAAAGATAACTTGTGGAAATCTATCTTTGTTTTTGAACATTCCATATAGTTTTAAGAAAGGTACCTACATAATTTATTTTGCAACTTGCATTTATTGTAAATAATTTGCTTTGTTATTGTAAATTTTGCGGTTGAAACTTTTAAATATTTTACATTTGTCACATAGACTCGCGCAACCTTTCATTCCGAGTGATCATTTGTACCTACCATCTTTCATGCCTGTTTCCTGTATGTTTTCCTTAAAAATAAGTAATTTCAAAGCAATCTATCTTGGTCAGTTAGTTCACTCAATATTTTCAATTTTATCTTGTGTCCTCTTCAGTTCGATTTTATAATGATTGAGTTATTTTGTCCCACCCATGTGCAATTGTCAATCATCAAGACTGTCATTCTTTGAGATCATTAAGATGTTTTGCAACTAAACTTAAAATTCTGGAATTGATAACAATTTCAAAATCCTTTCATTTATGAAAATAATAGGTCCCATAATTGAGTTCCCGGGTAACTGGAAATTTTGTCATTAGTATAAATAGCAATAAGGATAAACTGCAAAATGAGATCATTGACTAGTTGCATCACAGTTGCTTTTTTGGATGTCAATTTCAGATGAGTAATTCGATGTCGTGCAACTGCTGATAGTCAATAGTAAATTTAAATTTATGGCAAAAATCACATGGCCTTTAGATCAATAATATCACTATGTTCTCTGTTTCAGTCTAGTCTTCAGGATGAGTTTTAATACTCAGCCTGCGAGTGCATCTAATTTTTTTCTTTTAATTAAGCCGGTATGAGTTGATAGATAACCCTAGTTTTTGAATTTTTAAACCGAACTCAACCCAGAGATTTCAGTGATTACTTCTACTTAGTTGGCAACATTTGCCAAAGCTATTTACTCTTTTTGCTCCCATTTAGCTTATTGGTCAGGCACCTACTTTAAAATGATGAAAGATGCTTTAATCTAGAAAACTACAGATAATGATAGTCGAAGATGTTATCGCTGGCAAAGTGACTTACATATATTTATTTTGGCACTCTCATTTCTGCTTTTCACTACAGTTTATCTTAAATGGACTGCATACGGCAAAAAGAACCATTTTTTTCGTTACTTATCTCATAAATAACATATCCACCATACTGAATCCGTTTACATGCAGGTGCTTCTATGAATATGTTTAAGTACTTGGTTCCTTTTCGAGAACTACCATCAATGTGAATTTGGAACCGGTTTTGGTATGTTTTAGGAAGGTTACACTGGATCAAATTGCAATTTTTTCCCCCCATCTTTTATCAGTGTAAGATTACCCGAACTTCATAGTCGTCGGGTATCTGCACTCAATGATTCTGAGCATGTTCCTCAGAAGTGGCTCTCAAAAAATGTTTCCCTAATCTTCCTTTGTTTTGATCTTCAGAAAAAATTATCAGGAGCTCTTTTGTCTGATTCTCTTACTTGAAACTTTAATTTTCAGAGTCAAGATTCAATACAACTTATTTCATCATGTCGACTTGAAAATTACTTTTCTGACCTTGATCCGTTTTTTATTTTTCACCCTATTTTTTTCTCCTTATCTTCCCGTGTGGGATTGAATTTTAGACATACGTCTTGAAGAATAATTTGCACTCTATTAAAATTTAATAGGTACTTACTAAATAGCCAGACCAGTGTTGGTTGAAAAACTTTTTTAGTGTCAACTTATCTTATAATGTGAGGCTCTAAGAGAATATAACTCTCCCTCCTTGCTTGATTGAATTCAGAGTTGTAATGGATCCTTATCTAAAAGACATTGTTTTTATTGAAACTTTCAACCTGCTAAAGGTAAAAACTGAGGCGCTGCGACTTGAAGTCAACTAATTTTTTAGGCAAGAAAGTCAGCTAAAGTGGTTATTTTTGGAAGCACTCTGCTTTCAATTACTGTGATCATTGATTGGAATGGACCGCTCAAAAAATTTTGTAGCACCATTTGACCAATCAAAATTTATTTAAAGGCACAGATCGCTGTTGTTTCTTACATTTACTCATCATTTCTTACTCTGAAATATTTCTTGAAAATCCTCCAACTGACAAATAAGTGAAAAATGTGCTTTTTTAAATTCAAATGTTCAAATAACTGCTGTAAAAAGAGTTGCAAAAGTAGCTCTGTGAAATGTCGTTTTTATTTCAACCCTCGAACTAATGTATGCAAAATTAAACCTGAATGGCATGAATAATTAATTTTTGTGTCATCCAAACGTGACCATTTGTACTTGCGATTACAAATGGCACCTGTTTAATGGCTTATTTATTTGTCTAGACAGATTTAATTAAGCTTTTCAGATGTAACTTGTCTTTTTCTTTCTACAAACATGAGTTTCTTTCTCTATAACATTAAAATTCAAAGAAAGACTGAGAGTGCTTCAGATTTATTGCAGTGAGTCAAGTCATCGTACATTTATCTTCATAACTTGGAAATGTGTGCCGCAAGATCATGGGCAACAATTTACTCACAAATGCATCATCTCACAAATTTTCCCTTAATACTCACTCATATTTTTTCAAGTTATTGAGCAGTAACTGAAATTGTTAAGTTTATTGTTTTAATTATGAATTACTTATTTTTTATCATTTTTTGAGCATTGATGTACCCTTTCTTCATATCTCTTTGTTTCTGTTTGGTGTTTCCAATAAAAGATTCAATTTTTTCCTCTTGAAGTCCACCATTACTTGCTAACCCTGTAATATTTTTTATCAGTAATTCTACCACCTAGAGTCAAAGCGTTGTGACTAAATTTTTACCATGTGAGGTATCAATGGAAAATTTCAATGTGGTCCCTTTCCCTACAGTATAATCAAATTATACAGAAAATTTAAAAAGTTCAACTCCCCCCTTTTTCAAGCAGATGCACTTAGAAATCGTCACCCTTGTGTCTAAGCATCACATGCGCTATTTGCGCTTGTGTGCCATGTTGCATAAATTCTCAATTTTATCCAATTTTTTCCAAAAAATCAAATGAACACATTTCTTGATGACATAACATGTGGAATGATTTACTTAATTAATATCTTCCTAAGATATACCTTCCTCCCCTGAAATAACTTAAAAACATTGTAGCTGGTCAATTAGGAGGGTGGAAAAAATAATGCGATTGCAATAGGACACACCTTTTATTCTGGTACAGTTTTGCTGTAAATATGGTTTTCACCCCAAATACTGCAGAAAGCATCCAGTTTCAAGATAAAGTAAGTAGCTTAAGAAAAACTCCTAGTTGCCGATCTTATTGTCTTGACTGCATCACTACTGCTATTCACAAAAGAGGCTGAATTTTAACATTTCTTTTTCAAGACAAGATTATTTAAGAATTACTCAAACTTGATAACGATATAATTGGGTGATTCTTTGCTCAGTGTCAACTTTTACCCTCCTTCTTCCCAAGAACCACTGACAAAAGCGTGGCTGCCCATATAGTATTTTTCAACAGAAAAATCGAGATATATTGCAATTTTATCGGCGATAAAACGCTAGGAACAACATCTGGGCGATTATCCTCGATCTTCTCGGGATGAAATCGCGATTTTATCGCCCGGAAATTTATCGCGATATTTTCGAAGTAGAAATCGTGATAAATTACGATTTAATCTAGATTTTATCGACAAAAATAGATCATGATTTTATTGAACCAAGAATTGCGATGTGTAGCGATTTAATCGCCATATATCGCAATTTTTAATGCGATAATATCTTGATATAGTGCCACCGATAAATTCAATATTTATAGAAATCACTGCTATTTGGGTGGTATGATTTTCTGGGAATTGGTGGTTCCAAGATTTGTAATGGTCTGTACCTACATTGTGGCTGATCCTCATTCGTTGGAGAGTTTGCAGAATTTTTTAAACTGTAAATTTATGTCGAGGGACAGGGCCAAAGTTGATACATTTCATTCTAGCACATGCCTGATCAGTCATGAAAAAATCTACTACAAAATTGGTAACTTTCCCACAAGTCAAAAGAATATTTTGTACCAAGCTTTCCAAAAACAGTAACGATATTTCCCCAAATTAGACTGAAAATCAAAGAGGGGCAGAAAGTTGACACTTGACAGAGAATCACCTAAGTACAACTACATTTACATGGGATTTTGCTGATTTTAATTATAAACGTATCCACACACCCTCATGAATTATTATGCTACTTTCATATCTACTTTTAGTTAAACTAGTTGAGACCATTCACTGAAAAAGAGACATTAAGGCCAAGCAATTCAAAACCAGGACATTATTACTGCTGCTGAGAATAGCATTTCATGAGAATTTCGGTGCAAAAAAGCCAAAACATATTCAGGCAAACTTGAAATTGGTCAAGGAATTGTAGTATTGAGAGGAAACTTTTAAATTTTGATCTGCCTTGTCAATGCCAATGGCCAAAGTGTGAAACCATACATCTCATTTGCGACGTTGCAGACTCCGTGTCATAATTTATTTTTTCTTGAGAAAACTAGTCAATGTAATTTCTAGAAAACTTCCTTGATTTTTTTATTTTGTTAACAAAATATTCTGTAATATAAATTTCAAGCTATACGGGTAAAGTTGGCTTGTTTCTGTTGAAAAAATAAAAGAATAGCAAGAATTTTGAAACACCGCAATGGACATGTGTGGTATTACTTTTTGACAATCAGTAAATTGGGGAGTCAAAATGATCGGATTTTGGTGGAACTTCACATCCTTTGCTGGCAAAAAATTGAACTTGACTGCTGGCAACTTATCATTTGGGATACTAGGGAGTGTGCAACTGAAAAACTCAAAAACCGATTTTTCAACACATCTTGATAAGAATTACCTACTCTCCTAGAAAATTCCTCCATGACTTCGTACAATGTACGACAGAATGTGAAATAGTTCCTCTCTCATGGACAATCATAATCGTAATTCTAATTCATACTTTGAAATTTTCAGTTTTAAAGTAGGAATAATGCGTTTTTACCCTTTCTGAAATAGTAAATTGGTACTTTTAATGTTAAATGCATTAATTGAGTCTTAAAAGATTAAAAATTGATGAAAAATTTCTTATTTCTTTTTTTAAGAAAAGAATGAAAGTGAAACGATAAAAATATAAGCCTCGATTTAAAAGAAAGCTTCCAGTATAATCACTAAAGTATAATTTGGTGGGCAAAGCTTTGCTTACAGTTATTTTTTGGTGCACACCAAATAGATACATATTGATAGCAAAACCAGAATTACACAATCCAACAACAATCCATCAACACATATTGGAGAAAATTAGTAGACTAATAGTTCTACAAAATGCTACCTAATGGGAAAATACTTTTCAGAGCTTAGGAAGGGACTAGGATGTACAGAAATTATAATCACAGAATACAAACTGGAGAGTCATGATAGGAATTTAGAGGTGGGAAGGTTATTTTGCTACCTATTCTTTTTTGTACGGAACTTCAAAAATCAAAGACTGTCTTAAAATATAATGCCCTAAAAATATTTGCAAAAATTATACAATCTTACAAAAACAGATTAAAGCTACTAGGCTTTAAGTAACTGTGGATACCTTTGTAGACCTTGTGAAATGTGACTAAAAAATAAATCTCTGACTATAAAAATATAAAAGAACTAAGTTCAAATACAACGAAGACCATGTGGACAACACTCATGGTATGAAATCAGCAAGTACATCAAAGGAATATAGTATTTCAAGGAGCATCCAACAACAAGTTTCTGTGTATTATCTAGAAAAAATACTGTTCTTTCCGAATTTGAATAATTTGGTCACTAAGATTTTCTCTATTGCTTGCAAACACTATCTTAACTATTACCACCAATTTATACCAAATCAGGCTAGCAGTTATGTTTTGGGTCCTGTTGATATGAACTATAATAAAAGCCCTGACTCCGACCTCAACGGGTTGTTTTTTATTTGTAGACTTACTTCTTTTTTGTGGTCCGATCCTTTGTTGGAACAAACAATGGATCGGACCACAACAAAGAAGTAAGTCAACAAATAATCATGACATCCAACAGAGTGATAAAACCCCCTAGTTTACGAAAAAGTTTTTTTTTTATTTCTTTTTTGTCTAAAATCGTTTTCCCCGAAAGATTCCTTGTACAAAAGAGAAAGTCGGATTACAGAAGTGTGTAAAGTTGAAATGTAGCATTTCATGAGGATGATAATTTCATCTTTCATTAACACATGTCTGTTGAAACTAACAGATGAGAACGAAATTGGATAACAACTCACATTCTGCCCCAGGAATCGTCAGTTTTTGGCCCTTCTGCTCTCTTTAGGTTAAGATCGTGGTAAGTTCTTGCAACTTAATAATGGTTCATAAAGTTGGATAAAAAAAATCTTAAAATACATAATTGAGGTCACAAATTACATTGAAGAAACATCAGATGATTTTTATGATAAGTGCATTGTGCAGAACTTAGGTCAAATTTTACAATTATAATTTATTACTCTACTTTAATTGCATAGATATCAGCTCCTTTAAAATTTGAAAGAATAAAAGACAGGAAAATAGCGTTCTTACAGCTTCAAGCAAAACTTCTCATTTTTTTGGCTTAAATTCCGCATGAAACCATACCTGAAGAAGTGCAGTTGGATACTAGGACTAGATGGTCAAAATGTCAAAAAGCTTGATTCAAAGCACCCCATTTTCTGCCTCCCTCTCCCCCTTCTCTGATTTTCTTGTGGTCAAGAGTTTTTGGAAAGGATGTCTTCGATCAAACATAATTCATTTATAAAATATCAAGAAAATCTAAGGGGGACGAAAATTAAGGTTTTTTGAATGAAGTCCTTTTCTTGCCCAAACCATTTCTTCGGGTACACCGGTACAATTAATTTTACTGAAGAGTAAATTGAGGAGCAGTGGTTTTAAAAACCAGTTAAAGGTCAAAGGAAAGGAAAGAAATTAAGAAGAAAATAAAAAACAAAAAGAAAGAGCACATGAAAAACAAAAAAACCTAAAAAAATAACAAAAACAACAACGGAAAAAATAATATTGGGTATAATGTAAAAGCAATAAAAAAAAAAACTTCCTCATCCAGACTCAAGACATAGCAGGCGAATTTTTCTATGGCAGAGTCCAAGGAAAAATCGCGGCATGTCACACTAATGGGTGTCAAAACTGTGCAAATTTTTAATTTTCTTTGAAAAAAAAAACTGCGATCAAAATCGTTTCAGATTGTTCCAAGTAGATGTTTAAACAAAGAGAGTAAATTGCACATAGCAGTTTAAAGAAGTTACATCCTAATAATACACTCCTGGAAAATTTCCTAATTAGAGATTTAAGCACATTTGAACCCAGAGCATTCTCCATTGAAATTTTGAACTTCTTTGGAGAAAATCAAGCAAAAATTCTTCTAAAGGATTTTCTTTGCATTCGATCAAGAGGTTTGATCACATTTCAAACGAAAAATCTGATTTTTCATGCCTTCTTTCCTCACTCAAAGTACTCGTATTAATCTTACCACTTGAAAAAATATGAGCTTCATAACAAGCAAGATTATGAATAGATCATGAAAAAAACTATCCAACATCCAAGTAAACTATGAATAATTAATTTTGACAGCGTACAAGTTAGGATATTTTGATGTAGGGACAGTGTCATCTTTACAGGACGTCTGTCATTTGACAGTCCTGTGATTTTGAAGTCCTCTGACTGAAGACAAGGCAACATACCTCACGAAAAATAAGAGATCAGGATTTTGTCACTAAGCTTAAAAGTCTTCCGATTTTTCAAGCTTTCAGCCAATCACAAGCCAGAGTTTTCTGAGGTAACTCAAGAGTCTTTTCAGTGGTTGAAGCTTTTCATTGAACGGACACCAGGAATTTATCAGAAGGCTTTCGGGTTTAATGATTAGTTGAGACTTTCTGACTACTACTATTGCTACTACTACTAATTCTTCTCCATTGTTGACCTTTTTCCTCAATAATCATTATTTAGTTACGTTTCAGTCTAAGAAATGAGATTTATTAAAAAATAACAAAATTTTGGAACCCAGAGCTCTAAGCATCAAAAGCGTTGGTTCTAACTTTGGATTTTTCCCTTCCAGAATGAAAATGGAGATGAAAGGTATAAGTCAGTGTAAAAGAAAAAGAGATTACTTAGTTCCTAGAATAGAACAAATTAAGGAGAGAGGGAAAGAGAGAGAATGAAATAGTCTATCTCAACAGTCCAGTCCATAAGATAATCACTTTTGACTGCAATAAAAAGAAATGAACTTAGTAATTTAAAACAAGAGATTATCAAATTTTTTCTGGGTATGCTCTCTCTTTTTTGAGATGCACATGTATGTACTTGTCATTTATATAAAAGCTCAACTAAACTGAAGATAAAAGTTAAAATGTATTAAGTCAGAAAAGGCATAGGCAACAGTTTATGATAAGTAAACAAAAATTTCAGTATGGAAAATGGTCTTGGGTCTATACCTAAAAAAAAATATCTGGTACAGAAAAATGAAGAAAAACACCTTAATAATCTAAGAATAAAGAAGTTAGAATCTTGCCGTGTGCAGAATTGGTAAAATGTAGATGATGAAACTAGAGGAAGATCAAGCGGCTACGCTTCATGTTCATCATTTGTATCACAGTCAACAACTCCTATTAAAGATTCCCTCTGCTCCATATCGCTTTCAGAAATCCTATGAAAAACAAACACGATGGCTTTAGTCAACTCAAATTATTCCATGTAGTGAAGCAAAAAGATCTGTTATTTAACATCAATTGATTTTCAGGTTTAAATCTGATTTTTAATTTTATTGGCTAGAATTCCTTTTTACACATACATTAGGCCGCTTTTATAGCGCAGCCTTGCGCTCTGCGATGCCCAATCGCCATTGCCCCCTATTCTCTCAGAGACCATCAGGCAATTGGCATCTTCTGATCCCCTCCTCCACTCCTTGTCGCCAACCTTTCACAGGACGTCCACGCCGTCGCCTTCTGGGAGGAACCCAATCAAAAACCTGCTTGGGCAACCGATCGTCTGCCATCCCAAACCAGACCAACTGCTTGGACCTGATATCATGCACGATGTCATTCTCCACACCTATTATCTTGCGCACTTTTACATTGCGGATACGCTCTCTTCTTGAGATGCCAGCAGACCTCCGTCGAAAGTCCATCTCAGTTGCCCTAAACATGTCTTCAGTCCTTTGCTTCAGTTGCCAGACCTCACTGATACTCTTCACGATGACGTTGTAAATTTGTCTTTTAGTCTCCTTAGAGATACTCGTGTCCCAGAGAACCCCATTTAGCATCGCAATAGCTTTCCTGCCTTGCAGCTTAGAATTCTGCCTAGAATTCCTCTTTTACTGTTAATAAAAATAATAAAACCCTTCAGTTTTAATTTGGAGCTTCCTTAAAACATGCTCTGATTTTACTCTGTGATATTGTCACCATGATCTTCTCTGCTGTTTTCAAACAAAACTATTTTGAGAAGACAAAGAAGACAAGATCTCAAATTCACTATGTCTTGACTTAATTTTCTTCTTAAAAAATCCTTTAAAATACAATGATTCATCCAAGCCTATATAAAAGAAAATTTTTGAAAGGTATCCTTGCTGGATATTGTGATGAGTGTTGTTAAAAAGATAGAGAAAAGACACAGGCATAAGAGACATTGCTGCTATGCTGCTCAGACCATGGAATACTATGACACGCTTCTCATTTCTCATTGGTTCAGTATCGTGATTTCCATTCGTGTTGCAGTTTTACTTTCGTTCTAATTGGACAATCTAAAATCCAAGTAGAAAGGAATGCTATTTTTAATCTGTGACGTATTCTGGTTGGAAATCTTACCTTACTATTTTTGTGCGTTTGAAAAGGCAGACAAAATTAGAAATAAGCTCAAGAACAGGATCCTTATTTTGAAGATGAGCCATGAAAAAGAGGGAAAAATAGGAGGAGATGATCAAGAGAGCACCGATGTAGAACATTGATGCGTAACTGACATTGTAAAAAAAGATGTCTATCATTGATTCCAAAGGTACCGTCAAGGCGATAGCAGTGGCAGCTATCAATGGAGACGTTAGGAAACAACTCCTGTTAACAAAAAGAAAAATTAGAGTTTTTGGAGCAATCCTAACTTCACTAAGTTTCACTCTATTAGGTAGAGTAAAGTAATATGAATTTCCTGATTGTACTGAGTTCTACAAGAAGTAATTAAGTGACATTTCTACAAAAAATGAGTTACAAGTGATTTTAGGCTTAACAATTACCTACATTACAATCTTCAGTCTAGAAATCAAAACCCAAAAATAATTTTTCATACTCCAAAAATGGGCTCTTAGTTCATCTAACCACACCCAAGAAACTCATCTTATTCGGGCACAAGGTTACTTTTAAAGTAGGAGATAGTTGGAGTCAGACAATCAGCAAAACTTGATGGCATACAGTATAATTGAATTTTTCAGCTTTAAAGGTTTATATATTTACTCGTGGCTCATTATTCCTTTTAACTATTTTTTTTAAAAAAAAAAAAAAAAAAACTAATTTTAGAAATATTTGAAAAATTTCAAGAACCAGGAGGAAAAAATGTATAAGATATGAGGCTAGGGAATGATAACAAATACTCACCACAGCCATAAAACTTGGGAGAACATAGTACTGACAAGGCCGTTGATAAATAAAAACAGCCATTGATGTTTACTGGGCCACTTAAAAGTTTCCCACTCACTATAGTGCAGGAGAAAAAATAATGGCCACAGCAGCAGTACAGTATATAGACCAATGAAACCTGAAAATAAATTGCTGTTAGCTAAGCGGCAATTGAAGATGACCACTATACAGGATAAATTAAATATTCAAACACCTTTCATCTTACTTTTGTAAGTTTAAAGGCTCATATCGATGGTGAAACTGTGGAAATGCGAATCTTGGTTTGCGGTGTTGCATACTTCTTGTCATACTTTATTTTCTGCGCAGAAAGCAACAAAACATCATTTCTTGAAAACTCCGGTAACTTTTTTCCTATATGTGAAAAATATTCTGTGAGAATTTCAGGCCATGATGGCTCAGTCTTCTTTTAAAAAATAAAGTAGGGGCAAAGATTTTAAAACACCGCAACTGAGACACTCATTTTTGCAGTTCCACCATTGATATGATGGATAATTTACTAAATCAGTCCATGGAACATCAGACTGTAACCCCTTCATTAAGACTACGTTGGCACGACAAAACTAGACAAAGCCCCATCTTAACCATGCAATGTATCGAATTTCTATATCCAATCTGGCTGTTTTAAATTTTCAATAATGAGCCTACTGATTTACTTGCTATTTTACAAGACACACTTCGGGTATTAGATAAAAGAGCAAATATCTAGAGAGCATGAAAAAATCACAGGATTCAAATTAAAAGTAGAACACCCAGGAATTACAAACTAGCAAAAAAATTAGACTTACAGAGGACTGCCAATGCGGCAAAAGGCTCACTTACCAAAGAAAAGTTGTAAATTTATTAACCTCTCCTCTTGCTCCATGTGTTTTTTGAGAAAAACAAGACAGAGAGAATAAAAAAATGCACTGAATACTGCTAAACATTGAGCCAAGCTGCTAGAAACAGAGCTCCCTTTGCTTGACTCATTGGCAAAACTGACTAGACCCTGTAAAAGAGAAAAATACTATCTGTAGTATGAATAAACACCCTACACATATTGCACAGATGACCACGCCAGTCATAATTCCAGTTGGATATTCACATGGACGCGCATCATAGTGCATTAAGCAGCTGATTCTGTGTATTTGTTTGGCAACACCTAGATTCCATGGCTCTCGGACAGTGCGTGGCTAGGGATCAATAGTTACTGAATGAATCAAACAAAAGAATATCACAGTTTTGGCGTGAAATTGTTTGGTAATTTTCTGTTATAATTATGCCAGTTCAAAAGACCATCAATGGCAACCTAGTGGCATCATTCAATACAACATTTGATTCATATGATTTTATGTCCACACTTAACCTGAATTAAAACGAAAGATTCGTCATGATTTTTTCATTCAGATGTTTTTAGAAGTGAAACGACAAACTTTTTCTGCATTAAGACTAAAATTAAAGTAAAGAGCAGAAATGGAAGCAAAAAAAAGGGCACACTTACCAATCCAATAATACAGATTAGAGTTGCTAGAGTCTTTGATAAGGTAATTCTATCATTGGAATTAGAGGAAAAAATAGGTGAGAAAATTAAGGTAAAAAGACTAGAAAAGGACGCAACAATCACTAGCATCTGAGTTCCAATCCTTGATACTGCTGCTTGATAAGTATAATTGGCTAAAAACCACTGAAACAAAAATTCCAACATGAAGAACTCATTATACAAAAATTATTCCCTACCTATGTAAGTATGAATGGAGCAAGTTTGTAAATGGCTCTTAAAAGGCTTGCAAATAGGGAAAATCCCATAATTATTGAGAGAAGGAAAGGACCCTCTTTCTTAAAGACTGAAAAAAATGGTATGCTGTTTTAGCACCTAGGATGTCAAAAATGTGTCCGGTGATCCTAAGATGCTGCCTTGATTGCCCATGCAATTGAATTTGTATTTGCAGGATGTAAAGTTAACTGCGGAGGCAGTAAAGGCAGCAACTTGGGATCACCAGACACATTATTGACTTCCTAGATGCTAAAACAGCATATTATTTTTTCCAGTGAATGAGATGGGCAGCTTGTTATCTCCTCTCCCTGGAAAAAGATAATCCTGACTTTGCAATGAATTGGAGGAACTCTTCAAACTTAAAAACAGTGCTCAGGATTTGGCACAACTTCATTTTTTCTAAATTGATTTTCAACTTTGGGAGGTCTTTCAACTGTATTTTTAATACTCTCTCTACACTTACTCTCATTTTCTTCCTACCTTTTCGTTTTAATCTTATTCTTTTATAGCCAAGGCAAGATGGCTTTCAAACGGAATTGCATAACAAGTGCAAATAAGCAATGGTCTTGGGATCTATGAGGTGTAAGCCTCTCAGCTGGCTGCGAAGGCTCACTTCGAAAAAACCCAGAACAACTAATCCCTATGATAATTTCGAAACCAGATATTGCCTTAGCCAGCACAAAAAATTCCATATCGATAGTGAAACTGCAGGAATACATCACTCGGTTTGCAACAGTGTAGACTTCCTGCTCTACTTCATTTTCTATATCGAAAACTACTAAAAGTAATTACTTCAAAACTTAAGTGATTTTCCTTCTCCAGAAGAAGAATTTTCTGTTAAAATTCAAGGCATAACGCTGTAGAGGTCTCCTTTGAGAAAATAAAATAGGGGCTGAGATTTTGGAACACTGCAACAACTGAGATACGCATTTTTGCAGTTTCATCCTTGATATAAGTTCTAGCAATAAATGATTTTTATCAATTGTTAGGGGAATTAATGAAAGTGCTTATGGATGACAGACAAAGGGTCTTTCTAAAATTAATGAAGAGAAGATGGATCGAAAACCTACCTTCCTTGATCAAAGGATTTAAAGACAGCCCTTTAGTCCTTTTGATTAGTTTCACAGGAAAATTTTGGAAAATTGCATACTATTTATTTCCTGTCATATTAACATCCAAACCTCTTCCGGACTTGCTTTCCTGACAAACGACTCTTAAGCTGGTAAAAAAATGATTTTTCTTACTCTTCATTCCTCTAAGGATTCAAAGACAGGAAAAATAGTTTCTTGATTGTGCCAAATCAATAACTATCATTGAGTCCCCTTCAAGCTTATGTGTCAGAGAAAATCGGTTTGCTACCCGAGCAATTTCTTAAGATTCACTATTTTCAACTGGACAGAGGGATTTTTTGGTGGATTCTTACTGCTCGAGCTATTATTTTACTGCCCTCGCTTGTCTTGACAAACTCTTAACAAAAGAGCGTCAACACATTTAAATAATTGTTGGTAAAAAACTCTTAACTTACCAAAAAACAAAACACGAAGGACAGTTTAAGTGATTGCTCCATTTTAAATCGCTCTGATAAGTATCTATTGGTTTCTCCTGCCCGTAAACTAGCATGGTAAGATAATCTTGCAAATAAAGCAGCTTTGGCATCATGCTCTGACATGTGGCGTACCTGCAATTAGTTCAGAATGTATACACCTGACTTCTTTGGGACTTCCAACTTAAATATAAATACAATTTACAACTGTACCAGCCTTTCAAAATGTTAACCCTATCCGGTCCAAGTTTAGTTCGATGTCAGGATTTCAATGTGTATATCTGAAATGCTTTTTTACTACTATATGAATGCAAATTTATTGCCTAACCCTTGAGAGAGACTTTCAGCTTTTTGATGAAATTCATATGGATTAAAAGCTTTCATTTACAATGACAATAAATTTCAGTTTGTGGCTTAGGTTCAAGTAAGTTTTAAACAGTTCTCTTCCGTTACATTACACATAGTTCATAATTTGAACTTTGTACAACTTTAAAGGTGCTACTGTCCAGTCTTGTTATTACGTTACATAAAAGTCATTTTTGACAAAACAAACCTCTTGAAATCTGTACATACAAAAAAGATAAAGAAAAGAACATTTTATAAAATAGTAACATACCTCTGCAACTTTGCTGAAACGGACAGCTTTGTTTTGACTTCCATCATCACTTTCTTCTGTGCCAGAAGTTGGTGTTCTATTCTGCTTGATTGGAACAAAAATGGGAGGACTCTGCAAACAATTCATTTATAATTATTACAAGAAAATAACTTCTAATTTTTACTCTTACAACAACAGATTCTACTTTTTTTAAACCATAGGGCCCCAAGTCATTTTTACACTTGAACACTTTTTGCTCCAAAATTCAAAGACCTCACTTAACATGAACATACATTGGACCTTTCGATTACCATCCCGAAAAATAAGAGAAACAGGAAAATAATTACCAAATTAGCATGGGCATCTAACGGAGTTCCATCATCCTCAATTTCAGAATCCAAATGCTGAAACAAAGAAAGAAAGTTCCATCAAATTCGACCAACATGGATAAACTTGAAAATTGAGCGTAGTACTCACATCAGATAAGACAGCATCGTTACTTTTTGTCTGTTATATGCGGTGGACAGTTTTAGCAATATTCCGTCAGACAAATATATTGGTTTTTGATGTTTGCAAACAAAGGGAGCATGACGTTGCTGCGCTCCGTAAATCATTATTGGACTGCAGCAGTGTAGTAGCTTGCAAATGGAAAACAAACAACTGCCGATTTACCCGGTACAAGTTCTATAAAAAAAAAGGAGTCATAGGAAAAACCTTTGACAGTTCTGACTTAAAACTTCTTCTGCCGATTCACTCATACATTTCAGACTATCAGGTATCTAAAACTGAAAAAACAGCAAATTTTTCTTTAATCATATTCATGTGACTTTTACTTTAAGTGAAATATTCAACCGTAAGGTCCATAGAATTGTCCAGTAATAAAATGAACTTTGGAATCCCCCAAGCAAGGCTTAATTTCTGTGATTTGTGTTTATGCTGCCATGAAATATTTCCCCTATTGGACCCCTTTGTTGGCACAGGAAATGGAAGTTCATAAGATAAATTTGATAGGGAACTGTAGAGAAGAGCAAGCAAGGCAATGAAACTTCTGGCGACCTGTGCCCATGAAACTACCGCGGGGCAAAGATTATTGCACTAAACTTTGCAGTAGAACTGATCAGAATTTAACAAATTTGTTTCCAGGGGTTCGCATAAAACTTATTGGGGCAGTGCCAAACGAATAAAGAAGGGGGGGATAGAGGGACTGAAAATTATAAAACCACCTTGTCCAGTAGTTTTCCTACAGCCTAATCATTGAAACGGTGCCAGTATGACAAGACAAGACATAGCCCCATCTTAACAATGCAATATACTACATTTTCGATTTCTTATTGGGCTGCTTTAAAAATTCAGTAATTGGCATGCTAGTAAGTGCACATGATAAATGAATGGCTAGCTTCAAAAACTGACTTCTGTAACATTCCAGTTTCACTTATGGTTACATTTTAATTTTTGTAAAGAATACGGCCGCTAACACACGTACACTCCGAATGTACACTCTGGCCTACTGCGCTTGCAAGGGCATCGAGAATGTACATTCATCATTCTCTTGGAAAAGAATATACAGTTTGACGAGAAGAAGAAGAAATCCGCAACGATCTTTTACTCATTCTTGTAACATATAGTTGTTCAAGAGAACAAAATGAGGAGCATTCTCGATGCCCGCGCATGCGCAGTAGGCCAAAATGTACATTCGGAGTGTACGAGTCTTAGCGGCTTTTCAGATGTCTTTGATATGTCGCAGGCAAATAGTCAAATCAGGCATTTTGTTAAATGCCAAGGCAAATAGTTAAATATTCTTATTTAGACTGAGATTCTGATTATTTTGCTGACTATAGACGAAATAATTCTCTGATCATTTGGAAAAAAATTCCCTGCAAAAACTTGTTCCAAACGATCATAAATACTTACGTTTTTTTTAGTTGTTTAATGCGAATCTATCTCAAAATATGCAGCATCTCGTAAAATCAAAAGTTTTCACAATTTGGACGAATGAAGAATTATAAGGAGCATTTTTGGACAGGAAATAAAATGACAGTTTGTACTTTGACGGATTTTTTGTCTCAAAATATTGAAAATTAGAGAGGTTTTTAAGAAAACGTAAAAAACCTCATAAACTCTGAAAATTTAAGTATCTGCCTAGGCATTTGATAAAATGCCTGATTTGACCATTTGCCTGCGACAGATATATAGAGACATTTCAAAACTTTACATTTCATTTATAAAGGAAAATATTGAGAAATAATCAAATTAATATCTTTGTTAGTTTGTTTTTTATCAGGGAAAATAAATATACAAAAAAAGGGCCAAAACGTTGCGATAGAATTTGGCAGTTATTAAAGCAAGCCATTCAAGCAAGGTAGGTAATAACTTACCAAATAATCAGGAGATTTATTACATTGCTCTCTCCATTGTGAGGAAAAATAAGCACCGAGTAAATAAAAAGTGAGGAGACATGTTTTCACATAAGTACAGAAGAAAGGGTTTTCAATATTTTCTTCTTGAAAAAATTGCTGTAAATCAAAAAAAGAAAGAAAAAGAAACATTATTTGGTAAAATAAATGAAGAGATGAAGTCCTAAATGATCCCCTTTCAACACTTGAGTTCTGTGTTTTATCATGAGTGTCAAAATTGGAACTAATAAACCATGAAACATGAAGTCTCAAACCATGTATGTTTGTGACTCTGCAGAATTCCTATTGCAATTACTTTCTTGAATCATCACAATTGCTTTTTTAGCATCATTATTGCATATAATTTTGTCAAATTATTTTTTGCTCTTCCTGAAATATTCTCTGAAAAGATTGTACAAAAATATTTAGTTAAGTTACAAAGAAGTAAAGTGGGGGAAAAACATTTCGAACACTGCAAGCATTGTAAGTGTTCTCAAAGTATTACTTTTGATATGCAGATTGTATTAGTTATTTTCTCAGAGAATACTCTCCTAAGCAGTTGCTACACTAACATGCAGATGCATGCTAAAATAACCGTAATTTTTCCAAAAACTCGTGTGCGGTTGTATACACGCACTATGAACCTATAAAAAAACATCAAATTGTAGAGAAGGTTGTTTTCAGTTGCTTTCTCTTGACATCTTTCTTTTAAGAAATTCCGGCCTCCTGAGGAAAATTTCTTATGACAGAAGTTTGCAAAACAGAGATGAAATAGTTTGGATTCTTACCTACCAGCTGCTTGACTCACAGCAGCCAAGACTTTCGTCACCTTACAGGTACTTAATAATAGCAATAATTTATGTAAGAATGTTAATTGGTATCTAACATACAAGTCAGGACTTTCCTGACCCACAATAATACTGCATGAGTGAGCAGTGTCAATAACAGCGTTGATATTAGAGAGACGCTGATTTCAAATTGATTCATGCTGCCAGTAAATTTGTAAGAGATATGATTTGACGATGATCCTCAGCATGACACTTGAGAAAGAATGAATCGTTTTTACCTGCTTTCAATACAAACTGATTCATATCAATAGACCTGTTAAAGCTAATAGCGATTGGAGACGAGTGGAATCCTTACCTTGGTTAGTTCGGAGGAAGACACCCAGACAAAATCCACTATAAGCAGAATAAAGAAGCCAAGCAAAAGGCGCTTCGATTTATTTAGCATACCAGGCAGGGTTTCAAAATGTTGTAAGCCCTGCAGCGGCATATCCCTCATGGATGGTATCTGTGGTATCTGACATCGAAGAGCAGATCATCTATGATGCGTGCCATCTTTTCAGGAACGTCGGGCTTCACAAGGATTTCACCACATTAGACACATGACACTGATGAAAAAACAAGGAGTTTAATAATATATAAGAATATTATCGAAAACTAAGTACAGGATTCAAAAAAATATTTCACGTTCATGACCACGATTGTGAAATTCGGGTTCGGACAATTTTTATCATCAAAACAAACACCAGTAAACATTTGATAACAAAATTCCTTTGATTCGGCAGGAAACTTTCAGTTCGCAACAGGAACGCACGAAGGGGACGGTCTGCAATCAAGATCTGCGCACAAAGACAATCGCCTTCAATATGTTGATTGGCAATAGTCGTTGCATCAGTGCATCTAAGTCACACGGGCTCATTCTTTCTGTGGTATTCACAAAATCAAGTTTCCAAAAATCATACCTAGGTGCCGCTAGTGGATGATAAACATTACATTGATTGATAAGTGATAAGTGATAACATGATGTTTACATGTACCACCTGGCTGAGGTCATAGTTATTCAGTTTTACAGTTGATATTATATAATTTAGTTAAAATATTTGCAAGTGTATTTTCTGATAGTCGAATTTATCTTTAGATCTTGTCCATTCATTTTTTTGCCTTACTCATCCTTTAGAATGTTGCACAAAAAAGAGAAAGTGCGAGCGATGAAATCATGACAGTGGTAATGTCACTTTTCCGATTACCTCGCATCAAATCAACCTGTGCGAATGACTCGGTATTAAATACCCATTTCCAATAGTATCAGGAGCTATAAGACTTTCTTGGCTAAGTTAAAGCATAGATTTGATTGTGCGTATCACTAGGATCACCCCTAATGAGCGTCCTCTCCGAGGGAAGCATCTTGGTCCTCAGTTATCTATCGCGTTTGACAGATATTTGTTACCTTTGAAGTATGAATAGCTATCAAACAAGGATTCTTTTGAAAGCTGGATTACCTTATGGCTCTTCAAAACTTGCCTGGCGCCTTAGAAAGTATTTGTGGAGAAACTGTGGTAATATTCATGCATGTTTGTACTCATTCGTCAGAAAGTTTTCTGAAAAATCCATGGAGGACTTCGTCCGAGGAAAACAAGCAACTATGTCTCTTCAGTGGGAATCGAAAAATTTCTCTCCAAATGAACGAAAGAGGCAATACAATCTTGCAGTCGACAATTTAAGGATTGCTTTGGATAATGATAAAGATGGACCACCTTCAAAATCGGACATAAGAATTGAACCTATCATCTCAGAAGCATTGAGATCTCAAGATTTATCACCAGTCAATGATGAACTTAAATTGTGCCTAGAATCTAACAAGTATCCCTCCTTCAGTATTTTACAAGCTCTGGCCTCTCTGAGTGTCGAGTCCAAAAATTCACAGTGTGTTGGCACGATTAGAAATGTAGTGGAAGCTGGGTATCCGGTGAAATATCTGGAGCATGCCAAGTTACTTTTACATGCAGCAGAGGTCTCTTGGCGAATAAATAATTTTAGTGATTTTCAAATTTTCTTGCTGACTCTCTTCCAAGATTTTCCGCAGGTCAAAGCGCAAGGCAAACTTCTCCTCAGTCAAAAAATTGCTGAAGCTGTCCAATTACAAATAGAGCCAGCTCTACTCATTTTAAGAGATATTGCACAAAAATTTATAGATGACCAAAAAGATTATTTTCCTATGACAGTCCTTTGGTATTATTTGTTCTTCAGCAATCGACCTTCAAATTTAGAAATGGTGGAAGAGCTCCTGAAAAAAAACAAAATCCTAATAGTGAGTCTAAGTTACCTCATGCACTCAATCGCCTTGAGGCTTTTGGAGTCTAATCGGGTGCACCATGTTTTAAAACTCCTTGAATTTCTCCTGAAACATGAACTTCATGAGCAATATTCAGCAGTGCAACAGCTTCTCTTCAAGTATCATTGTAAGTTATAACTTCTTGACACTCAATTAAAAGATAAATCTCTCTTTAGATTATTAATAAGAGTTTCATGAAATCTAACTTGAACCAGAGGTAATTTTGTTTTTTCTTGTAAGATTCTGTGAATGATTTGGGCCATCGGCCATTTTAATTGAAAAACTGAGCAAGGTAATTTTATGACTACTTCTGTAAAATTTTGTTTCTGTTTATATCATATTCAGTGAAAATTTCAAGCAATATGTTATACGATTAAATTCAATGACAATGAAAATTTTTGAGCTCTGCATTTGAGTCAAAATTGGATAAGCAAAAATTGGCAAAAAATAAACCAGAAAACAGAATAGCATTATTTAACAGAGATGAAAAATGGTCAATCTTGATTTTTGCACTTCGCTTTATTGCAAAAATGAAGTTTGTCCACCCTCTGTCAAACATTTATAGTCTACCTTCTGCCTCTTTGCTCAGCATGCATTTGAACTCTGATTTCAAATTTAGTAACAGAGAATCGATGAAAAATTTTATTATCAAATCACAACCCCTTACGGTGTTGAATGTGATGCGTAAACGAGACAGATCATGTTCCAACTCGCATTAAATAGAAAAATCATATTGATCCCCTCTTGCCAGACCAAATAAGATGTAGATCTAACAGCAATCAAATTAGCTTAAATCTCTATTGATTATTAGATTTTGCAAGATTTAAGGCGTGCCTCACTTTAAATGTTTTGAAGGGATTCTAACTTTCTTTGTTTCAGATCTCCATAGGAATGCTCAAGCTTGTTGTGAAATATACAAATCATCCGTTCATAACAAACTGCCCCTCTCTGAGGCCCAGCGAGACCTTTACCTGAAAATGATCTCGGATCTTGACGATAACAGCTTCAAAAAACTACCCATATTGAAACCAATAGAGATAAAGTTTTAATCCTAAATTTTTTATTATTGTTGACAAAATGTGACACTGTTACTAGTGGATTTTTCAACATCCAACCGGCAAAATACATAATCTCTCGAGAATGTGACATGATTTTGATTGAAAAAATATTTTTTTATGGACCAGTCAAGTAATTTCTATTTTCTGTAGCTCTTAGAATTACGAGGCATATGCTAAGTACAAATCATGTGGGTATAAATTTTTGTATACCTATTTTTCAAATTGACTTTTTTCTCATAAAATAGTGACCAAAAAAATGCAGGACTTGCTGTGTACTTAATGAACTGGACAGTTGGACAAATTCAACCAGTTCCAACCTAACAACATTTTTGTTCCTAGTTTCCTCTCATGTCTAACAAATATTTACCCAGTCTAACATAATGAAATTTTCGGTGAAATTCCTGTTCATCAAGTATTTTTTGTCTGTGATACAGAATTTCTTCCATCTGTTTGAAAATACGCTGAGAATTGTTTTGTTTTACTTGATTGTTGTTGAACGTTGTATGCATTATTAAACCAATAATACTGAATTTTTTGTTCTCATGTTTCTTAAAAATTTGTGCAAGTGTCGAACTTGCAGATAGCAATGAAGCTACTTGGAATGAGTTTGTTGTTTTCTTAATTCAAATATTAAAATAATGATTTTCATTGAAAATAAGGCTCTGCCTTCCCGGAGCAGTACAGTGAGCTGAGTGTCAACAATTCAATGAATTAGTTTGAATTTAATTGAGTCTAGTAAAGTAAAGACTAGATTATTCTGGAATTGTGTAAAAGTACGTTTAGAGTTTGCCGCAGTACTCAGCGGAAATTCGCCCATGTAGACTGAGCATAAATTATTAGATTTAGTAATAAATGTAAATACTCTTAAATTCATCAGAAGGAACGAGAGCCCCTATTTAAACCATATACTGTAGGGCAATCCCTGCTTATAGAGAGAAGAAAGAGGTTGCCTCCAATTGGCTAATAACTTCTGCCAATCTCCACTGTCGCCTGAGGACAAATATTTTCTGCCTTCATGGAAAATAAAATGAGATTCTTTTCCAGGGATACACTAATTTAAAACCGAGCAGCGGAAATTCATAAAGCAGAAACTTAGGAAATAAATTCTTGGGAATTGTCTAAAAAGATTAATGGGTCCGACTTGTTTTTCTTGTTGAATAAGAAATTAGTTTTTCAAGATCATCAATGTGGTGGACAGAATCAGCTAGCTCATGTGGATGAGGTGTATAAGATACTCAATAAGTCCTGAATTTTTGAACTTACCAGTGTTCAATATTTTAGAAATTTTTAAAAGAGAATTTCTTGTTTAACATGAAACAAGAGAGGCTTATCACTCATCAATATTTATTAACTGTTGCACGTCTTTTAGTCAATGCAACGCAAAACATAATCCTGCGCTGTTCCTTAAGAGGGTCAAAAATATCAAGGCCATCTAATTGCAGAAATAACAGGAGCAGTCAGCTAATTTAGGCTACCTCTTCCCGCTGCTGAAAATAGAAGTTGCCTGCATGGAGCTCTTCATTCAAATTGCTGATCTTGTTTTTTCTTAAAAATATCTTTACACCATTTCCTACATTTTATTTAACTTCACAGGTCTAAGAGATCTGTGCGGCAGAGGAAGCAAACGAGGAAGGCATAAAATCAAGCAAGACTTTTTTTAAAACTTTGCTTTTATTTTTCATCACTGTAACAATAAGACATATAAAAATAAAAAAAAAACATAACAAATCAGAATTATTTAAAACAAAAAGAAAATACAGAAATCGATCTAGTGTGAGCCAGCTCCATTGGATGTAAACAAGCTCACTTTCGAAACAATGAATTGATGTCCCTTTGTCTCAGTACTGAGACTCTAACAATATTAAAAACTTGAAAAAAGGCTCAAAAGATAGACCTAAGTTTCAAATTATTTTGGCAAGCTCTGTTGGTCTCTTAAGGTAAAACAGTTGATGAAATTTTTGATTAACAGCATCGTTATTTGTGATCAGTATTAGGGTTGATTACCTAAGGTTGGATAATGTCTTGTTAAATTCTTCCAAATTTAAATTAGCAGGTCTTTTGGTCTTATTAAAAAAAATTTATGGAGACTTCACTCTCATGGTATGGCATAGTATGAAAATGAAGCATGCCAAAAATTATGAACAGAGAAATGTTAACGAAAAATAATCAGCATTGCTTTAAAAACGATATTTAAAGTTGTAAGATGCTTTTCAATTTCGCTTTCACTCAAGGCGGATAAAGAATGGTGGTCGCATTTCGATTTTGGCTGCCATCTTGAAGCGTTGTGACGTCAGGAGGGTACGGGTTTTGCCGTGCAATCCGAGGTTGAGTCGGCCCCCCCGGCCTCGGCCAGCCCATGTACCCGATGTACCCGATACCGTGTGACGTCCAGAGGGTACGAAATGCGACCACCATTCTTAATCCGCCTAGGCTTTCACTATAAAGAGAGATAAAAAAGAGAAATAACGGTGGATAGGAGATGAGAAATTTAATGATCCTTGACTATTTTCATAAGAGTACTTGCAAGGAACTTGTTGTAAAATAACTGAGTAAAATTCCCATAGATTGATACATTTGTCACAATGTAACGTATCTGAGGTGAATCATATGAGTCCAAAACACATATGAGTGCAAAACAAATGTAGCAATCAGAATGAGCTTCAACAATTTGGTCTTACATGCTAATACAGTCTGTACACAAGGATGAGAAAAGACACAATGCCAAAACAATCCAGACGAAAATTCTTTTGGTCAGAATTAAGTAGTAAAATTGAGCAGTTGTAAAAAAGGTTCTCATTTAGATTGCCACCCAAGTTATGAGTATGATTTATGAACTTTCTAAAAGGATCCTTGCAAAGAGGTTCAGAAGCAAGATGGTTCAAGACAGAAGGTTTCTATGCATTCATCTGCCACTGAACCCCCAAATCGTTCTCTTTTTATCTTCCCCCGCTACAAAGAGACAAATAGGAGGGATTATACAAAAATAAAATATAATATATACCGCTTACCATTTACATTAAAATAAGTAGAAGAAGCATTAACTCTGTTAAATCTCTAAAACCCCAGCACCCACATAAAGAGACTTGAAGTCCTCAAGGACTACGATACTTATAAGAATCAAATGACTTTGATCTCCTACGATGATCAGTAACACCTTGAGGCAGTTACAACGCTTTACAGTACTTCAAGTGGAATCACATACTGGTAAGATCCCTTCATAAAACTAGATGATTTTCTACTTGTTACTTTTATGTGTCAAAAAACCCACGATAGTAATTGACTCTGTGACCCTCTACACCTTAGACCCCCCAATAGGTACATGACCTTCAAAAGATCAGGAATGTAAATAAAACATGCACACCCCTATCTAATTATTTTAAAATTAGTGTCTACTTTCATCACATTGATGACAGACAAGTAAGATGCACTTTGATCATTTTGTCTTCCTTATCTTGAAAATTATTGATTCTTCTTTCATCCCTTGTTTCAAAAAGAAGTACATGAAAGAAAACGTATACCCGTTTGGAAAAAAAAGAAAATTTTTTATCAATTAATTACCGGTGTCCAATGACTCATTTTTCCATTGAAAAAACTATGCTGATTCAAACTTAATTCACTACAGTCTACAGCTTTGGAGCAGCAGTCTGAAGTGCTTTCAATTTCTGGGCCAACATTATGTTCCCTTTGATTTTTAGTTTTCCTTTCATGAACGCTGTCTGAGGATTTAATTTACCCAGAGCCTGCAACAAAATTGTGAAAATGAGAAACAACAAAATTGTGAAAATAAGAAACAACAAAATCAATTAAACAAAATACCTCCTGCTTGCGAACTGACAATTTTGCAGTACGAGGAAAACACTTCGCCAATTTTGTAATTTTGAGGTTAAATTCCCATTTTTTTATACATTATGACATCATTGCAACACTCACAGAAGGGTTTGGAAAAAAATATGAACATCAGCTTGCGTATTTTATGCTGTAGGATGCAGGAAAATCACCGACTCATTTTCACCTAAATTGTCTGTTAGGCGCTATCGTTACTTATGCAGCTGAAAGGTAGAGCTGGCATTGCAGTAATCAGAAGAGACCATGGTTTGAAGCATTCAAGTTTTACTGTTTTTTGCACATTTCTCTGATCTGGCAGAGACAATTACGCTAAAACACATTAGCAGGGAATGTACCAACATACTGCCAGATTAAAATATGAGCAAGGACAAAAGCGAGAAGAGTGATGAGAAAATAAAAAATTTGCTGAGGTTACCTAAATTTTGAAAAAAAATAAAAACAAAGGCTGAGTTAGAAATTTTTGGTGCACACTTGATCGATACAAGTAGCTCATTTTACTTTTTTAAGAAAAATCAAAGAACAGCACTCACGATGTCGATCATATCTTCATCATCAACGGTGAGGGTTGTATCAGCTTTTGCACCACCTACTGGAAGCCCTTTATATACTTTCCCTTGTTTCAGATCACAGGCTGAAACATAAAATAACTATAAGAGAACAAAATCCAAAAAACAAGACAAAACAATCAGAAAAAAGAGGTAACATATGGCTGGCGGCTAGATTCAAAATAAACAGGGGAAGTGTGATCTGAAAAACTTTGTAAAAACTCCAACTTGCAAAGGTATTTAAAAAACACCATACTTCAGAGCCCCACAGATTATTTTCGTCAACAAGTTCTAATTTTTCCCAACAGCTATCAAGATAATCTACAATTCAACCACACCTGATCAAAGCACAACTGAAATATTATAATCTCAGTGAAGTTGACCGTTCATAAACTACACACTGTTAAATTTCGGATTTTTTGATCCATTTCTCCCTCCTATCACTTTTATGATGTAGGTGTGTATCCTATAACATGTAAAAACAAAAAGGCATAATGCTCTCTTAGACCCCTCCTTCCCGCTAGAGCGGCAACGATATATTTTTCAGGGATGAATTTTCAATGCAGCTGAGTTGGGATTCTGATTGCCTTCCATTTGATTTACCTGTCTAACTAGTTGCGTGCAATATTTCACCATTAGAGATAAATTCTATGGATTTGTAATGGACCAGAATTGTCTTTGCCATATTTTTGGAGCAGAATTTGAAATTACAAGGTGGGAAACGGGCTATTTTGATTGAGTGAGAAATTTTGATGAGTGAACACAGAGCCCCAGTCCCCATGCATTATCACTAAGCGAGAGTTGACTGTACTCATTCATCAAAGTTGAAATAATTTTCTTGTGCGTCAGAGATCATTCCTTAAATTCCTGATGAGAGATATTAAGAGGAAGTACAATGAGAATTTTGCAATAATGCGCATCCTCAGGCCTTCAATCAGGTCAAGTAATTAGAAAGGAAATACTTTAAAGCCCAATTCACTTAATTCAACTTTTCACTCAACTCTTCTTCCACTTTTGTAGAATAAAAAGTTAAGCTAAGATACAGACACAAAAACACAATTTGAGGAAAAGTTGAACGGAAACTTGAATGCAACGTCGCATTCAACATTTCATTCAACTTTCCATCCTAGTGGCAGCTCCAATTGGATGGAAGGTTGAACGGAAAGTTGAGTCAGAATCTTCCAATCGACATCAGCTGAAGCTGTATCTTCGCAAACCAAGAGCTGCCTGAGATATCCAAAATCCGTTTGATGATGTCACATTGCAACGGTAATTGTATCAAATTTTTTTTGTATACAACTTTCCATTCAACTTCTTGTCCGCCTTTAATGGATAAAAATTTGAATCGTGTGGATTGGGCTTAAGTTTACTTACTCCAAGTTGCAACAACGTTTTTATCCTTGGTGATATTGTATACGAAAACGGCATTGATTTTTTTACACACTTCCTTGTCACTGTCAATTCTTTCTTGCATGCCAGTAAACACTGCATCACTGGGTAAACTTTCATCAGCTGAAGCTGCTTTCAAGACTACTTTTGAAGCAGCAGTGACTTCTGTCAGATCCATGAATCCACCTATAACCACATAGAAGCAAATAGATTATGACCTGTAATTTGGGGTTTGATTAAGTGGGGTTTGATTTACCTCATTCAATCAATTTTGAAAACCTCTTTAACCATTATTTGCCTTGATTGTACTGGGTTAAACGGGCAATTGAAAGGCTATGTGGGCCTCATTTTATTCACTGCAGATCGTGAAAAATGTCGAAAATGTGTTTTGTTTTAACTAAGCAGTTGTTGAGGACATCTTCATGAAACTGAAGGATGTCAGCACAAACTTTTTGAAAATTGATGACAGATCACAGCAAGTGATGAACGTTTTGGGTTTTTTGAACAGACAGTATAAACTTATCAATTTTTATGAATAATTTATACTTTAGAAACAGATGCAAACAAAGCGAGAGTAATAGAAACTTCATAAATAAATAATGAAAAGACGAATTTTGCGGAGCAAAGAAGACTTTTACTACATAGCTAAAAAAAAATTTAAATTGATAAAGGAGAGGTATCACAGATATAGCAAATTACCTGACATTTTTTATTAATTGAGACACAATTCATTTCACGTAAAATAAGTCATAGAATAAACTTTGTAGAGACATTTAATACTAGAATCTATCTTTTTAGCTAAATTTTCAAGTTTAAAGATAATTTTTATCAAAAGTTTTAATGCAATTTAAAAAATCTCAGCGCGCTTTTCCAAATCACAAGTCAATCAACTTTGAAAATCTGTTATCGCCTTCATCAATAATACTCTTAAAACTTTAAGGATCTAAAATTTTTGCTCATAGATTGTTACGGTTTGCCTGCAGGAGGATAGTTGGAACAAGACCAATTTTGAAACAAAGCACATACCTGTTAAAACAATACTGTTGTTTTCGACAACAGAGGTGCGGAAAAATATTCGGTTACCATCTCTCCACATGTCTGTTTTGAGAGTCTGTCCCGGATAAACAGGTTTTGCAAATCTCGTCTGAAAGCAGCATGAAATAAAGAATTACTCAATCACAGGCGGCAAAGAGACAATTACAGTGTAAAATACAAAAAATACAAAAAATATTTACGTGACAAGAATTTGAGATTATTTTCATGTCGGGACATAGAGTTTAAAATCTGTTTGAAATCGTGCACTTGGAACATATTGGGAGAACAATAAGAATAAGAAGTAATCTTAGCAGATAAAATTTCAGGTTACCTTAATGCTTTTACATCGAGCAGGGTCATAGTCTGCGTATTGTGCTAAAACATGTCGAACTGCATAGCCTAGTGAGCATAAACCATGAAGGATTGGAGTACTATAACCGCTGATAGCTGCAAAACTGGGATCAATATGTAGAGGATTGAAGTCCCCACTCAAACGGTAGATTGCAGCCTGCAACGCACAACACAAAATTATTAATGGAAATTTCACTGACTGGAATCAAACACTTCACTAACTTACCTCTTCAATATTCTTTCTTTCAGATGCTTGTCTACAGAAAAAAATTTAATTTCCGACTACAAGTAGGCAGGTACCTTAACACTTGAAACTGCTAGTTATTTTTACTCTGCCAAAAATTCTTAGGTGTCTTAGTGAATGCCAAAATTTATTTTTATTAAATGGGCACATCCCGTTGTTGTCAATCACATACATTCTAAGTTCATTCACTATTAACAAAAAGGACAATTTTTTTGGAGCTGCACACTACATCTTCAGCTTTATCATGATGAGTTGTGAATACTAAACTGAATTCTTAAACTGTGCATCTTAGACCATTCTGCTAAAAAAATGCATCTAATTTGTTGTTTCATGCATACAGACAATACTGCATCCATTTAAAGATCTCAAGGTTCAGTTTGTCGGACTAAAAATGAAAAGCCACCATCAGAGCATCACAAATAATTTCTCTGACCTGATTAGGATTCGTTTTTTCACTGATGGATGCATCCGGAGAGCGGGAAGGAGGATCTATAGTTGAAATGGCTTTATCAGACGTGCGTTTGCCTCCAAATCCACCGGCACCCACTGCAAAAACGCTCATTTGCGAAACAGCAATCTTCTCACCGCTTTCATCATAGGTTTCCGCTAAAAATTAGAATAGAAAGCCTACATGATGATTGTACTGCTAAAGATTATGAGATGTTTTTTTCATTTTATACTAATACATAACACTGTGATGCTTTCCCTCTTTCTGTATGTCATCAAAAGTGTGCAAGTTTCCTTGTATAATCAGAATGGTCCAATTTTTTTTTAAAAATAAATAATTTTATTTGGGAGGAGGTTACCGTAATTTATCCTCAAAAATGTTTGTGCTTTTTTAGAAAAAATAATCTTATGTACTTCATTAATATTTTGTAGAAAAAATAATCTTATGTACTTCATTAATAGCGTTTTTTTTCCTCATTGAGTAATATGCCTTGCTATATTGCTTAATCACTGTAAAACTTCGGGGCACATTAAGCTTTAGAAAAACCTTCATTATAACAAAGTATTTAACAATGTGTTTAATACTTGAAAGAAAATGCAGATGCTAGGCTATGACTGGGTGAATTCTTTCCATTAGTGCTGCTATTCAAGCAATTCAAAAGTTTATGTATTGCAGGTTTGAAAAATTATGATTTGAAAGGGCAGTTTGCTTCATTTCCGATGAAATAAAAGTTTCTCTGATGGTGTTTACTTTAACCGAAGAATACTTGAAACTAAAAACACTGCAAGAAAATTAGTAGAGAACTGAGTTTTAGTCGTAAAATATGCATACCATCACATAAAATTACAGCTCCTTTTCCTTTATCCATCACATCTGAGACACGGGCTGTTGAGGTTAGCACACCACTTGTTGGAAAAGGTTTGAGGAGTTCAATGTACTGCTCTCCATGCAAAATCTACAAAAATTGAAGAAAAACAAATATTTTAGGATAAGAGTCACCACTTACGTTAAATAAAAATGTAAAAATTACAAATTTTCAAAGTAGATGGCATTTATCTCATGAAGAATGTCTTTTGATTCAATTGGATGAAACTTGAATATGTCATTCTTCTTTTCATCTAAAAGAAAACACTTCAGGAAGATCGGAGATTCCATGTGTTGTCCCATGCAACTTATTTTTCATTTCTATCAAAAATATTTCCATCTGAAAGAGATTGGCTGAGGAATGGAGTTATAGAGGAAACTGAGTTGTGAAAATGTAGCCTCACCTGACTTAGGTCAACAGACTTGCCAGGGACCGCATTTTGAACTAGATCCGACTCAAAGAAAGCCATTTGCCCAGGAATGATTGCATATGAAGGTAAAACAGCAAAGTCTTCATGATTTTCGTACAGGAATTTTAATTCACTCGGATTCTGAACATTGGCACCAACTGGAAATAAGAAACCACCATTTTGAGAATTGATTTCGAAGGAGAATTAAAATAATGAGTGAGAGAATGATTTAGTCACGACCTATAATTGTGCTACATATTGTACTTTCTTCCGATCTTTTTTCAATGATTGATCCATTTTTCCGCATGAAACAAAGGAATGGAATCATGATGTTCATTTCAGAAAATAGTTCAAGTTCATTAATTGCTAGGGAAATGATGCAAAAATTGTTTGAATGAATTGAGGAAAGCTTTGAAACCTTTAAAAAAATATACTGCGCTATGCTTGGTGCTTAGCCAACACACTTCGGCTGTCTTGACACACTTGATTTTAAAATCTACTTCTTGCAATTGTTGACTCCACCTGCTACAAGGCCTTGCTTCAGTAAATGCCTTATTTCTACTCATTGTTCTGTTGGTTTTTCCGTGATTCTTTATTTTGTATTATTGTTGGAGGGAAGAAAAATAAATCAAATCAAACCAATGATTTCCAATAAAATATAATACAAAAAAATAATAATCCACCAATAAAAAAAATTTAATGTATAGTACCACGATTCCTGTTTTGATCATTTTAATATATGGCACTACTCAACAAAGAATGTTTGAATAATTTCCCTGTTTACTTTAGCTGAGAGAAATTCATCCTAACTCTCATGTGGCTGAAGAAGGTTTCAGCTCTCCGACAAATGGGGAAAAAAATAAACAGAACCATAGGTGGGAGTAATTGCTCAACTGCTAAAACTGTTACCCTGATAAAATTTTAAAACTTCAATAGTTAGAACTACCTGATTACAGAGGGATGATGCACTTGAAAACATCTTATTAATCCTTTGCGGTCAACTGCTGAGCAAGACCTGTCTGTAGTCTGATCAGACCCTACAATAAACTTAACGGAGCTTTACAGTCGCAATTTTGAGCCTGGTCCAACATCTAACTGGAGCTCCGTACTAATTTGGGCAGAATTCATCCGGCAGTCGACCGCACAGGTTTAATTTTTTTTAAAGGTTCTTTACTACCAGAGTTAAGTCCTGCTTGAAAAGTATAATTAATAGTAACCACAAAAGGTTGAGAAATCAATACTTACTTCCAATATTGTAGATGATTGAGTCTTTTGATCTGAATTCAAACACACTTTCAACTTCTCCCTAAAAAAGATCCAAAACTGAGTTTAAAGTATTTTATTTTACATTAAAAAATGTGCGATACGATTATTTACTACACAATAAAACATCTTCATCTTTGTGATGATTAGTAATTCACAAACATTCTATTTCCCAATTTAATTAACGATTGTTTGACGCTGCATTTAGAGTGAGTCTAGACAATCCAAAGAACCACTACTAAGCAATTATCTATGACTGATACTAGTTACAATGTGCTATAACAGTTTTTAACAGTGCTGCAGCCCGATAGTTGGAATTTTGTGTTTGATGACTGGACAAGACAGGACTAGGGAGGGATGGAATTGTGTGATTGGTCAACAGCTTATGTCTTCCTCTTCGCTTTCTCTACGTCGGTTGAAATTGACGTGGAACTGAAGTCACCTCCTCAAGTTACTTTGTTGTTGAATCCACCCAACGTTTGCGTCACAAAGAGGACAGCTGACAAAGCCAACCAGTCACACGACTCTATTTCTCCTTGGTCTTGTTTTGTCTAGTTGAAAAATACGAAATTTTAACAAAAATTAAGCTGTTGAAAATGGATACAATTTAGATGACTTTAAAATTATTGAGACTCTAACTGACTCAAAAAATGAAGAAAAAAGTTTAGGTATAATTTGATTTTCTTGTTTTATTGATTTTTTTTCTTGAGGATGATAAATAAGGTCCATGATTAATACTTACAGATGATGAGCTTGAAGTGCCTCCGGATTTCATATCTTCAAGAATGCCAAGGAGAGTACTGGAAACTTCCTGTTACACAAAAATAGTTTCGGTTCAAATGAATGTAATAATATTTGAGTAAACTTAAGTAAATTTTAGTTCTCATGTAAAATCTGGTTGTACCTGAGGCAAAACTTTCATTTAATGTTATTCTGAAACAGTGGTCTTTTGAAACTTTTGGTGGCAGAAAATGAGTGTTTCCCGATAGGTCAATGGACAATATGAATGATACAGAATTGTACAATAAGGCAGCGGCAAGGAATTCTTGCAAGGTTGTAATAAAGTTTTCCTGATGTTAAATTTCGTGAAAAACACAAAAAGCTAATTTTAAAGTTCAAAAAATAATGTCCAAAGGGAAAAAAGCCAATTAAAATCCAACCAATCAAAAGTCAATGGTTGAGTTGATGTAGTGAGACGATGCCTGAAGCTGAATTCAGCCAAGTTACATCATCAGAATCCGCCAAAAATATTGTTTCAAACGAGTCCCATTCATTGAATATTCAAAACAGAGTTTCTTTGCCATTCAAGGTTGAAAAAAATCTGAAAAAATTGCTACAAACTTAATTAACTAGGTACTTCCAGTAAATAAATTTTTAAAAAAATGGGTGCAACTGACCCCTTGAGCTGACAATAGGGTGCATAAACTGGACAGGTTTGTGCAATTTTACCAACCCGTAAATTTTGGCGAATGATGCACAAATCACAACATAATGCTTCAACAGATGTTTGTCAATGTAGTCTTTCTTGAACCATGAAACTAATTTTAAGGTTGTGGTGGGAAGAGGAATCTACCCTCACTTTTGATATGATGATAAGATGATGAAACTGTAATAGAGAAATAGAAACTTAAAAAAAAGGGATGTATCTTTTGAAAAATAGACTCACCTCTATGGACTCGTGTCTCTGAGCTCGGCTCATGTCAGTGACTTTGTTCCACTGGTTTTGAACATCTTCTGGTGCAACATTATCAGTTATTCGCACTCTTAAAGGTGTGCCAGCACCACGAACAAGATGACCTGAAATAGGCATGATGTACACTTATAATAATCAGACTACAGACTGACTGGCACAGACATGCCTCTACAGTTTACAAATGCAAAATCAAAATTTAATATTCCATCAGATTTGAGAAAAATGCAAATCAAAATGACACCGGGAAATAAAAACCTTCAATCAATGGCCAAAATGTAAAACCACATACTTCCGTTTGCGACGTAGCAGACTTCCCATTTTACTTTATTTTTTCTTTGAAAAACTAGTTGACATAATTTATCAAAAACCTCTTTAATTTTTCTATACTGTTAGGGGAATATTTTGCATTTTCAAGCTATGAAGATGACTTGTTTTTCTTTGAAAAATTAAATAGGAGCAGAAATTCTGAAACACTGTAATAGGGATACGTCGTTTTGAACTTTGGTCATCGAACTAGGGCTGTTCAATCGGTTGTCGGTAAGCCACCGAAACAGTTCCGTTAAGAAAAAGTTACGATAAGAGCGCTCTTACCGATAGCGATCAGAGTTTTCGGAGCTGGCGAAAATAAGCTGTTGCCAATTGTACATCTATTTTATGCGCCGCCGTGCCAGGCAATCTGATAAACCGACACACGGGGCAACAATGTATTGAGTGCGAGCTCTCAAAACTCCGATAAGGCCGGCTGTTGTCGATATCATGGCCACTGTCGGTACTGCCGCCAGTTTCAATAAGAGACGATGTCGATAGTGTTCCGGCAAGAATTCGTTTGAACACCCCTACATCGAACTGCATATGGTGAAGCAAGATGACACATTAAAAGAACTTCAGGAATGATAGTCATATCCCTTGAAAAAATCATCATCTTCCTGGCTCCTCTTGGGTTCATGGTTCGATTTTTTTGTTAAAATCTACTTCACAATTTTCCCTTGGAATATTGTAGACTCATCACCATTCCACCACCCTGTTACTTATAGGAGACAGGTCACACTTTTAGATTTTCCATACTTCAAAAATTGATACTGATAAGAAACTTACACTTCGTAGCCCATCCAGCTGCAGACTCAATAATAGCGCCATTGTCTTCGCAAGATTCATGACATAACCAAACAACAACGGGTGCAATTAATTCCGGCCTCAGCTCAGCAAAAAAGTCTATTATAGAAAACAAGAGGAAGAAATTAGCTAAAACAAATCAACTTGCATGTTGCCCTAAGAAAGAATTGCCTACAGTAATATTGCTGGCAAAAAAACTTCAGCCACTAGGCCTCAATTGAGCCATAGGAAATTGGTGGAAATTGGTGAGGTGGTAAAAAAAACTTCACAAAAAGTGACACAAACTTTTTACCTCGAGTCGTTCATCATTTTACCCTTGGATCCCTGTAAATTCTTGGAAACTCTGGCTCCAAAGAAAAGATGTCTACATCCAATTGAAACGCTGACAACTTTATAAGACAAAAATAATTTTATGGAAATCTGGAATGATTCACACTTTTTTCTCTGCAAAATTGTATGCTGGGGTCTTTGCCTAGATGGACTGAAAAAGACAATATCAACATGAAACAAAGAGGTAGAGATACCTGGAGGCAATATATCTTCAGTTAGGCGCGATGCCGCTGTGGGGACGATTACGTTAGTATATATATTATTCTTCCTTCCCTCTATGGCCAATGTATTTGCTAAACCGACAAGACCCATCTTAGCAGCACTGTCAAAAGAAAATTCAAAAACACACCAACACATCATTAAAAGTTGCCAGCAGAAAAACCCTTGAGTGCTAAATTGTCAAACACACTAAATAAACAGTAGAGCTCCTCCTGAATAAGTAGGCAGTAATTTAGGATTGACCGTCCTGCGCAATCAACCTATTCGCGCATCTGTGCATAGCAGCGTTAATGTCTTCAGTCAATCCTCCGCCGCTATTGTATGGTGGCAGGGCAGCTGTCTACAAACAGAAAATAAACAGCTGCCTACTTTTCTGATGCAAGCTCTAGAGCAAAGGAGGAGCTGTTATATTTTAAGGAAATGTTAATTTCCTTCTTTTACCGCCCGTTAGCCCCCCCCCCCTCCNCTCCCTTAAATGCAGCAACCACTTGGTGCCTCTGGATACCACTTGACTATTTCTTTATTAGTTATACAGGTTTTTGGCCATTTCCAGCCATACTGGGCCGATGACATCATCAAAGAACCTGAAGATGACGGCATGACGACACCCACACATAATTGGAGTTAATTTTGGCAATTTTTGGTCTCTTCGCTTATGAAAAGCATCAGTATCTAGAGACCTTTTCTTACTTAAAAATTAAATCTAATATTCTGTGCCATTCCTCTTTCAGACTGACAAAATCATTTTCTCAAGTGGGTTGTACCAAAGTGCCTGGAGCAATTTTTTTTTTGGAGAAGTTAAATTTTTTCCACAGGATCATAATTCCCTCAGTAATTCTGAATTTTTAGATACTCATACATTATTCAAGCCAACATATTCAAAAATGATAATTTTATATGATAAGTTCTATAGACTTAAAAAAAGGAAACATGCTAGTGTTTTTAGCGAAAATAAAACTATGTCAAAGATGGAAAAAATTAATGAGGAACATACCTGTAGTTAGCTTGACCGAAATTTCCATACAAACCAGAGTTTGAGGATGTCATGATGATCCGTCCATAATTTTGTTTTTTCATGTGTGGCCATGCTGCTTGAGTTACTTTGAAAGCCCCTTTTAAGTGAACATTGTGGACGAGATCTGGAAAAAAGGTACACAGAAAATCAGTTCCTGTATGATTAATGACTTCCTGTCATACATTATTTTTTCTTCAGATAACTGGTCCATGGCAACAGTCGATTCTTGAAAACTTTCTTGAGTTGTCTTCTTTGTTAATAAAAACACACTAAGTCCCATTTTGGGAAAACATTTGTTAGCAGTATTGCATTCAACTTGTTGTAAATTTTCACATATATAATATACATGCATGCCGCTTTTACAGCGCGCCCAGGCGCTCGGCGACATCTATACTCCATTCTTGTCTATCGATCCAGAGGTCATCTGGTAACTGGCATCTTGTAATTTCGTCTTGAATGACACCTATCCACGATTTTGCTGGATGTCCCCTTCGTCTTCTCCCAGGAGGAACCCAATCTAGTGCCTTTTTAGGCAATCTGTCATCTGCCGTTCGTTGAGCATTAACATACCAGACAAGCTGTTAGGTCATAATTTCATGCGTGATGTTCTCCTCAGCGTTCATGATCTGACACTCTCTTTCGTTCCTTACGTGATCCCTCCTCGAGACTCCAGCTGATCTTCGCCAGAAATCCATCTCAGTTGCCTTAAGAATCTTTTCGGTACGATCTTTCATGGGCCATACTTCATTGCCATAGGTCAGAGTGCTTTTGATTATTGTGTTATAAATCAATCTCTTTTTTTCTTTGGAGAAACTTTGATCCCAAAGAATCCTATTTAACATAGCAATAGCTTAAAATGTCTCAAATTTTTTCTGGTCAAAAACCTAAAGTCGAAAAAAAAATATTTTGAACGTGAAATTAGTTGTTGATAATTGTCCTTAACATTGAGTCTTATCAAGGAATAAACCTTCAAACCTCTTTTTTGGGGCTCAAACTCAATGCAACTTGGTCCAAATATGCCTGCAGACAGTCACACATTGCATGTACAACCGGAATTACAAAAAATACTGAATTCAATGCTATTCTCATTACTTATGACGCATAAAAAATCTTCTCTAAGAACGATATTGGTAAAAAGAAAATAAATAAAATACTGAGCTAGAAAGAAGAATTTGACTATGATAAAAATTGAAGAACATCTCATTGGACGGAGAGGAAAAAGTTCAGAGTCCCTTGCGGAGAAAATCACTGAGGACATTTAAGTGTTTTCTTACACCTCAATAAGATAAAGAGATTAAAAGCCTCATATAATGACAATGGAGGACCTTGAATAGCACATGGCAAGTGTAATTAAGAAGTGAATGCATGTCTTCCTCCCAGTCAAGGTCAGGTTCATTACTAATTGATTGCACATAAAATAGGAGCTTCTCGCAGATCATACTTATTATCCAAGTTTACACAGATTATTTTCTTATGAGATGGATGAGGAATGACCAAGCATCTTATGGTTTGGTCCATCATGGCATGTCTGAAAATTCAGTCATTGTTTGGGGGGAGGGGGGGGAGGATTGCCGACGAGTAAATATTCCTTAAAACTGCAGGGAAGATTTTTTTTAAGAGACATTAATGGTAGGAGGAAGGGGGGCCTTCTTTGGTTACGCTTTGGCCTGACAGGTTTAATTTCCTGGCTTATGTACTTCTGGTCCAAGTCCGGCTTTGAGATAGCTTCATCTTTCTTGCTCTTAGAAACTTCTTAAAAAATACAAGCAATTTTACCCATTTCATATGCACTACAGTACACATGCGAGGGAAAAAAAAATTAAGGATGGAGAATTGTTTAACGTAATTCTACAGGTAAAATTCTGTTTCTCTTGTCTGTCCTGGAAAGAATAGTACCAATAAGAGTATATACGTCTTTACAAGAACTGATAACATTAATAGAGACGAGTAAGACAAAGGCAAATCAACATCGAGCCGTTCTCAAAACTTGGAGCACTCAGAATTTAAACCAGAATTAAACATACTACGCAAAACTTAAATCTATAGATTTGCTTGAATATTTTTGAAACTCAGCATACCCCAGTCTTGATCACTGATGCGGGCAAATGATTTATCACGCAAGATACCCGCATTGTTTACAACAACATCAATTCTGCCAAAATTTTCAAGGGCTGTTTGCACTAATTTCTCGCCGTCTACAACAGAATTGTAATCAGGAACAGCCTTGCCTCCTGTAAAAACATAACAAAAAATGCGTATAGAATCATTCAGCTTTACCCATTTCACTTTTATACATGATTAAGTTATCATGTTCCCACATAGATTAAAAGCTATTAGATGTTAATTTACGTTTTACAATCCAACGATAGATTTTAGATAACAGTATAAAAAACCTCCCCTCTTCCATTTTGACATTGTTCCATAAGTTGTGATAAAGTGCTAGACACCACTGCTGAGAAAACGGAGAATTTTAAGATACCTACAAATAAAGAATTTACCACTTTTGAAAAATATAGAAAAAAAAAAACTTTGTAGATTGAAATCTGTGAAACAATATGTGAATGGGCACAGACTTTCCAGATTTAAGATCAACTGATTGTTCGCTCGATTTTTTTACTGCAAGAGAAAGCGCAGCAAGATGACAAAGAACACAATACAAAAATCACAACACTAACCAATCAACACATCAAATGCATTGACTAGCAAAAGCTATCCTTAAAAATGTAGGTAAAGAACTTTTAGGGAGTGGCAGCCAGTTGTAGATTAAGCCATGATAATTTAGACTTTTTTGTATAGATTTGAAAAAAAGGTGAACGAGAAGATTAAAAAAACTTCTTATTTTCAAAGATATTGTGGATTCTATACTGAAACACTTGAGCTATTTAAAGATTTGGATGAGAAGAAGTATACATACCCCGAGCTCTTATTTCTGCAACAACACTATCCGCAGCTTTCGTGCTTTTACCATCACCATCGCGACTTCCACCGAGGTCATTGACAACAACTGACGCGCCTCGAGACCCAAACAAAAGGGCATATGCTCGGCCTAGACCTAAATTCAGAAGATTAAACAAAGATTTGTATCAGTGTTTTCATTCAGAGCTTCAGTTAATTTTTATTAGAAATTGAAGAGAGAGACAGGACGCTTTCGATAGCTTTAAAGTTTTAGGCTGTAAAATTTTACCATTTGCAAGTAATTTTCTGAAAAGAATGAAAATATCTGTGTTACCTGACAGAAGGATTAAGGAGATTTTGCATTGGCTAATTCAGGGATACAGAATCTTTCAAGTTTCCACATTTTCAAATGTGAATCCACCAGTTTTTCTCACTAGGTTTCCACAAAATTTCCCACCAATTTGAAAAGAGAGGACTTCGGCCTCCTTGTTTCCTTCAATTTTCGACCCTTTAAAATTTTCCCTCTTTCAACATTTTAAAGGGCCTTTCTGCATTTTCCGTGCCCAGGCAAGCAAGTGATCGAGCATTTTCTGCCCCATGTGAGCCGATTGTGTGATGGGCAAGGATTGTTGGCAAATTAGATGCATGCTTTTTCCTAGAAACAAAAACAAGAACTACAATACAGCCCATTGCTGAAGTTGTGGCTCTTTTTATTTTTGTCTCTTCACAGGATGAGAGGATACAAACTCTTTTCTCTTGAAAGTTTCGCACAACTGTACTATGACAATCCCAGATTGGACTACTTTCCGATGTTTTTGAAGAAAAATTCTTGCCTATTGGACTCTTTATACAAGATAGGTACAAGAATATATCTCCAAAAGCTTTGAAAATGTTTATAAAATAGCAAGTCATACCTGCACCAGCTCCTGTGACAATGACCACTCTTCCATCAAACCTTAATTGCTGCTGCTTCATTTTGAACAAGCGAACTGGAGAGGAAAAAAATTAAATGAATGGGAGAAGAGTAGAACCAAAACATAGGTACTGAACTAATAGCATTTTCTGAAACATTATACTATTTGTACAAGAATTAATATGTCAGTGGCTGAATACAAAAATTCTTATCATAATTGCAACATTCAAAAGTCTCCAATTGCGTTGCATTTGCTTCGAGGAAAACCAATCAAAATATTTCCAAACAATTATTTATGATATTTTTTTTTTTTTAATGAGTGAAGGAGATTCATTTCTTTACGAGGCCTCTATCCACCTAAGCCATGATCTCCAACTCCGCTCATCAACACTGAGCCAGTTACTATTCAATTGCAAAAAATGTATTGAACGCCACTCAGCGCAGTATGATGTCAGTGCAACGTAGCATTGCTTCTTAAGCAGTATTGTGCCTACACTAATGCTTGTATTTGAATAGAACAGTAGCCATGCATTATGCACGACATCATTGTACCAGTTGCAGGAAAATATGACTCAATCAAAGTGCGTCTCTTCTTTTTCTAGATGCAGAATACTAAATACCTCCGGTAATGTAGGGGTGTTCAGAGTAGGAAACCTAACATTCAGCCACCATTTATTCAGTAAATAAAGTTATATCCTGCTAGGAAACAAATAAATCTTCCATTTACTTGTTGGCAATCTGCAGCCTCTTTCCAGACGGATCAGTTTGAACATTTGTCATCGGCCGACACCGAAATATTCTTTAACCCAAAAAGGGTTTCCTTGCAGGGCAACTAAAGACAAACTGTATTCTTAAATTCCTACTGAAGGTGTCTGATTGTAATGAAAGATCAAAATTCGCAGATTTTACTCATTAAACCTCCTGGAAAATGTTCTGGAACCGTGACCAGGAAGTAACAAGTGTTCACTAGGTGTTCACGAGAGTAGCTACGCACACACAAATTGGATTCGCCTCTAAATAATTTGTACCGGCAGATAAATACTTACGAGGTTCACTTTTGATCGACCATGAACTTGCGGAAAATAATCATGAATATTAATTGAGTTGAAAAGTAGACAGAAGGCTCCGATGATACGCTGATAATGCGAAAGCCACACAAAAATTGATAGCGGTAGCAATTTTTGTTTTCTTTTCCACTTCGATGACGTCATGCCAGCGAATTTTTCCAAGTATTCCTCTTTTCGAACAAAAGGAATTTTAACGGCAAATTCTGAACCAGACGCTTTGATTGGCCAGGAGCGGTTCATTCCATTTATTCCGAGTTGAACCGAAATTAGCGGGAATTTCGAATTATTCCGGATATCCTGTTCACCAAGTAGTTTCCGTTTCCGGTAAAACAGTGTTGTCAGTTTTACCCAAAGCACTTAGGTAAAACTGACAACACTGTTTTACCGGAAACGGAAACTACTTGGTGAACAGGATATCCGGAATAATTCGAAATTCCCGCTAATTTCGGTTCAACTCGGAATACGGAATGAACCGCTCTGGACCAATCAAAGCGTCTGGTTCAGAATTTGCCGTTAAAATTCCTTTTGTTCAACAATGGAATTAACCGAACCGGGCGGGAGTTTTCTACGAGCGGGAATTACAAAAAATGATGACAAGTATCTTCCTACTTCAACTTGTAGCAGCGTCCTATTTACTGAGGTGGTTTTAATTTAAAGTGATGATAAAACGAATAAAAAAACGATAGGCTAAATGATTATCTTTGATTTTTTTTAAATTTCTTTCAAAAATTAATGAGAGATAAACCTTTTTACAGGAGTTGTGCACCATTTGCAAAACTTGATGAAGAAATAATGGCGCTCCAGAATTATTTTGAGGTGTATAAAACTGATTCGATGGCCAAAGGAGTTACATCAGTAACATAAGGCGACGCTCATTGTTATTACTACATCCATTGGGTCAGCATCACAGAACACATGTCAGCATTTTCTGCCAACTCTCATAGGTAGGATGTTGAAGGAATACCAGTGGCCTGATTATTGAATCTATGTCGATACAACAAGAAAAGACATAGGTAGCCCTTTCTTAACCATGTCCAATATCGCATTTCAATGTCTAATTGTGCCGCTTGAAACTTTCAACAAATGGCCTGCAGTTTGGATTGTCATGACAAGTCCAATCTTACTCATCAAATTGATAAAACAAAGACAAAATTTTTCCTAAAGATGTCAAATGAAATTGAGGTATTCCAGATATTATGTGCTCAATCCAATTTTTAAATGTTGGTGGTTTAACTAAATATACCTGCCTTGAATATTTTGGACATTAAGGTTATCCGACTATATTATACATTTAAAAAACTTGCCTGGAAAAGTGGGGCCATATAGTGTAAACCAGTATTTAGAGGACGAAAACCTCATTTCAGTCCCATGAAGATGACTTGACGAGAACAGTGCGTTCAATCTCTATATTGATCCCGGTTTCAATGGCGATACTTTTCCACTAAAAAACAATTTGCTTCAATCCTTTGAATTTTTATTAACAACTCAAAAAGTAAGCTCTTCAGACTTGCAACAACCAACTAAAATGCCACTGCATCATTTGACGAGAGAAAAAGACATGGCTAAAAATATGAAGCAAATCTATGGTACATCCCACGCTGTCTCAGTCCAAACTCCTCTGACTCTAAAAATCACCTCAAAAATGTCCCTGATTTTACCCAGGGGAAAACCACACATTTTTTTGAGAAATCATGTGAAAATATTTTTGCAGTACTTTTCTTTTTGTGGGTGTTTCAAGCAATGAACAGTATATTTCCTTCGGGATATACCTTAATAAAAAATGTGTTGACTTACTCACAATCAAAAACTGACTGCAGATTTGAGTAGAGCATGCAGAAGGAAAGTCGACTATTTCTCTATAATGCCGGCGACTAATTGTAACCCAAATATTAAAAACTGGGGTGAATCATGCCCAGTCGCGCGGAACAAAAAATCTAATAATCAACTGTTTGTAAAGCAAGGTGGAGTAAAGAATAAGTGTTATTTTCATTATTTGATAATTTATTTGAAGTATTAAATAGGTAGGTAGGTACTTTTACAGTAAATATAAAATAAATAAATAACATATTATTATTACATTGCATGGTACAGAGGAAAGTGGAAGGTTTATGTTTTCAAACTAAAAAAATTGCAGTAAACAATGCTACAATAATAACAGAGGAAATGGAACAAAGTTGAAATTGAAAAGAAAGTGTGAAACAAAGGAAACCAGAGCAAATAAAGGGAAGATGATTGCACTCAAACAATATTGATTGTTAGCTCTACTATTTGAGATATTGATTTCCAAAATTTTCTCAATAGGCATTCAATTTTACAAGAAATTTTTCAGGGTACAAAGAATGTCTTTTCTTTTCTATGTAAAAGCATCAACTCCAAAAAAATTAGAGAATAAGAATTCAGATGAGACTTGGGTCATTTTTAGGCGATTATTCATATCAGAGAGACAACAATGTATAGAGTGTATTCAGACTCCTCCGAGAAACCTCCTCACAAGAGATGCTTGCCCCTTGAAGGGTCATGTACCTCATTCCTCTTAATAAGCGATATCTCAAAAGAAATTTCATTTAAAGTAAACCGTGTCAAGAAGTGAATTTTTTTGTTGACATTGCACCATTTTTTAGTTTTCTCAAGATCGACTTGTTTTCTTTGTTTCATTCAATTGGATAAATGGTAATTGGACCAGCATCAGGAAAAGATTGCAACACTGAATTCAACAGTCTTCCTGGTTTGAAAAATTTAAATTTTTAAAGAGCTGGTATCAAATTTAATCAAATATAGTTTCATTAGAATGCACTTCCACACCAGGATATTTCCATGAATATTCGACTTTACTAATAAATACAGTTGATAATTAAATAAAATGCCTTGGTATCAAACAAAATAAACCTCACATGTAACAACTTAAAAACGGATTAAAATCTTTGCCAGTCTCTACAAAATGTAAAAAAACAAACAAATTATGATGGAACAGTTATAAAAACTAAGGCACAATAAATCAGTCCAGACGATTTCGGTCATTTGATTCATTAAAAATACTGACTTAAAACTAGAGCTCTATTCATAAAATACAATTTAAAGGCACATTACTTTTTTTCAGTCCAGATGATTTTGATCATAAGATGTACAAATTAAACAAAAATACGATTGATTGTACTAATCCAAGCTTAAATTAAAATGAAAGAGTGCAGAATAAAATTAAAGGCTGCAAACACGGATTATTTCATGAAATCTGTTTCATATTCACATTAGACTCTTAATATAAATAAACAAAAATACGTATTATTTTTCAGTTACCTATTTAAAACCCGAATGTTTCACCGACAAAAATATCACAGCATAAAAGAGCCATGAATGCAGACTTTTGAACAAATACAATTCAAATAATGCACGAAATAATAGAAGTTTAGTGATGTACAATAATGATGTAACATGGCCATCATTTTTACAATGAAATTGGATTAATTAAAAATAAAAAAAATACTACTGTAATCTGATACAGTAACATGACTTACAGACTCGTGACCTTGGCATGTTTTAACAGTTTTACAATTCAAAACATACTGAAGGCAACGGTCACTTAAACAGAAAACAATTTTTTAAGAAAAAACAACTCTAGACTCTTGCATCCGACACACAATTGCAAGACCAAAAAGTTTAACATTACATCAGGAGGAAGATGTTCTTCCCAAAATCAGTTTGCTAACTTTGAATGAAAACTACAGAAAAGTCTTCACATGTAGACAAAAATTTCAATTTCAATTTGATATTGTTCTTGACACTTTACCGCAAAGAAAATTAAATAGTATGTACACCATGATACACACTGTTATTGGAAAATTATTTACTCCATTACATTTTGGAAATCATGAATCCATCATGAGCAAAATTAATATTAAAATTAATAAGACAAAAAAATAAAAACAAATTTCCATGTTGTGATGTATATACCGCCGAATTCTTTTTGGCACAGATCACATGCAAAATGTGATTGAACAGCTACAGGAATGCAATTTCAATACAAGAAAAACACCACTAAGGAGTCAGCGGAAGATTATCTCATGGAAGGGAATTGTAGCCAAAAGTTTCCTACATCAAAGCAAGTGGACGTGTTACTTATCTTGGATTTCTAATTTTCCTACTTGTTCAAGCGCAGAAATATAGCACAGCAAATTTCTGACACAGAATCTTTTGTGTTCCCATTCCAATTAACAGAGAAAGGGAGAGTTGTTGGCACCATTGGAACTTCAAAAATCAAACTTCCACAGAGAATTTTTTGCACTGTGGAAGTACTTATTAGAGTGAAAAATTCGCTCGAAAATTGAAGACTTGAATTTCTGGAGAAAATTATGATCTGATCGCAATTTGAAATTTACAATGAGTTCCAGAATTATGCAGGGCAGATAATTCAAAGGAGTTGATAATAAAAGCACTCAATGACATCCTTGATTCAACTTATTATGATGATAATAATAACAATAGCTCCCCTGAAAGCAAGGTGAAACGAGCCTTCCATGGGACAGCACTGATTAAAACAATCTTTCCCCAAAGACTAATACATGATGTCAATGTCCAGTCATTACACATCAAAAATAAACACTAGTCAACAAAGAAAATTTGAAAACAGATCATGAGCAAGTATTGGGATTGCTGGGCACTGGAGGTGGCGGCTGTTTCCTGACGAGAGGAACTGGTGGAGGATTCTCAACAATATCTTCGATAAAGTTAATCACACGAGGAGTTTTGTTTTTGTTGAAACTACTCGTACTACAATGTGAGTCAGCGATTGAGCGGCCGTCCCCTTCATCACGTCTGCTTAACTCGCTACAGGAAGAATCTGATTGATTGTCATTTACTGATGTGTGCTGGAGCCGCTGCAGGGCTGCTGAAGATAACCATGGCTTGCTGTTTATGCCTTTATCATCTTTGCCCTCCTCTGCAGGAGATGGGAGCAGCAATTTTGATAGTGGTGGAGCTAGACCAAGGCCAATATTTCGTTCGTGATAGACTTCGGATATTGTTGGAGTTAGCTCTCTGTTGAGTCGGCGCAGCTGCGTTGCTAGGATTTGGTCTTGAATGCCATTTTTTGTTACATTTGCCTCCGTCAAAGAGTTTTGACGGCAAGGATCGATTAAAGTGTCTTGAATGACACTTGTATCATTTTCGTCAAGGTACAAAGAGACTTCACCTTCTCCGAAAATATCTGCCGGTTCATCGCTAGGAAGAAGTAATTTACGACTTGTTGTGTTGTTCCAGCCTGTCCTTACGCTAAGCCTGTCCATATCGAGAGCAGAGGTGTCAACCAAGTTGACAGGTGGTGGTGGTGCCTTACGAGGAGGTGGAAGTGGTGGCAAAGGATGTGACATAGCCACTCCTCTTCGCAGGACTGTTGCATGCCCATTTCCTGAAAAAAAAAAAGAATTAAGATTTAGCAGCCATCGCAAATGCAAGTGTGTTCTCAATAAACTTGAAAATAGTATTTTGACTACATAATTTTTTGAAAATTTTCAGCTCAGACTATATATGTAACTACTGAGCTCTCTTACTTTTTTTTAAGGTTTCCCTATCTTTGAAATATTTTAAAAAATCGTACTTGCTGAAATCGAATATGATCAGAGACTAAACTTTGCAAATATGTAAACCAAATGGGTATATGCATTATACATTGAGTAAAATCACAATTTTCAAATTTTGTGAAAGTTGAAGAAAAAAATTCTTGGCATTTAAAAATTTTTTTTCCTGGTTCCTGAAAAATCTTGAACAAATATTTGTGAAAAATATTCCAGTCCTTTGAGCAGGTTTTTCTCTTTTTTATTGAGGAGGCAGGTTTAGGAAAGGGGGGGGGGGCTTCGAAAAGTTAAGACTCGGGTAAAAATATAAATGAATATGATTCATTGCCCAAGTCTCTCAGATTCTACAGAGGCGCGAGGAAAAAGTGAAATGAAAAGCAGTTACCTTCCCAGTCGGTAGCAGAGCTTGCAGAAGATGAGGAATCTGGCCGTGTTGGCGGTGAAGAATGACTAACTGATGAGTAAAGTGACCTGATTCGGCTTTGATGTGCTAGCGTGAGTCCAACAGGAGGTGATGGAGTGAATGCAGCATCACTTTCTGATCGATTTACAATCTGAAAAATCAAAGATATATTAGAAAAACTTACAAAAAGCCTCATAAAACGTGGGAAAATAAATACTTAAGCTTGACAACTCAAAAATTTTCCAAAAAGATAATCAATTGAAGACTCAAGTTTATCTTTTATGATGACAGAGGAAAAGAAAAGAGAGCTAGAAGAACCTTCGAATGGTGAGAAAACGAAAGTTTTAATAGGAGCAGTACCCACTTCAGAACAAGGTGCACATTACAAAACATACATATATGGTGAAAATGATTTGGAGGAAAATTGAGTAAAATGGATCATTCGTGCCGGTCAAGTTTGTAACTGAGTGTCATCTAAATGATTTTTATCGATAGGTAACTTCATCTTGACTAATGATAATAATAATAGGTAACTTAATCATGACTAAATAAAGTTTTCAAAGTAAAATGAACACACAACAAAGAAAGAGCACTTTCAAAAAGCACTTGAAAAAATCTCCTGAGAATGTTGGGTTCGTGATATTTGAAATCAATGTAAAGAAAATCAAAGGAAGAAAATTGGATACCTTGTTAGCAGGATTTGTTTCAGTGCTGCAGGCAGTCCTTCCGTCGGGTTCTCCTCTACGCCGCACATAACTTGCAAAAGCACCTCCGCTTCTTGGTTGTGGTAATGGCAGGGGCCTTGGAGGTGGATCATTTTCTTCAAGTGATGCAAGGCTTTCCAGCGAGCTTGAAGACTCTAATGATAAACTTTTTGGTGCCTCTTGTGTATCTACATTTGAGAAAAAAGAGGAGGTCATTAATCAAAACTTTACTTGACTGTGCAGTGTTTGTTACATAAAATTATAGTGAATTCTAGGAGATAAACCTTGAATAATAACGTACAGTACAGCTTTCAAGCTCATTGGCATCACGCCCAAAAAAAAATCAGATCAGCTTGGACCAACTTGAATGGAGCCTGGATGAATGATGTTGATCGCATATGCCTTGGCTGATTCTGACCAGTCCATGTTGGTCAACATTAGCCCAAGCAAAACTGGGCTAATCATTTTTCAGAGATCTGTTTGGTAAACGAGAACTTCAAGGACTCACCTCTCTCCACTTACTTCCTAACTTACTCGTATGTCTGATGGATAAAAATGCTGTTGAGGAGGTTGCAGAACAAATAGATACTCTTGTAGGAGGAATGAGGGACTTACTTCTTCCAAAAGTCACAATTGCTTATACCAAAAAATTACTACTATGAGATAAGTATCCCCTGCCAAATTCCCTCTTTTAATTCATTTTCTGTTGAACAGACTGAGCTGTCTGTACTCAAGCTCGTCCAGGTTTGTTTAAAAGTTGATTTACAATCAGCTTCTTGATACATAGGCTGTCCCAAAACAACTGAGAGTAAGTCTGTATTTCAGAAACAATAATAGATATTGAAACGCGGTTTGTGGGAGGTTGTAGCTCATATCCTTAGCTATCCAACGAGCCCAAGATTTGCTATTTTGGTCAAAATTTTGCTGAGTTACAGCAATTTTTTGGAGCCGTGTAAAATAGAACCCTACAGGATTTTTGAGTATTTTTTTCCTTGTCTGAACTGTTGTTCCGAGATCGCAACTTTGCGGATCACGTTGGCACTGGTCTAGATGCAAGTTCTAACATGTTTGCATGTGCTTTCATTCCATATCAGAGTTTTCTTCAACTTCCCAGCTCAGTGAAGCCAACATTGTCTAGCGTTAATGACACGTGTTCTCGTTTGGTGCAATGAGTTCGCCCGCGGAGCTGAAACAAGAGCAACGCTATGCCATCCGTTACTGTGTTTACCAAGGTTTAACTGTCTCTGATACCGTGAAAGAGATGTTAGTTGCTTATGGAGAAAATCGACTTGGGGAGAGCACCATTTATCGGTGGCATGCAGCTTTTTCCGAGGGTCGCGAGTCGGCGGCTTTGATTCCGCATGGCGGCCGGCCGTCAACTTCTGCGGCGGAGGAAGAAAGTGTCATTAACGCTGGACAATGTTGGCTTCCCTGAGCTGGGAAGTTGAAGAAAACTCTGGTATGCAATGAAAGCACATGCAAACATGTTAGAACTTGCATCTAGACCAGTGCCAACGTGATCCGCAAAGTTGCGATCTCGGAACAACAGTTCAGACAAGGAAAAAAATACTCAAAAATCCTGTAGGGTTCTATTTTACACGACTCCAAAAAATTGCTGTAACTCAGCAAAATTTTGACCAAAATAGCAAATCTTGGGCTCGTTGGATAGCTAAGGATATGAGTTACAACCTCCCACAAACCGCGTTTCAATATCTATTATTGTTTCTGAAATACAGACTTACTCTCAGTTGTTTTGGGACAGCCTATGTACAACCGCCCAGGCCAGTCAATGTTATTCCGGAAGGTGGAACACGTGCATGATTTCTCACAAATAAAAAAAAATGGAATAGAATGACTCTAAAAAAGTTAAACCGTTCGTTTATATGGCTCATCAATTTTTTTAGCAAGGTCAAGCGCTATTGTGAATTTAAATTATGTGAAGAAATAAACTAAAACGGGAAAAAGTAGATTTTGTTCATTTTCATGTTAAAGGGCAGAGAAAGGAAGAGATTTAGAAAGGGAGAAAACTTACCGAAGAGTGCAAGAAGGGCTTGTAGTACGAACTGAATACTCCTCTTGTTTGCTTGCTTTCCAGTTCTGAGAGATACTTCATCAGCTCCGACTCCAATCAAATCAAAACCTAATAAAGAAAAACAAATCAGATTGAAATTTCCACAAATAATGTTGCATTTCTGCTACTCAGTCAGACACATGAATACAAAGAAGAGTAATCATAGCAAAAGCTACCGCATTCACTGACACCTCCTACTTAGTCTTGTTACAGGCTCAAATTACATTGAAGACAGAAAGAGCATTTTTCTTACACGGTAGTAGTTAATAGTAAAAAAAAAAAACAAAAGAGTGAACGGAAAAAATGAGGCGACAATTGGAGATTAAAAATTGTAAATTTCTGTCAAAAACCTACCTAAAGATGCCAAGAGTTCATGGCAGCCAGGGACATGCCAGAGCTTGACGCTGACCGGAATTTCAATTTGCTCAGTATCAGAGGTGGCTAAACTGAATTTAGCAACGACAAGACGAATCACAGTAATGATGTCATCAGCAGCATCTGTTGTAGAGAGGAGTTTTGACAGGGCTCCGAGTGTTGTACTAGTTAAACCTATCCAAAAAACAAATAATTAATTTTAACATTTTCACATTATAACCCATTAATACACTGGTCAGCTTAAATGACATTAAATTTATCTGCTGCCGCAAAATTTGTGTACAATGCCAGTTTCTAGTGAGGCAAAGAGAGTGCAAACATTTCTATCTACAGCTGTGTAGTTTTTCAATAAGCAGACTTAGTAGGTATTCAATAACCAGCCTTGATCAATGAGCAATCTTTCAGGAACGCAGAAGTTAACAGCATCAGCTATCTTGTCATAATTTTCGAAAAAGTACTCTGCTTTATGTCCACAGATGATAGCTTAATCCAGACTTAGTTGAAATGAAATATACTTTACAAACCTAATAGAGCTTGAAGACTAGCGCTGCACTGTGTTAGTCTCTGGTCAGGGTCACTTTGAGGGAAAAATACTGAGGATGGGATTCCATTGGCAGCAGGCTCAAACCGAAAACCTACCGACTGTAATAACTCTTTCCATCCATTAACATGACCAACCTATGAGAATAAAGAAAATGCACTCAATTATGATATCACAGGTGATGGAAAAGAAAACAATTGTATAATTAGCAGACTATAGCAACATCAAACTACAATTTTTTATATTTTATTGACTGATTTCATAAAAATTGGCAGGATCAAAGTACATACAATTTTCAATTATGAGAATATATCTGATAAACCATTCGTGAGATAAGTCTCTCTGAAACAATATTGATCAACGAATAAAATCGAAAATTTGCCACAGGGGCCACTTTTTGCCAAACAGAAAATGTAGTAATTAATAATGGTGCGATCGGGACAGATCTCAAAACAGCCAACAGTGTACCTTATTTTCGATGCTTTTCTGAGTCGTGTACATGGCGTTCTTTTGCCCTCTGTGAATCCTCTGCAGAGACTTTTCCACCTGAGGAAAAACATTAATATTAATATAACGTTGAAATCAACCGAACAATGTTAAAAATTATTTTATTATTATAACTTCTATCTACTTAGCATATAGGAAACAACAGTCTTGTCACAAAAATTAATTTTGTAAGCTAGGCGTAAAGATTGCTTTAAAAATATTGAAATCCTCAAAATTGGGACGAAAATATTTATCACAAACAAGACAATTTCTTTGATTTTGAGCTTGATGGAATTATGTTAGTCAAATACATGAAGTAATAAGTAACAAGATAATGTCACAGAAATGTCCTACACCTGAGTGTCGAAATCTGAAATCTTCAGTAATGAGGTAAATACTTTTGTCAAATGCCCAACTGACAGCAGTAAGGTAATTAACGCAAAATTTAAGTCGAAACCTTGCCCACCAGTTCAGTGATAATGAATTCTCTGAACTGTGACCAACAAATAATAATTTTAAAGTGCCTTACCAAGTGCAATGTGACCCTCAATGCATCTCTGCATTTTTCTGGTGTTTTCAGGAGTTCACACAGGGCTTGGCCCATTAAAGCAACTTTGTTCGATAATCTCACGTCAGATCCAATCAAGACAAAACCAGCCCAATTTGAGGGATCTGCAAAGTGTTTAGTATGTTGAACTGTCTGCATTGCTTCGCAAAGACCTCTGCTGACACGAGAGCCCTGAAATAACAGCAATAACAATCAAATGAGCTCCTAGGAGAAAAGGCTGCTGCAAACTTGGGCAAAAGTACAGAAGTTCTATGATGGAAGAGAATTCTTGTGCGACTCATCAAGAGAAAACTTGGTGATGATACTGAAACATAATTCTGCAGTAAACAAACTTGGCAAAACCTAGCATTCTAAATTACCCTGAAATCAATTGCAATTCATACATGGGGAAAGAGACAGGTTCGAGGGAGCAATCCGACTAAGCCGTACTGCTGATTTATCAATAAACCAACATATTGAAATTCGACGGTGATGTGCATGAATTAGGAGAAATACTGTCTTTTAATGTATCAGATTTTATTAGTAAAAAAAAGAAAAGAAAAAACCTAGAAATGAATAAAAGACAACAGAAGCAAACTAAAAAGGCTGAAAATAACGAAATATTTTGCTATGGTAAGGGATTTGAGAGAAGAAAAATTGGAGGAAAATTAGACTGAGCTTGCGATTTACTCATACTCCTCCCTTCTACATTGCCATCGTTGAAAGTGGTTGACAACTGCTGACCCTCTTTAACTCATTCTTAATCACAGGCTTAAATAATGACAAAAATTGTACCTGCAGCAAAGCTGAGTAGAAAGCTTTCAGAAGAATTTTGGCTGCTGTTTCTGGGATTGGCCACAAAGATACAAGCACGCACTGGACACCGGCAGCAAGCAGAGCACGCGACAGCGCTATCACACCATCTGCAGTAGCCCACCCATCTTTACTGTTTATAACAACTAATCTTGCACTTAGTTTCAAACTTAGAAGTTCACTGGCGGTTAATAAGCACTCCGAGAGGGCAGGAACTTCTAGCGTAGAGGAAACCTAGAAATACAAAGGATCAATTAGAGATTACAGGTTAACAACAAAATTATTCTCATTTGTTATTAAATGAACATTTATAAAATGCAAATTCAGTTCAGCGATCCTGATAGTAGCTAACTATAAGAGGCTGACTTGTTTTGAGCCTATATTGACATACTTTTCATAGGATCAACTTCAAAATAAATTACATGAAACTACTTTCAGATGAGCCATTTTCTACAAGAAGCAATCAAAATTTCAATCAAAATAGTCTACTTGTTGAACTGATTGATAACTTCAGAGGGCAGATCAAAGCTAAAATGAATCAGTACTTTTAAAAAGGCCAGTTGTCCATTTATTAATTTTTTTCCCCCCCGAGTTTTGGAACTCTGGTTGTCCATACCGTACTACCCAAGAAAGCAGTGGCAGTCTGCTTCTTGGACCGCAGGTGACAGACACACAGGAATGCGAAAGTTGTGTAAAAGGAACGTCAAAAATGGAAGAAGAAAAAAAGGAATTTGAAAAATTAGACTTTGTCCCTTTTTGAAATGAAAAATTTGACTTTGTCCCTTTTAAAATGAAAAATTAGACTTTGTCCCTTTTAAAAAGTACTGATTCATATATGCTCTTATGAAAAACCAGGGGGAGGGGGGCACGAATTATACATACTTCAGAGACTTCTTCATCTTGAGCTTGCTCAGCATAGAATGAACCAATCCTTGACTTAGATTGTTGAGAATCAATTATTTCCCCTGGAGATAGGACAATTGCCGAGAGTTTCCAGGAAATATAAGTCGAAAGATGAACACACTCGGCTTCGCCAATTTGCCTTAGAACTGACTCCTTACTAGCCTGAAATTGAAAAACATTACAAAAAGTTAGGTATAATGGAAAACTTTGATGCCAAATACAGGGTGATTAAGGGTTAAAATTCATTATTTTTGGAATCAATTTTTTTGGGTTAAATTAGGCTGAGCGACTGATTCCAACAGGCTGCAGATTGTTGAAACTCTAATTGGCTATATCGGCAAGATAAGACAAGACATAGCCCTATCTGCGCCGTATAATATATCGATTTTTGATTCTTGTCGTGCCGACATAAATTTCGACAATCAGGCTGCAGCTTAGTTAGTTATCCCATTTACTTGAACTGACAGCTCCCAACCGTTCGCGCTGCGCTGGGCCAAATTTGAAGCAACGGCTGGGAGCCGTACGGTAACTTGGCAATGATTCCCGATGTGTTACCATGGATTTTCAGCAGATAAAGCCACCTTACAGGTTATTTTGTCTTTAATACTTCCTAGGAAATATACCAGTCAATATCCATAAGAATGCACTCATTTAAAATCCAAGGGAAACAAAAAATCAAGCATTAAGTAATGAGTAAGAAAATAGGGCAAAAATCAATACTAATTCTTGGCCCAGCAGGGTCAAATTAACCCATTCGCCTCATTTAATGAGTATACTCGTCAGCGCGCGCGCAGGACATATCTTGGTTGATGAGTTAATCCGCGGCATCTATCGGCGTTGTTATGGGATTCTTTTGCCAGTGGTTTTTCAATTTTCCAATAGATGGCATCTCAAGCGTCGGAATGCCGAAAATGGCGCGAACTAACTCGTCAGCTGAGATGATGTCCTAGGCGCCCGCTGATCAGTAAACTCGTCATGTGAGGCGAATGGGTTAAATCATAAGTCAATGAGTTAAGCTATTTATAGTGAGATCAGGAATGAAACTGAAGGAACATTGGACTTGCCTGCACTCGAAGGAGCGGTTCTGTTTGTAACATGTCAGCGACCATACTTGCTTCTTGCTCTGATTCTGTTATTTCTGGGTAGCCAAATTCATCAATGATGCTTGGAGGCAGGCGAGGATTGGCAACCACTAAAGCACGCATTCCTCCTTCGCTTCCGTTTCCTCGATTTGTTCTAAAAACAAAAATTGAGGATTTACTGTCATGTTCAGATTAACAATGTCCCCTAGGAAGGGAATGTGAAACACTTTGCACTTCTGAAATTCAGAGCATTAATTTATGATGCTGTCGAAAAGAAAAACGCAATATCTTTCAAGGCGAGGTCAATTAATAAATTGTTGAAAATTCTACGATGTGAGATTCCACAATGTGAAAAAAAAAGGATGAATAGGAGAAGCATTAAGAATCAGAGTTTTGGCTGTGATTTAAGACACACTTTTTTGCGAATTACTATTGATAAGACAAATCAATAATAGGTGCAGGATGAGACCCCAAAATCTATTTTGCTCAATAGTCGACAAAAAAATGAGTGACCAGGCAAAAATTATAATTATATTTCTTTTTCTACTCATTTCTAAATTCTCTAACTATTCCTCTCGTTATATGTCTCAAAGGGATAAGTTAAAATTATAGTTAGAAAAAAAAAACAAAGGACTAAGCCCATAACTGCAAGTCAGTCATCATTTCAAGTTGACGAATAGGAAGAATTTCTTCTTGCTCAGAATTTCTTTGGGGTTCTTTCAACTTGACAAGTTACTTTAGTACTTTCCGACTAGCATACCAAATTAAAAAATTAAAAAAAAATATGCAAGTAGAGTCTTGCTGCTCTGTGAAGTGATGGTGGAAACATGATTAATTTAGAGAGTAAAAAATGTAACATGAGAAGAAATAAAGCTTACTTCAGACTAGTCTTCAAAGAAGTTAGGGATGGAACGACCAAAAGACTAAATCTTTCACTCAGAAATTCAGTTGGAGAGTCTCCATTCACAGGAGCGGGTCGCAAAACTGGGAACGGAACTAAGTACAGATCTGCCTCCAAAACCAGGAGCAATTCTTTGTACGATTTATCTGTAAAGAAAGCAAAACCCATTGATATCTAAAATTGTGAAGCAATAAATTTATTGAAGTTTTTAGTGAGTTTGAGAGCTTGAGGAGGCAAGATAGAAAAAGGGAATAAAGAGGATACTTTGGAAGATTAATTGAAAAGAGAGAGAAAAAAGAAAGGAAAAAAATAAAACAGAGACAAACATAAACAATAGAGAGTGGTGTTGTAGATTATTATCCTCCACTGAACTATCTATGGGGGACTAAATGGCCTTTCTTGGAAGAGATTCAATGAAGTAAGATGTAAAAACAGAAATAGGAATGGAAAATCAAAATAAGGTCAGTTATTTTCACCCCCCGAAGTAAGGCAAAGTAAAGTAACTGAAAAAATTTGAAGAAAGAAGAAAGAACAGAAAGAGGAAAGATTGAAGCAAATAGTTTTTATATCAAAATACATTTGTTTCTGTTGGAGTTAAGTTTCAAAACATCAAAATTATTTATTGAAATCAGTTTAAAGATATTTCGAATTTACCTTGCAAACAAATAGGTAGAGAAGAAATACATATATGTATAATGAGATTTTTACTGTTAAAACAACTTGATACTGTATTTAGTATCTATTTTCTTTTTCTTCACCTTCTTTTTCTGTAAGTTCAGTTCCCCTTGAAAATTTCCTACCTTTGTAGTAAAATTTGGTTTGGCTCTTTTTAAGATTCTGAATAGTACAGGAAAATAATACAAAATCTTTTAAAAAGATCTTTGAAGTAAAAAAAGTTACAAAAAGAGTTTTTCTAAAAATATTGAATGGAGATGACGGACCTGAATTAAGATTTGCATTCAGATAGCTATCAAATGGAGCGATTAAAAGCTGGTAGAGAGCATTTATACATGATGGGCCTTGCCAAGTTTGATGGTTCACCCGCCTTGAACGAACACTTCCGTGACGACTGGCTGACCCACTGGCTACACTTCCAACACTAATTAGCGAAACAAACACAACAGATTCAAAACTTAGTATCCCAATTTGAGTTCACCACTAAGAATAAAATAACATAATTTTTTTAAGTGAAATTCGAACTGCCATGAAAATTAATGAAAATTTAAAGAGATCTTGAAGGTAGTGAAAAGAAATAAATCACTAATTTAATTAGGTAATTCAATCATGACGAGTTATCTTACACAACAGGTAATTGCCTGAATGAGGGATTTCATTTTATCTGCTACAAGATTTAAGTCTAAGGTTTTCTGTTCAAAACTGCTGATGCATGATGAAGAAAAAAAGTTCCAATGAAACAGGCCAAAATCATTTTGTAAGTGATTAAGCAATGAACCTACCTAAACAATACATTGAAAGCTCCGACTTAATTTAGAATGTTTTTCAATTAATACATTGAAAAATGTGCACAGATGAATGTACCCTTGAAGATAACCAAATTTATAATTGAAACAAGGAAAAAATAATTCGATTCGACTTTTTTTGAAAGAGGGCTCTTACAGGTAAATGTGAAGAGAGTAGTAAAATAGTGAAGAACAACAAGGCACAATAATGAGAAAAAAAATAAACGTTGGATACCTGAAGAGGCTGCTAAGACTGTAGTTTGATGAATTTAGCAAATGATTCCTATTTCTCCAGAAAGCGTTCCTCTCTCCTACATCCCACAGGTCGTTATTTTCAACATCTACTTCGCACCTGTCCAATCCAACAAAAATAAATCAATATAAAATTTTTCGGTAAAACTTGTCAAGGCAAAGATTATAAATCAGACTCATCCAAAAATTAAACTAGGACAAACTATGTCTAAATTTTGAGGGAAAATTCTTTGAAATTTGACTTCAGAGGAAATTTCTAGTAAAAATAGCAATTTAATTTTTCAGGGCATTGACAGTTATATTCAAATTATAGGATTCACAGTTTTTGTGCAATAGAAAACACAGTACAAAACTCAAAAATATTCTACTGAGATTTAAGCATGAGTTGTAACGTTGAGAAAATCATAAATTCAAACAATGTGACAGTTGAAGAAAGACATATTATTATGATTCAATTGGCAAGGAAGTTCGGTGCTTCAATATATCTTGATCTGCATGTTTTAGGATGACTATTACAGATGAACATAGAAAAATATCTGAGTACTTACGTTGACTGTGTTCCAAAGCTCTCTCTTACACTTTGTACATAATGTTCCAAAAGAGACGCACCAGTTGTAAGTGATTCTTCACTCACTACTTCCTTCTCCACGTCTGTTTCATTCACGGCTACTTCATGCCAATGCACCACTCCTGCACAGGGAGTAAAATACCTATTTTAAAAATAATTCTATTGGCACAGTTGCACAGTTTTCTTTAATTCTGTGTGCTTTAATAATGACGTACAATGAAATCAAGATCAAGAGTTGAATCAAAAGAGTGAAAAGGGGCCGTTCATAAAATATGTAAAGCTATCGAGGGGGAGAAGGATTGAGGAGTGCCTTGTACCATTTTGTTTCATGTGTTAAAGGAAAGAGGGAGACCTACATTACTAAAGCGTTACAATGGTATTCTTCTAAGTTATACGACATTTTAAGTAAAGAACTAAAGAGGACGATTAGATATTTGATTAGGTATAGGTAAAATGTTGCCTGATATATTGTTTGCCAAATTCCTACTTCTCTATGATAAAATACTACAAATAGGAATGCGAAAAAATTCCCATGTAATCGTCATCTAAATGAGTAATTAATGCTACTTCATAATGTTTTCATATCCCCTATCTCAAAAGTAGTCCACTGGTACCCTCATAGGAGGACCCATTAACTGATTCCATCAGAGGACTTTAAATTGAACACAAAAAATCACTTCCAAATTGAAACGCTTTAAGAAAAAAAATTGAAAAAGCTTAGAGTAAAAGGAAAGAAAAATGTTTATTTTCGGGAGTTGTAAAAATGTTCCACTTTACTTGATAAAACTTATATTCTATGAATAAAAATTATTTGATTGGTTTTCTAGAAAAGAGAAAACATGAATAGAAAAAAGTACGACTCACCTTTCCCTGGTACAATTAACCATGAATACAGATATCCAGCAGCTAGACTGTAGTATAAAACTGATGCTCGCTGCCTGTTGACTATTTCTACAAGTTGATCCAAAGTGGTAGGTGTTGAGTCCGATAAACGTAGACCTTGATTTGAGCCTTGACGCTCTAACAGAAGATCCACAAAAGCTCGGGTTCGACCGCGTTCAGCAACTAGAAGAGCCTCATTTGCCCGGTTTAATCCTACTAAAACTCGCTGCAAAATAAATTTAGACATGAGATGTAATTAAAATTAGAGGACAAACTGGAAAAACACGGGTATATTAACACATATAATGAATGATAATTTTTAGAAAAACTGTGGATTGGGGTCAAAAGATTCCAACATTACTTCAAGTTGACTCTTTTGGAATTAAGTTCCTGAATTCAGCACTAATATGAAAAAAATTGAAAATCTTTAGGCTTTCTCTTTACAAAAAATAGCACTAAGAGTTGCAAGAACAATGAAAGTTATACAAGCAAAATTTATGCGATTCAAAGCGATGGAAAGCTAGAAATAAAGTGAATTGAAAATTTTAAGTTAACATGAAATGCGTGCTCCATTAAGGAAGCTTAAGTATCTTTGCACTTTTCCTGATTGAGATAATATAATCAGTTAATAGTTAAGATGGAAAGATTCATGAATTCATGAGGAATTTTTTAGAAAAATAACAACCTTCCCGTTTAAACAGCCCGAAAAAATTATCTAGAAATACCACTTTAAGGACTTTCCCAACGGCTCAGAAGATTTCAAAGCACTTGTGACATTTTTCTTACGACATGAGGATATGGTGCAATTTTTTTCAAAATAGGAGGGGGGAAAAAATGAGGAAATTCAAAAGAGAGAGGCAAAAAATTCCTGAACTCATGAAATGTTACACATTATTAATTTGTCTCGATTTCAGGTTGAACATACTTGTAAGGCTTGATACGAGGCTGTTTGCAGATCAAAGAGAGAGAGTTTGTAGTGGGCTGAGCCTCTGGTTTCCCTCCTGATGAGTTCCAGCAATGTTGCCGCTTGTTCGAGCTGTGTTTGGGCTGCTTCAAGTTGCCCGGCTCCCCAAAGAGCAAGGCCAAGGCGATGGTGGATTCTGGCTTCCTCTTCGCGCCGACCCAGCATTTCTGCCATCTGCAATCCTTGCTGAAGATATGCAATCGCTTGACTAGTGTTACCCAGAGTATGGTGAATTCGTCCTGAAAACATGCATGTTCATCAAATACCTTACAATAAAAGACAAAAATCAGAAGAAGGTTCACTTTTTTTTGTTATATGACTTTTATTACTTTTTTTTTTACCTTCATTGTTCACAGAATTGAATATTGATGGTTACAGCTTATAGATTTACAGTGAATGATACTTGTGCTAATGCAAAATAATTGTAACAGAAATAACATGGAAGAAACATGGTAAAAGAACTCTTTCACTGGATTTTAGCGGAGGCAATATCCTCATTAAATTGAGTTTAAAAAAATCATGGCATTTGGAAGGATTTAATCATTTTTCCAATTCACGGGCTACAATAATCAAGGGAAAGTTGTTGAACTGTACGACTGATCTTTTAGGGTTTTTCCTTTCTTTTTTTTCCTGGGGTTTTCTTGGTTCATTTATTCATCTATTTGGTTGATAATATTTTTTGCCTTGAGAGGAAGGTGGGTCGCTAGTGAGTAGAGGAGGTAGGAAAAATGTTTTATATGTATAGTTTTTCCTTGTCAAAGCTGCAACATAATTTTCAGGCCTTGAGTGACTTTGTCCCTTGGACCTTAACTTTTTTTTTTTTTTTTAAGAAAAAACAAAACCCACAGATTAATCACGATGATCATGACAAGAGTACATCAAACATCAAATTAAAAAAATGCAGAAAACCTAGGTCTAAAACGCAGTAAATGATCTAATGACAAAAACAAAAATATTGATGTGCTTATTGAAACAACATCAATTATGAAAGAGAATATGAGAATATCAAGGAAAATCTCACCTAAACTAGAGTAGGCAAGAGTTTTGGCTAATTTATCATTAGTCTGAGCTGCTACGGACAGATGCTGCTCCTGGAATCTAATGGCATCATCCAGGTTCCCGAGAGACTCATGAACAGACCCCAGGTTTCCGAGCGCACGAGCCTGAAGAGCAGTTAAACCTAACTGTTCAACCGTTTCTAAATCAGCTGTGTGGTACCGCAATGCAGTGCGATATTCGCCCATTTGCTGATAAACCTGTCCTAGGCCACAAGCCGCATCCGATTCTCCGATTTGATCCTTCAGTTCTCTGAGAGATTGAAAAAAAAGAAAACCATTCTTGCTGAATAACATAACCAACAGGATAGAGAAAAGGAGGTACCTTGAGGAGGTACACTGAGATAGGAAAAATTTCGAGAAACAGACTGAGGGTGGATGAATGTCCAAAATCTTTGAGGCAATTACTATGAGGCAGAATATTATGGTTTGTGGACAGTATAAAACGTGACTGGCCGATAATCACAGCAATAATTGCCAATTATGAACATTCTCCTCATCTCACATTATTTTGTAGGAATAATACTGCATGAGCTGGTTAATGCTCAGTGCGGCCTCTATTTTTCGATCATAGGTGCAGAAAGTTCTTGGCCTCCACATTTGTTGAGGCAATCTTCACATCGCTGTCCACATAAGTTAGGGCATTAACAAGTTCTCTCCACCAAAAGGAATGTACCTAGTGGTTTTTTCTAAAAAAAAATAACACATTTTATGGTTTCCTTCACAAAAATGCCTTCTACCTACAACATTTTTCTCCTTTCTAGGTAGGTGGCTTTACATTCCTCTTAAGATTGGCAAATCGAGCACTTTCTGCACCCCTGATTAGAATACTGTTGTTGTTAAAGTAAACTGTAGTAAAGTACTGTTGTTGTTGTTAAACTACACTCTTGTGAGACTTAGAAAAAAATATAATTGTGATCTGTTACGGAGGAACATTTTACATACTGAAAAGCCTGAGTCTTTCAATATAAGATAATGAACTTCATAAATGAAAGTATGGCACTATAATTTGGAATTAATACTTTAGTTATTTCAAAATGGGTGCAAAGGCAGAACACTGAATGGGTTGGAAGTTTCTGTTTCAGGAGTACAAGCAAGAAAACGTCCTTTCAAAAATTACATGAGCGCATAGGAAAAAGAAAGAAAAAAAACCTCAGTAACATTAGAGAGGAATGAAAAGAGAAAATACGAACCTTGCTATACTCAGTTGATGCTCTAAACAGGAGATGGCCTGTTCATAATTTCCAAGGGTAGTGTGAATATGTCCTAATTCACCGTAAGCAGAGGCCTTGGCCTCAGGATTGTTCAACTCATGGGCTACAACCAGTCGCTTCTCGAAGCAAACCAGAGCTTGTTGAAGGTTCCCTAAACGTTTGTGTGAATGCCCAAGGCCACGATAAGCTCGTTCCAAGTCTCTGGAACTCTTCAATTTCAAACCAATAGCTAAATGTTGTTCATGACATTTAACGGCTTCTTCTAAATCTCCAAGGGCATCGTAGCAATCCCCAAGATTACCAAATGCTCGACCCTGTAAAACGAGAAAGAAAAATAATTCACACCTGTACTACAACACCTCCAGAACGAGTATCAAAAATTCTACAGCTGTGTTTTCCTAAAGTATTTGATCATGATGTAGCAACATAATTAATGGACTAGCTACTTCCTTCAAAATGTTTGGGAAAAAGGTGATAAAATTTTGTAATGATTGGATTTTCATTTATTACATAAAAAAAATATGAGAAGGTTCAGGAAAATTAAGATAACCACAAGACAAAAACAAAAATCTTAGGCCACTGATATGGTAATTGACAAAAGGCGTCAATAGTGTTCATTAACAGTTTTTCACTAAATTTCAAAGTTTAACTGTTGTCATTCAGTGAACAAAATCAATCTGTCATGAGTAGAAATTGGAATAGAGCATCATTAAATTATCATTGGAAACGAGACGTAAATACCAAATCAATTTTATTTTGACAGATCATGCCTTCAATCGAAACCCTTGTAATTGAAGTCTTCATTTTTGCATAGAACAATTTAAACTTGTTTGATAAGATACATACTTTGTCCATTAATGCTGTTGGTGTTGAAAGCTGCTCCAGAGTGGCTAACTGCTGTTCAAAGTAGCCAATAGCATCCTCATAATGTCCCATATTTAGTCGTGCAATACCTAAGAGACAATTCAAAATGCTCTAAGTTACACTTATCTTTCAAAATTTTAGGAAGTAAAGTTGCACCGTGAGTATGCATAATGTGAATAGAGGTTCGAAAAGAGAGAGCAAAAAAGAAGAAGAAAAAAGTAACTTCACCAACGTTTTGTGCAAAGAGAGAAGGCACATGGTTTAACTAAAAAGGGCTGGAAAATTTGAAACGGAAAAATCGACAGTAATAAAAATTGAGACGTAAATTTAAAAGAAAAGCATGAGAATACAAAACAAACCTAGATTTCCAAAAGCTTGTGCTTCAATGGCGCTTTCGCGCAGTTCTTTTGCACGGTCTAATTGTTCTTGATAACATTTGATGGCGTTTGTATAGTTGCCGAGAGACATATGGACAGCTCCCAAATGTCCATGCGCACGGCACTCACCCTTAACATCACCCATTTCTTGCCTGACAGTTAATTCCTGACATGAAACAAAAGCAATAGTCACTGTTAAGAACTTAATCAAAGTAGTGGTAAAAATATTGGAACAAAATGCTTACAGATTCATCTGCAATGAAAGGGATAACACTCCCTCTACCCTTTTCTTCCACCCCCTTTCCTTTTTTCTTTACACACACCTTACAAAAATTTCCAAACTCGATGGCAAACGACTCTATAATGGACATATTTCTGCCAAACGGAACTATGAGCACTAAGGCATGAGCCCTGAGACCCATAAGAATATATGCATAACAGAGCTCACGTCATAATGTACATTGTTCCGCTTGGCAAAAATATGTCCAAATAATGTATTCCTCAAGTACTCAAAAGTAAAAGTCATTTACCCTAGGAGCTACATAATAGAAACTTTAAGATTACCCAGCTTACTGACAGTTACTTCAAATTATTCTTTCAACAGGACCTTCTATGGTTCCTGAAAATTTATCCTTGCAAAATATCTGTGTAAAAGAGGATTGGATAACCTTTCATATGTTAAAAGATTAAAAAAATAATCATAGTCCTATCTTTGATTGGTAGAGAGTGAATGAATTTTTTAACTGTTTTTTCAAAAAAACCAGTCAGCAAAAGTCACTTACTCACTACAAATCAATATGAGTGCCGATAAAGCGAGTAAAACTCAATCCTAACTTTTTCTGTATTTTGTTATTGTCTATTTTTTTCCTTGCAAATACATTTTAACTTAGGTTGCAAACAGAGACACACCTGAGTATGGTATCCTAAAGCTTTATCTAAATGTCGCAGGAGGCGATTGGCTAGACCAAGGGATCCGTACGCTGCAGCTTCAAGCGAACGGTCTCGACCTTGGCGTGCAAAAGTGAGCTGTCTTTGATACATTTTGACAGCTTCCTCCACATCACGCATTTTCATCAACACGTCACCGATGTTTCCGAGAGCTCGAAATTTACCAGGAAGATGTTTCGTCATATGTGCTATGGCTGAAAACAAAATTTATCTTGTTAGACAATGCAGGGCATCACTTACTACATCCGATAGCATAAACAGCTAAGAGGCAATTTCACAGCAAGAATTTCATTAAAAATTCTGAATAGTAAAATTAAAAGTTCTGGATAGTAAAAATAAAAATTCTCCCCAGACAGATTCTTGCTTCTAAGCCACTTTCCTCCAATCCTCTTGAGTAACTGAGAGCAATAAATTAATTTTTGCTGCACTGTTTAATCTCTGTATTAGAAAATAGTTTTAGTGTAATTATTCCTAGGAAAATAAGAAAGAGGTTGATGTCTTTTCTGTGCATTTCAAAAGGCTAGCTCCAGAAATTTTCAGAATAATTTTGGTGAGAACAGGTATATGAACAAAAACCTCGATGCAAGAATCAAGGATATAACAGATCAAAGAGGAACTCACCCAAGAAGTATTTTTGACACTCAAGTGCTGTCTCTAGATGATCCAAAGCAAGATGAGCGAGACCCAGGTTACAATAAGCACGACCCATATTCATTTTGTCTTGTAAATCTTTGGCCAAAGCGAGGTCTTGATCGTAATAACGAACAGCTTCACGGTAATTTCCCAGACAATAATGGGCGTAACCTAAAAAATGACAAGCTTTTGCTTCTCCTTCCACATCGTGCAGCTCCTGTAAAAAATATCAAGATTCAAACCAAAAAATTAGAGAAACTAATATGATGTCTGGAAGAATGTTTGTTAAATTTAATTTTGGTACATATGAATTGATATTTTCTTTAAAAGCGGGAAATAGAAGTAACCGATGAAGTACAAAACTAACTGAACAGAACTTAAAATCCTAAATTAATTTGGGATGACGAGCCGAATACTCGTGAGAAAGAATTAAATAATCCTAATAGTTATTGGGAAATCCAGTTGATTTACCTTTTCAGGTTCTGTTTCATTTCTATTTAATCTCTTCAATCATTCTTTTTATCATAACCTTCTTTCAAATCTTTTATTTTAATCTTGGCAGCACACATCAATAATCTAGCCTTAAAAATTACCAATTCATCCACAATTTAGCCTGCCTAGGTTTTTTCTAATAATGAATTTTTTCCAATATGTGAAAAATGTATCTTGCATTGCTGTTAATTTTCAGCTAAAGTTGTCCTGATCCTGGTAAACATTAGTCAGTTTTAGCTAAAATATTACAATGAAAGAAGATCTTTGCTATTAATAGGTAAAAGAGAGTATTTAGACAAAATGAAGCATAAATCTTGTGAGGAACAAACCTGTGAGAGCATCAGATAATTTTCATAGTATGGTATTGCTTGGGCAAATTCCGAGCGAGAACTCAGACAGTTGCCAAGATTGAGAAGGGCGCAGGCTTCACCGGCTGTGTCTTTTAACTCCCTTGCGATATTTAAATGGGCGCGGTAATGCAATAGCGCCATTTCATGTGCACCCAACGCTTGATAAGCCACAGCCAAGTTCCCATGAGTTGATGCCTCTGAGCTTCGATCTTTAACTTCTTTGGATATTGTTAACTCCTGCTTGTGGTACTTAATAGCCTGTTATTAATGAGAAACGAATACATGACAGAATTTAAAAACATACTTTTCAACACTTTTCAAAAAAAACTTTTTCAACTGTTTCTGAAGGGAATTTTCAATGCAGAAACGCAAAATATTTCACACACATACATAACACACGCATGAAAGATAACCCCAGAGAGGGTATCTCCAAATTTAGGTAGGTAATACAGTGGTTAACAAATCAAACTTTTCTTGTTCTTAAGCTTATTTTTGGAATTTGTCAGGCAATGAGTACATGCCACATACATAAAAATAACGATGTCAAAATAACACTCCAAATTTTGCAAAATTGCAATGAACGAGCAGCCTCTTTTGCTTACCACAATGCTCAATTCACCGGATTTTTTGGAAGTTTCCACCAGCTTGGGTAAATCGAATAATTTTCACGAAACTAATCTCCATACTTAGCATACCTAATTTTAGCATAAAAAAAGTTGAGGTAGAATACAAAACCACCTCAAGTTCAAGTTGTTACACCTAAATTAATGTAAAAGATACTGGTGAAAAAATAAATACAGTTCTCTCTATATATAACGAATCAGCAAGAGACCCAAAGACTTTTCAATATAGAGAAATTTTTGTTATAACAAACGGTGCTTAACGTACATAGTAAGTTTCAAGGACCAGACAATTTCTCTGCTACAGAGAAATTTATGTTATAATGATTTTCATTGTGAAAAGAGTGCTGTACTTAAAGAAAAATGGGGACTTAAATATCGAGTACTGACCTGTTCATAAAACCCCATTGCACTGTATGCGTTCCCAATATTGCCAAACGCACGTCCCATTCCGGCTGTGTCTTGAAGTGAACGAGCTATGCTCAAATGAGCTTGATGCAGTTTTAGAGCTGCATCATGCTGCCCCAACAATTGATACACAATACCAAGGTTAGAGCAAGCCCTGCCTTCTCCGATACGGTCCCTACTGCTTAATGCCATATCCAACTGTCGCTCATGCCATCGTTTTGCCTGCAATTAAACAAGAAAATGGGTTAAAAAAAGGTACAATACAATTTATGGACTTAATTGACAAGCTGGGTGCAAAAAGGGCAATTATTGATTGCCATGTTTCAGAATCCCCCCATATATTTATATGACATTCATAATGAAGAAAATAAATGCATGCATTTTTTTGAAATTTTAGAATATTCTTCATGATTTTACAAAGATTTAAGAGAAAAATTCTGTAAAAATAAGAAATTGTTGTTTCAGTATACCTGATTGTAATCTCCAGCACATCGTGCCGCATGACCCAATCCTGCATAGGCTCTTGCTTCTACCGCTCTGTCTCCTAATTCTTGGGCAATTCTCAGGACATTTTCATGGAATACCATAGCCTGTGAAAAATTTCTCCTATAATGATGAGAGGATCCAAGATTACTATACGCTCGAGCCTCTTCAACCTGGAAAAATAAAGAAACACAAAAATAAAATATTAGTGTCATTTTACCGTACCTGGTAGAACTGGCATGCAACTTAAAAATTGAAATTTTCAGAATTGCATGGAATATTTCTAAAAATCAAGTATCAGGGTAGTGAGATGTTTGCCTGTGGTAGCTACTTCAGTATTTGGACTTGATTTTCATGGATTTATTATGGAAAATATTTAAATGAAAAAAACATTTTAAATTAGACAAATTTTCAACCTATCTTTAGTCTTATCCTAAAGTTTTATTTATTTTTTTTTCATCAACTAGGTCCTACAAAAATGAAAATCCAGCATTTAAGGTAGAACAGAAAATAATTTCGGTGAGAAAGATATAATTTTACGATTTTCAATCGTCTTTCCAGAAATTTGACAATGCCCAATATGCCTCGTTTTAACAGGAATTGTAAAAAAAAACAAGTTTGAACCAGCCATCGGCCTTTCAAAGGGCTCAAACAAAAAGTTGAATCAGAGTAAGACTCAGAGGTGGAAGATTTGTATTACTTTGGATGATAATACTTTAAAAACGTACTTGATTTCCTAATCTTCGAGCTAGTCTCAAATGTTGGGTGTGACAATCAACTGCACTGGCAAACTCGCCCATTGCTAGATATACAGCACCGACATTCCCGATTTCTCGAGCCTCTTGTAACTTATCTCCCATCTGTTTGACAAGTTGAACACATTGCTTGTGCGAGGCTAATGCATTTGGGTAATCACCTATAGCTGTATAAACATGACCTGCAACAATAATTGAAACTAATTAAAATTGATTCTCGAGGTAGGTTTCTTTGAATGATGGAAACTTGATAATCCAGGGTGTCGACTAAAATTTCATTTTGGAGTTTTCTGATATCTTAATTGAATTTTCCTGATTTTGTACTAGAATAAATTGTCACTCATTTGATTTTACAAACCAACATATTTAATGAATTGATTGGAATATTGCACCTTTCCATGTACTAAACTGGACGTAGTTGGAAAATACTTGAAGGACTCAGAATTTCTAGATGCATGACTGATTTTCCTGATAACGTCAAAATTCCTGATATTTTCTGGGTTGTACTGACAGTAGACACCCTGTATCTTTCTTTAGGTTACTTGAAGAAATTTTTCTGTGATAAAAAAGGAACTTTCCAGTCTTTTTCTGTTGAAAAGACTAAGAAGCTACCAAAATGTGCACACCTCATTACAGAGCAAAAAATACGTAATAAATTTTTTTCACCCAACCAGACACAATTATTTATTCATTACAGGTATTGATAAGAGGAATCAGGGGATTATATCATTACAAAAGTCAAATCGTAAAATTTTAAATAAAGTTAAAAACAGTTTCAAACTCATTTGCGTAAAAACTTTGAACAAAAAGATTTTTAAATTTGTCTGAGAGTGAGTTTTAAACCGTCTTTACGTTGTTGCAATGCAAACCATTGTTATGCTTGTGAGTAATCATAAGATTGAAACACCTCCTATCAATATCTAAACCTTAAGTATGAATATACTTGTTTCAGAACAGGAATGAAGGCAAAAGATGAAATGCAAAATTTTTCAAGTTGTTCAAGTGGAAAAAGGGGAACACTTACGGTAAAGTTAGAGTAGAAAAGATGAAACATACCTAAACTTGTCAATGCAGAGGCTGCCGCTTGTGTATCTTTACACTTCATAGCCAAAACTAATTGATATCGATGGGAAGTGAGCGCTTCTTTGAAACTACCTTTGCTAAAGTACGCAGAACCTAAATTTCCGTGAGCTCGACATTCACCAGCAATATCACCGAGTGACTTTGCAACAGCTAAATCTTGCTGCATATAATTGATTGCCTGAAAACATATGCCAGTTAGTTATTTATCATGGTGAGGATATACAACAGTTACAATTAAGAATGAAGTTCTTGCTTGCAATGGGGATTCTAAATTGATCAACAAGAAACATGAAAGTGTCTTTGGTTTTTCCTGAAATCAATAATGTATTTTTGGTGTTTTGAAAATTTAATTCCTCCTCTGCAGCATGGTGCTAAACATTTTTATCAGGGGTTTTTTTTTTTCAAAAAAAAAAAAAAAATGATTAAGTTTCAAAATTTTGAAATTTTGAAAAAAAATTGAAACTCTATGTTCTTACAAAAACTACAACATAGATTTGTGTCCCCAGGTATCCAAAATTAATTCATGCAATAGAGTGTTAGGTGACTTTTTAATAATTTAAAAATCTTGTTTACAAATTTTGCAATAATATTGAGAAAAATCGACTTGACATGAAAATTGGAAAGTCTTCTTTATTGACTCATACTTTAACTGGTATTGTTAAATTAGAAATGATGTTCTGAAATATCATTCTATGAATGTTTAACTTCTTTGAGAAAAATGTTGCTAATTATAGTCAATGACTCAAATTTACTTGAAATATCTCATGCACAAAACCTTCAATTCAAATAAATTACACTATATTAACTTTTCATTGAAAATGTTTACCATAAGTACAGTGCTTCTACCTGCTTTGCACAGGATTACCATGTGTCATGACTAGGAAAAACCCAATTTATAAATTTACAGAAAACCGTGTTATTGCTTGTATCATGGGGTCCTTACTTTGTCTAAAGAGTTTAACGCCCAGTAGGCAGAGGATAATGCTGAGAAAACTGAGCCTCGTAGTTTGAGACTGCAAGTTCCGATCCTGAGAGCAGCTTCCAGAACAATGACAGCAGTCTGATAATGACCAGCACCTAATAGCTCTTGGCCAACTACTGATATGAGTACGAATGCTGATTTGCTCAAATTCATTGCCTCTAGTTGAGCAAATGTTGGTTCCAAAGTGCCTGGAAAAAGTTCACTCATTAAAACAGTGTGTCAAAAACAATCCAAAGGTAGAAATGAGATTTTGTTCAAAAATTAATTTCTTGTTTCATTATGGGTACAAGTGGTGAGGACTAGTATTCATATCAAAAATGCAAAGGCTTTCAAAGAATTCATTACACGGTAAAAAGTGTTACACACCAATTATTTCAAAGGAAGGTGGCGTGGGTAACATTGGTTATTGTTTGAATGGATCTTGTTCTTCTATGCCTAATCTGTGAGATTCGAGTGATAAGCAATACTGTGACATGTGTGACTGATCAGTCCAATACGTACTTAATCTTCGATACAATGTCAAAATAAGTTGGATACTTGTGGAAAATATTTTAATTTCAAGATTTAAAAATCAGCCTTAGTGTTCCTTTGGATCCTTCCTACAAAAAAATTTCTTTTCCTGCTTCTAATTAATGATGATTTAGAATAAGAGCAAAGGATGTTTTAATCTCCGAAGTCTTCAGCAAACTAATTGAATACCGCACCAGTAAAAAGATACTCACTTCTTAAAGGCGATTTTAAGGAAGCTTCCACCAGACCGGACAGGAGCTGGTTTGATTTTGGGTCCACAGCCAGACCTGAGCTGAAGGCCGCCAGTGCATCTCCATGGCGGCCTAGACATTGCAATGCTACCCCTTGTCTATAATAAGCCTGAAATAATAATTGACAATTGATTAGACAACCTGCAGAGTCCTCTTTTAGACACTTTACGGCAACAAAACGACGTGAATAAAGAATAAGATTACTCAATTTCCTTTGCAAGGATTTCATTACTTTAGTTCCGGGGGTATTTCATGAAAATTAAGTGGCAATAAAACATTTCAAAAGATTCGTAAACGTTGAGACATGAGGATAAGGGACCTGCTTCAGATACTTTTGAGAAATGTTCGGAAGGACCAAAACTTTCGATTTTTTTCTTTTTTAATTTTCTCTTTATTAGTAATCAAATATCGCGAACCATTTAAGCCAAATTGGGTTTATCAGTTAGCTCAGAACTACCTTAAATTGCCGGGCGAAAAGGGTCCTCCCTCTTTTTCGTTATTTTCAAAGTTAAAACTTATTCCTCTGAGATTTTTTGAACATATCACCCTCATGAAAATTTTTGACAAGCCATTATCAAAGCTTAATGACTTGATTAATTTTGAATCTATCTCGAAATATTTGAGCTCGTGTTGACCATTGGAATCTCCTCTGGGTGAGTATGCCAAACTTTTGATTTCTGAAATAATTTTTATTTGAGATTTTCACCCCAAATTGCATCACATATGCTGATGGTTTCTGCTGACAAAGAAAAAAGTTAAAGACGTTAAAATTAGAGGACTTGCTGGAAACGCCTTTGGAAGAAATGAAATATTTGGAGGGGGTTGAACTGTATACAAAAAAAGGTATAAAAGTGAGTGTGGTGTACAAAAAAAGGAATTAAAAGTGTGTGTAGTGTACAAAAAAAGGAATAAAAGTGAGTGTGGTGTACAAAAAAAGGAATGAAAGTGAGTGTGGTGTACAAAAAAAGGAATAAAAGTGAGTGTGGTGTACAAAAGAAGGAATAAAAGTGAGTGTGGTGTACCTTAGGCCACTCGGGATTGAGATCCCTGGCGCGGGTGGCATCTTGAAGGGCCTGGGCAAACTGGCCCATCTTGATGAGGGCTGCAGACCTATTGGAGTAGAGGATGTGGTTGGTGGGATCCAGTTGGATGGCATCCCTATACAAGGAGACTGCTGTTGCGAAGTCTCCATTTTGGCAAGCTGCGTTACTTTCTTTCACTTTTTCTACAAACAAGGCTTTACTGTCGGCAGGCAGTTCAGACGTGCCTTCCAGTTCCACCTACAACAAACATTGGTCCGTTCTGTTAGTGAGTTTAAAGAAAAAAATGTGCATAAAACAAATATGAAAATAAAAATCAGAGAATAATTAATTATTAATCGTTATATACGATGGTACGGATGTGGTTCGCAAATATTGCTACCGTTACTCCATAAATATTTTTCCTCTACTTCCCTTTCCTTATGTAGAAAAAATCCTTCAATATGACGCGTGTATTCCACGACTAGTCCCTTTTATTGATCAAAGACTTTGGAGTCTTCTGTTTGGTCAAAGTTCTGCACGCACCGTTTTAAACTCTTCCCCTATTCAAACACCTTAAAACCGACAAAAGTTGCGTTGATTCGTTTCAGTCTCGGCGGAAAGTTTGAAACAGGGTTCCATTTCTGCAATATTCGATTCCTACTGGTCCTCTTTTTTCCCTGGGCGAGTTCCAATTCCACAATATTTGATTCATATGGAACCTCATTTCCCCCTGGGCTTTCTTGACAAGACTAAAACGAAAAAACAAACCAAGATGCAAAGCGGGTAAGTAGTGACAAAACTCTTTTCATTATTTTAGAAAAGGTAAAAGTTGTAACTGTCACGTAGTTAATCATCTGTGTTTAGCTTGATGGCATTAGGCAAACCACACCGGAAAAAAAGTCGCTTGGATCTAGAGTCCAGACTCTTGAAAACATTGACAAGAAAAAATACTCTTGATTCAATCAGATTTTTGCTTAAATCAAAAGGAAATCCGCTCAAATTAAGAGACTTGGTTCTTGATTTAAACAAAAATCCGATTGAATCAAGAGTATTTTTTCTTGTCGATGTTTTTAAGAGTCTGGACTCTAGATCCAATGTGGTTTTTTTCCAGTGCATTTCACCAAAGTGATATCAAACGATCAGAAAAACTGGGTTAAAACTCCTTGATATCTCAGTATTTCATATCTAGCGCTGCGAACATTGACACACATTTACCCATGATCGAATCAGAATCTTCCTGAGCGCTGCGTGCGGCAGTTGCGCTATTTCTGCGCGTCAGCGATAACGTCGTTTTGAATTTTCGCACGCTCGCATTCTTCCTTTGTCAGTGTGAAAAAAACTCTTCCGCCTCCACACTTCAGCCGCGATAGCACGGTCCGGGACAAATTGCGCCCCTTGAAAAGCACTGGAAGCTCAGTGCTTGGACTCGAGCCGCAGGAGACTTGAACGCAAGAGTAGAGAAGGAAACACGATGGGAACTTTAACGCACGGTAAGGAAAATAGCCATTCAAAACGGGTTTGGATATCACTTGCAACGGTAGACGCTGAATCAACTCCAAAAATACCGTGCCTGATAAGAATAATTGAGAAGCTTAGACGACAAGGCGCATAAGTGCAGTTGTCGAAAAAATTGAGATTTTAACGATTTCGAGTAAAACTAGTCTTAATGCATATTCTGTGAAAAAGTTCGCTCCTAAATTCAAATTTTTAAGCAGCTAAAAGTCAGTTTAAACTTTCTTTTTGCCATAGGGATCCATGTAATTTCAAAACTTCGAACACGTATTTCTTGAAATAGCAAAAACTGCACTTCTGCGCCTTGTCCTCCAAGCCCCTAAAGCCCTCTAATTGTATATTCTTCTTGTATGAACCAATCAGAGAGCGGCACAAAGATGGCAATACTCTCCCGTATACAGGCACTCGAATCATTATTTTTTGTCGAGGTGTGTGTGGCACTCGGGTCGCGTGCGACATCTTGAAGACTCGACGTTGAGCGAGATGAACTAATTCTCTCGTTACTGGACCAGTTTCCGTGGAAGCTCCTCCACGATAATTTCTCTCCGGAATTTTACGGGCATCCCCAGTTGTCCTCGTTCAAAATATGAGTTTAATTGCCTCGGGAGTGAGTGTTTTAGAGAGGATTGAAAAATGGGTTCACTCGCCGGAGTGTCGCAGCTTGTTTCATTTCCCATTTCCGTGTGCGTAGCTGTCAGCTCCTCATTTATTATCATGCGACGACCGTGATCAACTCCTAAGCACGCGGCACGTGGCTTCAGCGTCCAGCCTCCGTCACAGAGCAACTTTCTTTTTATAATGATGAATGAAGTCAACTCCCCCCCTCCCACCACAGCCACCAACACACCTCCCTCTCCTGCCTTTTACGAATTCTTCATAAAGCTACGGCAATTAATATTCGTACCTTAATTTTATGAATTTGTTTATTCGCCTATCTGTAGTCCGAGTTTACACGAAACCTTCTTAATTTTCGAGGGCATGGATTTGATCGAAAAATAATAACGTGAAACGATCGACAAATCACTAAAAAACCGGTGTCGATTCGATCGGCATGAATCGATCGAAAAATAAAAACGTAAAGCGATGGACTTAATTTGATCAATTCACGGGTTTGTCGATCAAACCACGTCGATCGGTTCACGTTTTTTCCCCGACCGATTCATGTCGATTGAATCGACACCGTTTTTTTAATAAATTGTCGATCGGTTCATGTCGATCTAATCACGTTTTTACTTTCCGATCGATTTACGTCGATCGGATCCCAAACCACCCCCCCCCCCCCCCCCCCCCNGGGGAGTGTGGGGATACACTCCCTTAATTTTCTCCTTTGAAATTAAGCTATTGGATCGGATCGTTTCCTGTGGGCGACCAGTGAACTTTGACATTCATTCGAACGGTATGACCACCGCGTCATTCAGGGTCAAGGAGTCAGTGTTCAGTTCACCAAGCCTCGGAATTGTAGGGGTTTCATGAAATGTTGCCATATGATTTGATTTTGGCCGTTTAGTTATATTCTTAGCAGGCAACGAAATTTCGGAGAAGATTCGGCATCTACCGTTGCAGGTGATATTCAAACCCGTTTTGAATGACTATTTTCCTTATCGTGCGTTAAAGTTCCCATACTTAATGCTTCCTTCTCTACTCCTGCGTTCAAGTCTCCGGCGGCTCGAATCCAAGAACTGAGCTTCCAATACTTTTCAAGGGGCGCAATTCGTCCCGGGCCGTGCAGGCGTTTCCGTGTCCCTACTGTCGACATGAAAACATCTGACTCTCGCAGAAGCAAGAGCCCAAACTTGGATGGGTTTTTTAGAACCCTCAAACCATGTGACACTTCAATTTTTAGCCCCACGGAAATCACAACCACATAAAAATCGTCAACCGAAAAAAAAATAATTGATGAGTAGTTTTTTTACGATACGATCCTAAGCCGGATGTTTTCCAGATGGATAGTAGCGTCTCTGGAAGAGCTTTTTTCACACTGACAAAGGAAGAACGTGAGTGTGCGAAAATTCAAAACGACGTTATCGCTGACGCGCAGAAATGGCGCAACTGCCGCACGCCGCGAGGAAGATTCTGATTCGATCATGGGTGAAATGTGCGTCAATGTTTACTGCGCTAGATATGAAATCCCAAGATATCAAGGAGTTTTAACCCAGTTCTTCTGATCGTTTGAGGTAATTTCGGTATAATGGTCCGTTTAGTGTCATCAAGCTCGACACGACGATTAAGAACGTGGAAGTATTGACTTTTACCGTTCCTGAAGGAATGAAGAGGGGGTTGTTACTTACCTATGCTTTGCATCTTGGTTTGCTGTGGAAAAGCAAACACTTTAGCATATTTTATCAAAGAGAAAAACCTGGCACATTTCGACGAATTGATAGACAAAAAATGAGATCGATCTCTAAGTTCTCCGCAGTGCACGAAAAGTCAAGGCAACAAACGGGCAAAATTAGGGGACAACAAGAGTACATTGTTACTAGCCCTCAGACCCGTGATCTCAGCGCGATCTACCGGCTGAAACGGTAATTCTGTATTCGATACGTTCGGTAATTCTTACTAATTAACGAGATCGGTGCTCTTCACAAGGTCTCAGGTCTGGGTCCGCCTTTATGGGAGAATGCGATGGCATATTTTCTTCGGAAAATACACTAAAAAATAGAACTACACTAGGAGCGGAGCAGTCATAAAATATTGACCGGAATGGCAAGGTCCCTATCGCGATGTTAGCCAATGGGCGCCGGATGTTCGTTCTATGGCTTTGACATTCGATCAGCTCTCATATGGACTGCGTTAAGCAGAAAGGAACCCAGCCACATCAGCTATTGCCAAATTTGATTGGACAATTTAGTTTTTTAAATGAAAATGGTTGTGCGGATTTTTGTGCAGAGTTCAGTGGATTTTCTGCATATTGCGAAGCAAATTCCTCAAAATTCTCAGTGGAATCCGCACAAACGTCCTCTTGTAAAAACTAAAATGCCAAGTTAATATTGGCAAAATCTAATGTGGCTTGGTTCCTTTCTGCTAAACGCGGTCAAATCCGACTCTGAGGGCCGATCTCAACGACTTGTAACTATCCGGGCTTTATCGAGTAACTCCCATAAGTGCATGTCTGGTTATAATTAATCCGGATGATAAATAGAAGAATGAACCGTTACCGGGGAACGTGAAATCTGCAGCGATCGACTGGGCATGGAAGTGATCTGCCCCCTGCGTGGGGAAGAACCACCTATCTGCAATAAAAGCACTTATGCGGGGCTTTACCGGGGCGAGGGGCTAATGAGCGGATAAAATCAGCTTTCGAGGGAGGACCGTGGCGAGGGGGTGGGGGCTGCGAAGGGGGCGGGGGCAGGGGGTCGCGACTCCAGCGAGTGGCGCATGCGCAGTGCAAACGGGGCAATCGAATCTGCATTTCCTGGCTCAATGAATCCATGAATCGGAGCATCGCTTCGCGCTCGACTCAGCGCAACAGCGTTGTCGCGCCGCGATGCGACGGCGCACAGTGGATCGAGCCAATAGAAGTCGGACAAAATTTGAAAACTTCAAATGCTTGTAACTTCATTTATGCAAACTTAGAGGTTCCAAAATTGGTTTCATTGGTTTTCTCGTGAAATTTTATTTACGAACCACCCCTCAAAATTTAGAATGAGACGAAACAAACATCAAAATTTGCAGTTTCAGTCAAAAATGTCATGTCCTCTCTGACTGACTCGGTTCACAGTGCGGCATCGGCCGCTAGGCTCGGCGTC